TAGCTTTAGTTTTAGTTTTTTTTTTTCTTAAAATTTCTCTTTCTTACTAACTTTAATTCCAAATTTAGTAAAATAAAACTCAAGGCTCAATTCAAAAATGTAAAAATAAAAAAGCTTACTTATTGAAAGGACTTCTCATGAGATAGTGATTCTTATAATCAAATGGTTTCTTTTATTTTGTGATGGTGACGAAGAATATCATGATCATGATCAAAATTAATTGATTGGTTGTTAACGCATTGAAATGATCATGCTAAACGGGCAATCCAGGGTGGAAGTTTTATAGATAATAGCAATTGAACAATAATAGTTACAAATCAATGACTACATTGTCATTGTTATTTTTTTCATCTTTATAGCAATTGCTTTACTGATTGGTGGTTAATATTTTATCCCGATTTAAAATAAAATAAAAGAGAATCTAGTTGATTAGTGGTAATCTAACTAGGATGATTGTTAATACAGTCTTTTCAAAAAGATTATATAACGTTTTCTACAGTTAACCGTGATAGGAATTTATAATTTGATGAGTATATTGATCTATATTCTATTAAATTACAAACCACTTCATTTATAATCAGATCAACTCAAAATTTTGGTAAACCTTTTTTTTTTATGGTTCATCATCATCTTCTTCTTCTTCTCCTTCATGGTTAAGTTTGATGTTGGTTTGTCTTTTAATTTTATGGTTTGATTGTCCCTAGTTTTGTTTATGTTTATGTTTATGTGTATGGATAATTTATCGTTTCTTATTCTTGATGAATTCTTGTCTAAACTTTATAAAACATCAAATTGAATATGGTGTATTATTATCTTCTTTTATTTTTGGTAAGAATTATTTAAAGTTTTACAATTTAATCTTAAATGACTGTCTTTTATATATATATATTCAATATTTGTAATACCAAAATATGCCCCCAATGAATCTAGATTCTTAAATATATCGGGAATGGAATTTTAACCTTCAAATTATAAAATCAAATAAATCAAGCACCTCACCCTGCTCCCCCCCCCCCCCGGTTCCTTCGCCTTTCTTCTCAAGCCATGTGAAACTTTATACTATTTGAACCAATTTTAAAATTAAAAAAATACATCATCAATTGTGTTATTAGGTATAGATATACGATATACTTACAATTTATACTACTTCATGATTTAATGGATCATAATCTCCAGTAAATTATCCGTAACGTTTAAAATCTTATATACGATATATATATATTCATAAATCCAACTTATTTTTTCTAAATGGTTTAGAGCACTTGTCATAGTATAAGATCTATTGATTGACAGGAAGATCTTTGTGGAGAATCATCAATTGAACAAAATCTTACTTTTATCACTGTGGCTCCAACATGTATTTTCTAAACCTGAAATAAACAAAAAAAGGATATTTCTTTCTTTTCTTTTATTCCTTGTTTTGGAATAAATGAATTTATCCAAAATATGAGGAGATAAATCTACAGATTACTACTTATGATACATAACAACAAAAAGAGTTCAATAGAGTTGTTTCAAAAAAAAAAATTCATGTGTAAAAATCTTCACTCTTCAATTATTGATTATTCTCCACTTATCAACAGAAAGAATTATCAAAATATCGTGATATTTGAGTATGTAAAATTACGTATTTTCATTTACATATATATATATATCTTATATTAAACTATTAACTTTTAGTTTTGCTTTATATAAATGTTAGATATTGTTAAGCTATATTTATACTCACCTCCACAACTACAGCCTTATTGATATTGATAATATACTACGCTACTTTTTTAACTCCATTAAGGATTTATACATATCGGGTTAAGTATTTGCTGGGTGTTTTACAATTAAGTTAAACTTTACCATAGTTTATACCCAGTATTCGATTTGTAAACCATGCATTTGATAACCAAAGAATGAAAAGAAAAGAGAAGAAAAAAAGCATTTATACATGAAATGTGGTTCAGAGATTAAGGTGAAGCAATATAACCCGAAAAGACACATAATCTAAGAGTGGATTAACTTAATGGAAAGATAAACATCATCCCTTATGATGGAGATGCGGAGAGAAAGTTAGATTATTACATATAATGCAAAAAAGAAAAAATTAGGTACTATCGGATGTTATTGATGTAGTTAATAACATGACGTTGGTAAAGTACATTTAGCCACCATTTGAGAATAGTAATAACTATGTAAATTATTAGGAGCAATGATAGAATCAGGATATTTGCAAATAACTTTGAAGGCAAGTTAGAAATGTATGATGTCATTACTAACTTAGATTTAAAAGTAAATATTTTTTTTTTTCATATAGCTTGTATCAAGTATCTATGTTAGTTTATGATTAAGGTTATTTTGCGATCCCTATGAAATGTATTTTAAAGTAAAGATTAACTAAAATTAAATAAAAGGTATACAGTTTTTATATTGTATATCGTTCTACACTGTAAGTACTATGAGTAATGTTAGTTTTATAAATTCAAATACCCCTTTGAATACTATAAACATATTATGAAGTATATGGATGATGTTGGATCTTGTTTTGTAGTTGTTGGATTTATTTTGGTTAAATGTATTGGATTTATGGACGGGGAAATTGTTGCAAATTTCCAAACACTACTTGATCATTATAGCATGTGGTTTTTTTTTTCATTTTCTAAGCCTTTGACTATCCGTGTCCAAAAAAAAAATTTTGCAGCTACTCTGGCTCAAGATTCAATTTAAAGTAAATGAATGACCTATTAGTATAGATAATCTCCGATTGGCCAATATTTCTGATGGTTGATGAGACAATCTAATAGAATCGTAATTTAGGTTATCATTTATTTGAGATCCTTTATGTTTTCTCTTGACTGTTCTTCATGTGATATATGGACACGTTTTTAGCTATTTAAAATTAAATAAAAAAAATTTCTTCCAGTATACAAACAATTTTTACAAGAAAATCAAAATTTCTCCCAAAAATTGTGCTGTGTGTTTCAGTGTACTACTTTGTAGTCTTAATAATACAAATAGATTCTAGAGCATAAATCAAGAGAGACACTCCAATAGAATAGACCCGGTTAATCCTACTCAAATTATCAGCATTACCTGGAATGTTTCTTTTTTTTTTCTTTCTTTCTTTCTCAAGAAATTTATCATCGAGACTCTTGTATAGGGGATGAACATCTCCTTTTCATATATATTTTAGTTCTTTTTGAATTTCCTCCCAGAACTTCCGACTGGATAATTCGAAGTCAAACCAACGTTTATAAACAAGTTAGGTAGATTTGCACCGAGAGATTGATAGATAATTATACTCTTTCGGACACACTTCTCCTATTTTCTTTTTCAACGTTCATTATGAGCATTGAGCCTATTCCAGTATGTGAAATTTAATAATAGAAATCATGGTGTATGCCTTGTCATTAACATTACATAATGAGAGATTTTATTTTTTTTTGTAAATCAAGGAGAAATGGATGATAAGATATACAAAAAATATTAACACCAGATTCTTGGCCAGGTGAATTACGTAGACTTTTAGATAAAAAAAAAACCATCAAACTAATATTTTTTTTCATTCACCTGTCCGGGGATGAGGGGGCGGGGGGTTCGTGCCGTAAGAATAAAATATGGGGGAAGAGATCAGGCAATAAATGTAGGGCATAAATTAAACACGATTCCAACCATGCATGTAGGCGAGATGAAATGAAATGAAATTTATTTATTAAAGATATTCATGATCAAAAATCCTTCATGTATGCACTAAAATTATTTCAAATGGAAAAACTAGTTTTTCCGAAGCTTGGAAATCAAAGCCTAATTGACAAAAAAAAAAAGTTGACAAATGAGACAAAAGGGGATAGAACTTAGGGGGAAATAGGAATAAAAGGAAAGAAAGGTTGGTAATATTACTAAGATAATTGTTGAAATAATATTGCGTTGATATTGCTAATTTAATTTCTGCAATATCCGTTGATTCCATTGGTTCAAGGGATGAGTTTTTTTTTTTTGAAAAAAAAGTACGTTTTCTGCCATCAAAAGAGAGGTATTAGGTTACAAGAAATTACTAGAAAAAGTAGAAAAAGAAAAGAAAATGGACATCAATTGCAAATAGGATAATGCAAGCCTCCTTCTTGATCCGAAATGTAACAAACAAAAGGTTTTCTCGAGGAATAGATAGCTTTTCTCGGAGAGACACTGAGCATGGGATAGAATGAATTGGAAGTAAAGAAAATACACAAATTGTTACACTACATTTTTTTTTTTTGAAAAAAAATGTCTGAGTTGTTTTTGTTACTTTCGTAACTATTGAACAATGCATAAATTTACGTGGCTTTCTCTACTGTTTCTCCTATTTCTGTCTGTAATGTGAGTACACTTGCTGTTTCAAATTCCTTTTTCCATCTCGTGATTAATACCTGGAGCAAAAAAAAAAAAAAAAAAAAAGAAAATGTCATCTTGAAATTCAAACAGACTGTTTAAGAGATGAGTTGGAGTTGAAAATAAACCCACCAATCAAGAAATATCCTCCAGATAAAAGGAAATATTATAAAAGAATGTTGATCATGATAATTAATAATCTCTTGGATAAGTAGTTTGATAGTAGTCAATGGCGTGGGGCTACTCAAACAATAGATCTCAATTACTTTTCACCCACAATTTGAATAATTTTAATTTTTAATTTTTTTTTTTATTTGCCCCGCCCTGCGATTAATCCACACGACTTTCCCCTAACCAGATGATTACATAATCCGCAGGATACAGCCATCATTTCCCCTATTTTAAATAATTTTGTCTTTTTTGTCTTTTTTCTCTCTTGGCACACTACTTTACACCATATCTTTTTTTTTACTCTACCTTGCATATTCATATTTACAAATATATAAACTCATTGATCTTTCTTTGCTTTAAAAATTTTTTTTACCCTTCATACAAATTGTGCTTTTTTATTATTATTGACAATAGCAACTTAGTTCATCACTTGTTATATATTCTGATTTTATATTCAGTCATCAACTTATCTGATGTTAACAACAGATTCCATTGACTATCATAGTTATCTACCTCCTTATCGGTCATTATTGAATCCTACTGCAAGATATGATTATCAAACTCATTCATTGATCCCGTTATCTCAAAATGATTTGAAACTGTTAAGGAAGATTTATCAAAAGAAAAAGGAACCTCAACCTTTTAAAATGAAATATAAATCACTTTTAAGTGATGTTTCTCGTTCTATCAGTTTAAGAATCAGTAACTCAAATTTATTGGGTTCTTCAAATAACCAATCAACACCACCAGGTTCATCAAGTTCTACTACCACCACTACTACTTTGCTCCACCAACAAGAACAACCTAATTCACCGTCGAGTATTAGTGTGAATGGAGGTTCCACTGCAAACAATAACACTTGCTTAAACTGGTTAAACACTTATCAGCAACCATTATTCCCAACAGAATTAAACATCAAAAATCTCCCTATTGAAATTCTTGATTATATTTTCTATTTGGTTGATGATAAGTTGGATTATAAAAGTTGTATGTTTACTTGTAAATTGTTTTACTTCTTGAGTAAACCTTATTATTATGAAGAATTGCTGTTTGTTTCAACTTATAGATTTGCTCAATTCATTTCGTATTTGAGATTAAATTCAGACGTTGGTCAATATGTCAGATCAATCGACTTGTCTGGAATCAAACCAAGTTATGATGAAGATGAAGAAGAGCAGCAACAACAACAACAGCAACAGCAACAAAATATCCATAACAACCAAATTGATCAACGTCCACGACCACGTCCTGGTGCTGTTATGGATCAATTGGATCATGATGAAATCAATCCAGATAATAATTCGGAAAAAATTGATCTGTTTCCAAGTGGTAAAATTTATGCTGGTTGGAGAGATTGGAAGTTTAAGAATAACCCTTTGTATACCGTTCATGCTGCTCCTACTACGTCATTAACTAAAGTAGCTTCAAATTCGCAATACCTGATTAACTCCACAAAGTCGTCTAATTCTACCAAATCTTCCTCATCATCATCTAAAAAGTTCACCAAACCATTCAAGTACTTTAAATCAAGAAAGAGAAGTAGATCATACAGTGGAAGTCCATCATCAAGCACATCAAGAAAGGCCCCAAAATTGCAATTTCTTCAATTGGATTCTCAAACTTCAATTAATAATTGGACAAGAAATTATGCTCCTCATCCAATGATTAATAAATTTTTGATCAATTATTCTACTACTAAGGATTTACCTATTGGTTATATTTTACATTTGATTAATTTATGTCCAAATTTAGTTAGTTTGAATTTGGGTAATTTGTCCCTTTCCACTGATTATGAAATATCAAGATCCACAGTTTACAAGTATCAAAATTTTGATTTGATGAACAACTATCCAAAGGATTTGATCCATAAAGTTGATAAAATCATGAGAGTTACCGAGAATGATGATGTTTATTCCATCAATGGTGGTCAATCGAGTATTTTAAGATTTGAAAGTAACAACAATTATTTGGATAATTTATATAAATCCAACCATTCAACCACCTCGGCAGCCTCTTCCGTTTATTCAATTACCACATTTTCTAAACCAATCAGAAAATACAACAGTTTATTGCCCCCATTACCGCCAACCGTGGCTGATATCTCCTACTTAAACAAAGGAGATGGTAAAGTATACCTTTCTGATTTGAATCTAAAATCCATCAATAATGCATATTTGAAACGTGTTCATGAAGAAGAAATTCTAACTTCCATTATCAAAAACCATGGTAAGAGAGTTATTAGTTTTGATTCATTCAACATGCCTGCTGTTATCAATGCCGAAGTTTCAGGAAATTTGAATTACATCAATTTATCATCGATGATTTGGTTGAATCGTAATATGATTGAAACCTTCTTGTCCAAATTATTAACTAGAAGAAGATCAGAATTAAAAGTATACGGGATATATGATAATTGTACTGACTTTTCTGTTGATTTGGATGATGAATATGATGAATCTGAATCTGAAGATGATGAGCATGATGAACTGGGAAGATCATCGGTTTATAAACAAAACCTTATCATTGATTTTACAGATTCAGGGATGTATAAGAATTTGCAATGGGCCAAAAGAATTGACCTCAATACCCATGAAGGATGTCAATTAGCTAATAAAATCATCAAGAATGATTTACTTTCTCCTCATGAAGAACAAATGAGAAGAGATCGTTTAAGAAGAGGAAGATTAGCTGAAAATTATTTATCGTAGCCAAATGTAATATATTATTATTCAATTCTAATTTTTTTTTTTTTTTCAATACTCTTTATGTATACGTATAGCTTTAATAATATGGATTTTAAATACAGTAACAATTGCTTAAACAAAAGAAAAAAAAAAAGAGTAAAAATGTACCAGACATCAGGTCATCACCATTTCATGGATCAGCCAAAAGACCTAAGTAAACTTAGGGGCGACCTCTAATAGCGATGGTTTTAAAGCTGGGATCATATTTTAAGGACTGCTCCTATAAAATAGATACGAAAACGTTTTTCTAGATAATTCAAGTCAATTCAAGTTTTAATTGGACGAACTCTTAATGAAATAAGCTCTTTGATTTGTTAATGCTAATTTCATAAGATATTAAGTACCACCTGAATTACTTAAAAGATCATTAATGAAGAAAAAAAGAAGAAAAAAAAAAAAAAAGTAGTAATCATTATATGAAAAAAAAATTTTCTTTTCTGGTTGATCAATTTATACTGAGTAAAGATGAGAGAAGGTGCGTTTTTTTTGGTTACTCTCACACGACTTCTTTTGATATGAACAAAATGAGAGGAGAAAAACAAAATTAAAAAAAAAAAGTGTCAGAGTGGAAAAAAAAAGCTCACCAAATCAAAGTTGAAACTTTCATTTCCTTCTACATCTTGTTTTTGAACATATATCTATATAATTCATTAACAACGAGATAATAGTTTATATATATATATATATATCAGTTATGTCAGATTTATCAGCACAACTTTCTGCATTTAAAAACAAGATCAAAAGTGGACCATCTGTGATAGTTCCAAGAAAGGCAACCTTAGCCAAGCCACCATCCCCTATATCAACCGTTTCACCAAAGAAAAATGAATCTACTAATAATACAAATACAACAACAAATGGTAAAAAAAGAGGAATGAATGATTCCATGACTGAAGTTTTAAAACGACAGAAACAAAATTTAGGAGAAATGACTGGATCTCATTTATCTACTCAATTACATTTAGCAGTTGAATATATTAAAGAACACGATAAACCTATTCCTGTTGAAAAATTACAACATTATTTAGCATTTGATATTCGTCAAACTTTATTACCTTTATTAAAAGAAATTGATAGAATTAAATATGATGAAAATAAAGGTACATTAGAATATGTTTCATTACATAATATTCGTAGTGCTGATGATTTATTAGAATTTTTACGTCGTCAAACTACATTTAAAGGAACATTTGTTAAAGAATTAAAAGATGGTTGGCCTGGATGTGTTGCAGCTATAGATGAATTAGACGCTGAGAATAAAATTTTAGTACTTCGAAATAAAAAAGAAAATGCTCCAAGATTAGTTTGGGCTAATAATGGTGGGGAAATGGGTTATATTGATGATGAATTTAAAGAATTATGGAATGAAGTGAAATTACCTGATAGAGATGTATTGTATCAAAAATTATTGGATCAAGGTTTGAAACCAACTGGTGCTGATCCAAGTTTAATTAAGAAACAACCTCAAAATAAAGATAAGAAACAAAAGAAAGCTAGAAGAGGTAAGATTACAAATACTCATATGAAAGGTATTTTAAAGGATTATTCTCAATTGGTATAATTGATTTAAGGGGATATATATTTAGAATGATGGTATGGTATGGTAAAAAGGGAAGTGGTGATTATTTATATCTAGGCTTTTGTATAGCACACACACACATATATATACTGTTTGGTTGTCTGATACTAGGTCGTGTAGAATTGTTGCGGATCGTGTGAGTGCGTGTGGGAAACAGAAAGTTAGAGAGAGAGAAGGAAGAACAGAAGAAAAAAAAAAAAATTTGATTCCTTCGTCTCACCCAAAATCATTTGTCTGTTATAAGAAAGTCAATTGAGATTAGCTAGTACCCCCTAACTTTCATTCCTTAATAATCATTCATCATGTCTGGTATGTTATCATGCATTATCAATTATAAATTTATAAAGGATTATCATTTTGGATATAGAACTAATAATGTACTAACAGAATAACCTTTTTTATAGTCGATTTCAACGCTGTGGCCACCGAATTCACCACTTTTTACTACAACCAATTTGATTCTGATAGATCTCAATTGGGTAATTTGTACAGAAATGAATCTATGTTAACTTTTGAAACTTCTCAATTACAAGGTGCTAGAGATATTGTTGAAAAATTAACTTCATTACCATTTCAAAAAGTTGCTCATAGAATTTCTACTTTAGATGCTCAACCAGCTAGTCCAAATGGTGATATTTTAGTTATGGTTACTGGTGAATTATTAATTGATGAAGAACAAAACCCTCAACGTTATTCTCAAGTCTTTCATTTGATTCCTGATGCTGGTTCTTACTATGTCTTTAATGATATTTTTAGATTAAACTATTCTTAGAGATGAAAGTACAACAAATAGAGAGAGAGAGAGAGAGAGAGAGAGAGAGAATATGTGTTGCTTTCATTGTATTGTAGTGTGCTTTCTTTTTAATTTGAAATAGTTGAATGTGCTTTAAGAATATAAATATATATATATTAATTTTGATTTAGTATTGTCGGTAAAGGCTTATGAAATCCGATTTTGGTAGTTGATTGTTGTTTGACTTACAGATCGCATGAGAATTCTTGCTCACTAAGAAAAATACAAACAATCCAGAGCAAAACAAAAAAAAGAAAAAGAAGACACCAACAAAACCAGTTTGACCTTTTTTTTTTGTCCCCTTCTGTAATCTGTACTGTTTTAAATCATAGATACTATTTAGTTTTTACTACCAATACCATTATTGATAATGACAGAACTTAACGAGGAAGCTACCGTTAATGAAATTGAACAAGAAGTTCAAGAACAACAAGAACAAGTTTCAATTCCTCATATTCCTCCTCGTCCAACAAGACACTCTCCCCCAGCAATTGATCCAGATCAGTCAACCTCCACATCGAATAGTACAAACCACCCAGTAATTCCCCAACGTCCAACTTCAAGACCAACTAAAAGTCAAGAAAGCAAGATTCCTCAACAAGAAACTCCACAAGAAACTCAAGAATTGAGTAGTAGTGGTAAAGATGAATCAGATTCCTCGGCTAAACAAAATTTTGAGATTCCTGTTATTCCAACTCGTCCACTGAGACAGCATCTGGAAGAACCTATTATTCCTCCACGTCCACAACGTACAACTTCTCAAGAACCTGTTATTCCAATTAGACCAGAAAGTACTAAGTCACATGAAGATAAAGAAGAGAAACCAATTTCAGAACCGGTTATTCCAAGTCGTCCAAAAAGTAAATCAAATAAGCCTGTTGCACCTTCTCGACCAGAACTGAGTAAATCCGTTGAACCAGAAGTTCCAGCACGTCCAACTAGAGATCATTTAACGGAACCGGAAGTCCCATTACGTCCAGTAAGTTCTAGAGAAGAAGCTAAAGAAGGATTAGATAATTTGATTGATCAACTTGAAAAGGATTTGAGTGAAACTGTTGAACCATCTGTACATGCTCCAATTGAAGATGAAGATGAATCACCTATTGAACCTGTCCCATCTGCTAGTGGATTAAGATTACCATCAGAAGTTGATCAACAACAAGAGAGTGAAATACAAGAAGAAACCAATGCAATCGCTGAAGGTCAATTGAACTCAGAAACTATAAATAGTCTGAATACATTTGGTGATGGTGAAGTTACTCCAGGGAATTCTACCACTAAAACTAGTTTTAAGAGTGATGAAGATGAAGATGATGAACATGCGAATCACTTAGGCACTGGTGGCGATTCATCTAGTTTTGATGATGATGTTGAAACCATTTCTCAAGAACAAGAAGATCACTTGGAAGAAGAACAACAGCAAGAACAACAGCAAGAGCAAGAGCAAGAACAAGAGCGTGCTGCACCAGTTGTTCAATCTCTTGGCACTGCTATTGAAGAGGATGACCAAGCTGGTGGTGATGAAACTGATACCGAAAGAGCTGAAGCACCTGCAGAAGAACCAGTTAAAGAGGAACCAGTTAAAGAAGAACCTGTTAAAGAAGAACCAGTTAAAGAAGAACCAGTTAAAGAAGGACTTATCAAACAGGAAAGCAAACCAGTCATTCCAGTTATACCAAGTCGACCACCAAAGAAAGCATCTTTATCAAGATCAACCACAGAAGAAGACTCAATTGGTTTAGATCAATCAAAACCAAATATCAATAAACCAATAATTCCAAAACGTCCAACGACAGAATCATTGAAATCAGGCGATGAATCTACATCTTCTCAAACGCAACAACCAAGCATCCCTGTAAGACCAACCAAATCAAATTCATCAACTTCGAGTGGCTCATCAGAAACTGTGACAAAACTGAAACCACCACCACCAAAACCTAAGAAATTGTCATCTAAGATTGCTGCATTCCAACAACAGTTGTTTAATCCAATGAAAAGTGGTTCATCGGCGGATGAAGATGAAAATAAAGGTGAAGGAGAACAACCAAAGCCAAGAAAAGCAGTTGACAGTAGTAAATTCTTACTGAGATTTGGAGGCAATGCAATCCCATTACCTGGTATGTTTAACCCTGGACAAATTCCAATGCATGCAAGACCATCTTCTACAACAAAAGATGATGATAATGATGATGATAAAGAAGAACAAGGAAGTTCAAGAAGTGTTGAGAATGCACCAGTTAGAAGAACTAGAGGTCCAAGGGGTAAGAAATTGCCTAAAGCTGTTAGTGAAGCCAAAGTTGAAAGTGAAAGTAAATTTTGTTTGGAAAGTGGTGAATTATTTGGGCTTGTATTCACCAAGAAAGTTGAAGAGTCTGTTGATGGTTTGAATGAGGAGGAAGTTGCTCACAAGAGTTTAGAAGAAGAAGTAACTGAAGTCAATGTTAAACCAGAAGTTGCTCTGAAAACTGTTGAAAAACAAGAAGAGGAGGACGATATCATTGATGAGTATGAGAAGGATGATGATATTGTTGAGAAGGATGAACCAAAGTCAGAAAATGATGTTGCTAAGGAAGAGGTTATTGAAGCTAAAATAGATGAATCAGTTACTGTCCCTGGGGAATTTAAAGAAGACACCAAAGAAGAAGAGGAGGAGAAAGAAGAAGAACCGGTTCACCGTATTGCTGTTTCCACAGATTCTAGAGAATCACCAATTGAAGAAGAAGAAGATGATGATATTGTTATTGATAAGACAGGTGAAGAAAAATTAAACTCTTCTAATTCCTCATTAGTAGATGTCAAGCAAGAAATGGAAGATGAATTGAGTAAAAACGATGAAATGTTATAAAAAAAGAGAGAGAAGATGGGTTTGATAAGTATATTACCAATGACAAATTCCGGATGTATTAAATAGTAATGTCTATATATATGTGTATGTATATGATAAATACGAATTAGGTTCTTCGAGATTTTTCCTTTTCATTATATAGACGTTTATATTCATATGTCTTTTTCTCTTTATTATCATTTACATCTTCATTTTCTTTAATTAATTTTTTTCGTAGTTCATCAACTTTGAAATCAATTTCATCATCATTTAAAACATCTTCATCTTCCAATTTTTCTCTTAAATCCATACATTTAACTTCAATTTTTCGAAGTGATTCATGATTAATTAATTCTTTTTTAATTTCATTATTTTGCTTTAATTCATTATTTATATTATTTAAATCATTAGATAATTTATCTTGATTAATTTTTAATTTTCTTGATTCATGAAATCCAGGTTTTGATACTCTTGATGAAGTAGAAGATAGATTTTTTTGAACATGACCAGAAGTCGATGATCCTTTAACTGATTGTAATCCTATTCCATTATATGACATGATGAATTAATGAATAACAAAAATTGTAATTGGTTGTTACTGTTACTGTTGTTGTTATTGTTATTGTTGATGATGATGAAATGATTTATGTGTAACTTTTGATATGAAATTCTGATTGTATACACGTCTTTTATAATTATTCTGTAAGTGAAGATGAAATTTATGCAATCACAGATGAAATGAAAAAAATTTCATTCTTTCCTCTCCAGTAATATTTGCTTACATTGATTGTGTATGTACCTAAAGTACGAGGCTGTCACGTGTGCATGGATCAGCGGTTTCTCCTTTCTTTTTTTTTTTTTCTCTCTCTTCGAAGATTATAGAAAGCAAAGTTTCAAAAAAAAAATATCAATAATTACGAAACTCCTTTTCTGTTTTGCTTTTCTTTGTAAGGAAAAAGACATCTTCTTGCAGATATCTACATAAATATCAATAATTATTCATGAGTAAGATATTACATTTTTTACCTAGACATAGAGGTAAAACAATTGGTGTTTTAATTATTTTAGTAATTTTCCTTCATACTATTTGGAATTATTCTTCTGTCTCATCTGATATTTATGATTTAGATAGATTCCAAGATGACACACTTAATGAACAACAGCAACAGCAACAGCAAAAGCTACAATCTGGATTAGGATCAGGTCAAGTAATTGATGATAGACCAGATTTAGATAAACCAGAGTTTGATAACCAGTTACTTGAACAACAACAACAAAAAGAAGAAGAAGAAGAAGAAGAAGAAGAAAAATCAGCTAAACCATCTTCAGGTGCATCATCATCATCATTAGTGGAAGATCATGATTCTGTTGATCATCTGATTAATGAACCAATTATGAAACCAGTTAATGCTCATGTATTTTGGAAACGTATATTTGAAATTTTTGATAACTATAAATTGGATCTTGGAGCAGAACCAAAACAGGCGGTTAATTACATTGATAAATCAAAACACAAACCAGGTGAGAAAAATAAAGATGTTTTATTATCAAAAGCAGAAGTATCATCAAATTTAATTGATCAATTAAAACAAAAACATCATGGAGTAGTTGAAGATTTACCAGAAATGATGCCTGAATCAGTTTATAAAAAAGATTCTAAAGGGGTTGTTATTATTGGTGGAGGAAGATTCTCATGGTTAGCTTATTTAGCTGTTGTTGCTCTTAGAGAAACTGGATCAAATTTACCAGTTGAAATTATTATGCCTACTAAAAAAGATTATGAAAGAGAAATTGAATTTTGTGAAAAAATTTTACCTGATTTAAATGCTGGATGTGTTGTTGTTGATGATGTTTTAGGTGAAGCAGTTATGAAGGATAGAAAGTTTTCAACTTATCAATTTAAAGCATTAGCTTTAATTGTTTCATCATTTGAACATATTTTATTATTGGATTCTGATAATATGATTGTTTCTAATCCTGATAAAATCTTTGAAAGTAAACTTTATAATGATTATGGAATGATTACTTGGCCAGATTATTGGAAACGTACAATTTCTCCAATTTATTATGATTTAGCCCAAATTGAAGTTAATGAAAATAAGAGAATTAGATATGATAGATTCCCATTATATATTCCACCAGGAACAACTGCTAATCTTGAAGGTGTTGATAAACCTTCAGTACCATTCCATGATTTGGAAGGAGCCATTTCTGATTTATCTACCGAATCGGGTCAATTGATTATTAATAAAAGAACTCATGGTGAGACTATATTATTGGCATTATATTATAATATGTATGGACCTAATTTATTCTATAAGTTATTTTCATTAGGTGAACAAGGAGAAGGAGATAAAGATACATTTGTTGCAGCAGCAGTTGTATCGGGACAAGATTATTACCAAATTAAATCATTTATTAAAACATTTGGATATTTTGATAATGATGGAAAATTCCAAGGTGTTGCTATGGGACAAAAGAATCCTTTAATTGATTTTGAAGAATATGAAAATAATATATTGAAGAAATTTATGGAAGATGAAACTACTAAACAATTAAGTATACCTGAACAAATTGAAAAATTAAAAGAATATGAAAAAGGAATATTTTCCCAAACAAATGAAATTCCATTATTTACAATCCATTGTAATTATCCAAAACTAGATCCATTACAATATATGTCAAGAGATGATATTTATGATTCTGGTAACAAAAAAATGAGATATAAATTATATAATGGATTATCATATTCTAAAGAAGAATTAAGAAATGGAGAATTAGAGAAAGTTGAAGTTGATTTTGAATATGAACAATGGACTCGTATTCATGATATTTTATGTGTTAAAAGAATTCATTTTGCTCATTTTATTGATAAAGATATGACTGAAATCTGTGAATTTGTAAATAATCAAATCAAATGGTTAAGTAATACTGAGTAATAAAGAAGAAGAAAAAAAAAGGGGGGGTTAGGTTATATAGAGTATATATTTACTATATTTCATTAGGAATCCAATGGATTGTAATTTTAGTTGTAAATTAATTAATTGATTAATTAGTTATTATTATTATTATTTTGCATCAATAATATTAGTAGAAACAAAAAAAAAAGGGGGAGGAGGCGCGTGTTAGTGGGCGGTATGATTACTGTGGATTACATAATAATATTGTAATGACAAAACTATACATAGAGAATTCAAATAGATAACCTTAGAATAACACAGATACGGAATGTGAATTCCATTGAGTTCCAAATAGAAACTAATTAATGAAAAGGAAAAGCAATTAACTCAGACTGAAGAAAGAAAACATAAAAAGTAATGACATCTGTTTGAAGTATGACATATGACGTGTATTAAATATTATCACACTTTCTTGTGTTGATGTAATATAGTGTACAAGTAGTGTACATGTGGATAATAAAACAAAAACGTGACATTCGGAAATAAAGAAACATGTAAAACTAAATAGTAAAAAAAAATGACCCTCGGAAATCAGGAATTGTGTGTATGTGTGTGTGTGTGGTTATTTCTTTTTTGAGTGGGTTATTGAGAGCAAGCAATCCTCGGATCAGTGATTATTTGGTGTGGATAGTTTATTTCTAGAATTGAAATTATACTATGGTAGTTATATAAGACATTGATAATAATGGTTATCCAGTTGAGAACACATGATTCATTGGTCTACAACCAAACCACAGCAGTCTGGTTGTAGTAGTAGTAGTAGTGGTGGTGGTGGTGTAGTACGGTACGAAATATAAATTAGAACGGGAAGGAAGAAGAAGAAGAAGAAGAAGAAGAAAGAAACACGTTGATAAGAAATTGTGCACATGTACACGCACACTAAAACAAGATAAACAAACAAAGTAGTTTGCCCCGAGTTCCCACTTAACACATGTGGGTTGTCCGAATTCTCCTATACAACCTAAAAAAACAAACTTATAAATTTATAAATATATAAACAACAATCCTTCTCCCATTTTTTCCTTCTTTTCCTTTCTTTTCCTTTCTTTTCCTTTCTTTCTTTCTTTTGCTATTAGTTTATTTTAAATCAAGAAGAATCCAATTCAAGAGATATTTAATTATCATCTTATCTACTTATCACTACTACTACTACTACTACTGTTATCACATTCACTAATATAAATGTTTAAATCAACATCATCATCAATCTCATCATATTTATTCCCACAATGGTTCAAAAAGAATACAACTACAACTACAGTTGATGAAGATTCCAAACCGATTCCAAAGAATTTTACAATTTCAAATCAAGATAATAAATTAATTAATGTATCAATGGATAAAGAAATTGATGAATTTATTGATATTCAAACAAAACCTTTAAGTTATGCAGAAGTTGCACAATTTGGTAAATATAAAAAACAATCAATTTCAAAACCATCTTCACCTTCATCATCTACTAATTCAAAATTTGAAAATCTTTCAAATTCTTTAAAAAAAATTGATAATGATAAAGAAGAAGAATCAAAAACTAAAAAAGATTTATTAGATTTAAATCCTGATGAAATTCAATATGAACCTTTTAAATCAGGGGAGGAATATGATAGAAATATGAATTATAAAAATAAACAAAGTAAAGCTATTATTAAGAAGAAAAAGTTACATCGTGAATATAAAAATAAATCAAATTAATTTAATTTTAATTATGATTTTGATTTTGCTTTTGCTTTTGATAAGTAATTGATTTTGTTGTTCATACACTCACTCACTCACGCACGCCACCTATTGCTAGAATTAATACATATATATTTGCTTTCTTAGATTTCTATTACTATTTAATATAAAGTTTGTCTTTCTATTTAATATCAACATGTTAATGGTTGTTTGTTGTTATTTTTAGGTTGTTGATTCTTGATTTACAAATATTGAGTCATTGTTTTTTTTTTTTGTTGTTGTTGTTGTTGTTTATTAGTTTATCTTATCAGTAATCAAGCAATCACTCACAACCGAGAATGTGGGGCAAACTTTTTATTTTTATTCTGGGATTACGTAATATTTAATGCCACCTTTAATATATATGTACTACCGAAATTGCACACGTGCATGTCATCACATGACTTATAAAAGTTGAAAATTTTTTGAATTTTTAATTAATGCATTTCCATGACAATCCAATTTATTATCATTTAAATCTTTAGTTGTAATACATTTAATCACAGGAGATTTTTTATTATTAAACAATAAAACTTTACCAAATTTAATCCATTTACCAAATTTCAATTTCCTTCGTAGAAACTTCTTCTTTTTTAGATGTTGTTTTTTATTATTATTGTTTGATAATGGAAAATCAACAATTCTATAATTTATATAATTAAATTCTTCAAATTGAAAAGTTGACCAAATTTGACCAATATAACCTTTTGGAACATTACAATAATATAAATTTCTAATAGTTAAAGATTTACGTAATTCCCAAGAATTGGTAAATTTTTCATAATAAAATATAACATTTAAAGTTATTGATAAATCTAATGTATTAATCATTGAATAAATTATAGTTGAATCAATTTCAATTGCTCCTCCATCCCCATAAATTTGATTTAAACAATTTGAAATAGGTATTGATTCTTCTCTTAGTCGTCTAAATGAACCACCACCACCACCATCATCATCATCATCATCATCTGTTGTGATTGTTCTAGTAGTAGATGAGGATTTATGATTAAAATGAAAATGTGAATAGGAATGTGAATGGGAATGGGAATAAAGGGATAAATTAGGATTAGATAAAACTTGAATATGAATCCATTTATTATTTTGATAAATTAATGCTTGATTATTTGAAATTTTATAAATCAATTCTTTTTTATTATTGTTATTATTATTTAATTCATCATTAATTAAATCAAAATAAGTTAAATCTTCAATATTTTCTTTATAAATTATATGAATTTTATCAACACTATCATCATCAACATTCTCATCATCATTAACAACTATTTGATTTAAATTTTCTATAGTTTTTGAATTAATCATTTTAATTAAATTTAATAATTCAATTATAAATATTAATTTAATTATCATACATGAGTTTAAAAATGAATTTTCTTTTTTTTTCTTTTAAAATTGTAAAATTATGAATTATGAATTTATGAATTTATGAAATATAAATATTACAAATGCTAATATGATAAAATGATTGAAATAATCATAATTAAAAACAAAACAGGTAGTTATATTTTTTTAATAAACTTCAATTTTATAATGATGAAAATGATTTTGGTGGCAATGGGGAATCCCTAAATTAAATTAAATTAAATTAAATTAAATTAAATTAAATTAAATTAAAAAAAAAAATTAAAGGGGGCATGGATGTTTTATATATTTTTTGAATGTTTTTATATAATGGGTGCAAAAAAAAAAAAAAAAAAAAAATTAAATTGCCCCTTAAGAATAATCATCAATATACATACCATAAAATATATAATAATGCATATCACAGTTTAATAATAAAAACACTTGTTTCAATTACAATTACAATTATTAATATAAAATCAAAAAATCTATATATATATATATATATATGTATATATTTGTACTTGTTATTTAGAAACAAATGATTAAAAAAAAAATTACTATAAATTACAATGCAATCAATGTTCTTTTTCTTGTATTAATGTTGGGAGATTAATTATTATTAATCAATTTACTATATTCTTTAGCTTCAACATCCATTGGACTTTCATATTCAACTGTGATTGGTTTACCAATCAATTTACTCCACCATTGATTCAATTGAACTAAAGTTAATTTACCCATTAAATTTGGAAATTGTTTATAACTTGATAATACAAATTTCAAAGCTTCCCAAACATCAAGAAATGCTAATTTAAATTCTTGACCAAATGTACGATCTTTTGGTTTAATTTTACCAATTTCTTTGGCTGAAAGTTGCATACCTGATTTTTGTTTTTTCACTTCTTCTTTATTTTGTTCTGATTGTTCTGGTTGTTGTTGTTGTTGTTTTTCTTGAGGAATGTTGTTCTTCTTTTGAGGTAATTGACTAACAAATGGAAAGGCAAAACTACCAGCTTTATTATTTTCTTGAATTTTATCATAAACTCCAGGTTGTGTTTTACCTTCAGCAACATCTTGTAAATGTTGTAAATATCTAGTTTTAAATTCATTAATATGAGTAATTGATTTTGATAAACGATCCAATGTATTAACTAAAGCAACAATTTCAATTCTTCTAAATTTTAAATTATGATTATCATAATTATCATCTTCAAATAAAATTTTCAATGCTGTACCATAACCAATAGTTTGAATTTTACCCCACATTCTACATCTATCACAACCAACACAATCCATAATGGCAGAAACATTTCTAAATCTTGATCTAAATTCATCTTTTAAATTTGAATCATCAAATAAATTAGTAGTATTGAAAATAATATTGGCTTCTAAACTTGGAATGATATCTTGCAACAACAATTTATCATAAATTTCAACATCTTCAACATCATGATTAGCAATTAAATGTTGCTTTTGAGCAGGAGTAATATCATCATAACCTGATTGAATAAATTCTTTTAAAGGTAAAATTCCATTCAATTTAACTAAAGCTTGAGATACTAAAGCATAATTGAAATAAATATTTGATAATCTATCATTAAACATTCCTACTCTTTCCATGAAAACTTTTAAATTTGGATAAAATTCCCCAGTTTCAGAATCCAAAAATTCATTTGATAAATGAACAGCAATAGAAGCATGTAAACCACTAACTAATCTAAAGAAAATTTTCTTTTCGATACATTGTTCTTCTTCACTATTATTAAGACCAGCACCATCAGCTGAAGTAGAAGGACTCATTGACATTGGGTTAGTGTTTGGGAAACAATTTTCAGAATAAATAGCTTTCCAAACATCAAAACTTTGATTACCACCATAACCAGTGAATCTTTCAGGATTATTTAATAAATTAACATAGACACAATTATGGTCATCATCAATTTCACTATAATCCAAATCTTCACAAGTTTCAACTTCTTCAGTTTCAATTGAATTATCAATAGCTGAAGAATTTGGTAAACTTAATTCCCCCAATTTTGAAGGTTTTAAATTATCATTAGTTATTTGAGTCCAATTGAAATCTTCCAAGATTTCAACAGCACAATTTTCAGTAGCGCAAAAATGTTGAGCATTCCAAAATTTACATTGTTTATCTAAATTGATTTTGAAATAACGGAAATATGAGGTTTTAACCAATTCGGATAAATAGGGACCAATTTCATTATTTAATTCATCGATATAACTAAAAGTAGTATTACAAGTTGGAGTAATTATTTGTGAACAAAATTCAGGAGAATCAAATGGTGAAAATTGTCTTTTTGGTAAAACAGCAGAAACAGGTGAAAATGCAAATGAAGAAGGGATGATGTAAAATAATGATAATAAACTAACTAGTAGTGATGATACAAACTGAACTGAATGCATTTTTAGATGTTGTTGTTCTTGTTGTAGATAAAAAAAAAAGAATGTAAAGAATCAAATGATTATTAATTGGATAAAACAAATAAGTTCTTCTAATTAAAAAAAAAGGATCAAAGATCTTGTGAATTATATATAATGAAACAAATTTCTGAATAACAGCACTTTAAAACTAAAATTAAAATAAAAAAAAAGAAAACCAAATTCCAAAATCAGAAAAAGAATAACTTGGTTGTATTTTTTAGAATGTTGGTCTGTTGGTTGGTCTGTTGGTTGGTTGGCTGAAATGAAAACAAAAAAAGCAAGTGATAAAAATATTTCAATGGGTTTATATAATTTTTCAATCTCTGAAGTTGTTTTACTCAGTTGTTACCTTTTTAGTTTTTTTTAGTTTTTTTTCTTTTTGTTTCGGTGAATTTCTTTTTTTTTTTATTCCGCTGTTGGTCGTTTGCCTGTCGCAAAGTTGTCAACAGGGACACGACTGAATTAGTAATAAGAATAATTGCCACCACCACCACCACCACCAGTACCACGATATCGACCTACAGATAATGGTACTACTATTACTACTACAACAACAAGAGAGTAATGGATGTTACACCAGAGCAAGTTAGTAAATTATTATTTATTATTTATCATCATTACATCTGCACCTCATAGAATCCAATCTGTTGTATCTTGTATCATGTATCTTGTTTCTTTGTTTGTTCTTTTTTTTTTTAGTTTGTCAATTTGATCTTGTTAAAATAAAATTCCCTGTTCCTGTTTTCATCTCTTGTCTTTGTCTATGTCTTTGTCTTGGTCTAAATGGGTCCTGGCCCCGCTCCGATCTGCGGGATTCCTTGACTTGTTAATTAAAGTACAAAACGAAGAGGAACTACAGCAAATAACCGATGGTCTAACTATGATTAGATGTGATAACCAACGATCACATCACATCCATTATCAACCAACTATACTATACTATCATGTAATCATTGAATGAGGTCTCCTTATTTTCCAACAAAGGGCGGACCGGTTTTCTGCTCTGTTCTGTTCTTTTGTGTACGTGTCCTTTTTCCTTTTTCCTTTTTTACTTTTGTTTGTTTGTAATGCGCCAATTCACCAAACGGGCAACAAAACAGAATTGAAATTTTAGAAGAACATTATGGCATGATTTTTATTTTTCAAGATTATTACTGATTTTTAGATCCTCAGATTATTAGATTATTAATTAATTTGGTGGCAAAGATCAATCAAAAACAATAGATTCTTAAATTCTAAATGCGGCGCCATGTAAAATTTTTTTTTTTTGGGCCGAAATTAGATACATAATCCATATATTCTTTTGATTCTAACTTATTGGTGGCAAAAATACAATTAGACATTTATTGAATCATAACCCAATATTGATTTAGTTTACTTATCGATTACACGTGTTTGCTTTTGATTGGTACTCTTATCCTTATTTTTAGTCTATTACTCTAATGTAATTAGAATGACACTAATTTTTTTTTTTTTTTGATCGTTAGTTTGTATTTATAACTATAACTTTATTGTGTTTCACAAACTTGGACAGATTACAATTTAGTGAAACTAGACTATAATCAACAACTACTCTGGTCTAGATCTAGTCTCTGTCGAGTAATCGTATATCAAATACACTTAGTATAATAATCCTGCTACCAGACTATCTATCTTGGTTTTTAATTCCTTATCAAACCATTGACAACAGTAGTATCGCCTCTTCTTTGTAAATTTACATCTGGTAGCGGTAATTTATGTTAGGCATATCAAAAATAAAAATGCATACACAAATAGATGTTAAAAAAAAGCCAACTACAAATAGACAAGTTGCAAAAAAAAAATTCTAACATTTTATATCGCATTTCTTTCTTATCAACAACAAATAGTCAATTTAATATATCAATAAAGGTAAGTAATAACGAGTATATACTTTTAGAATAAGAATACTAACATCATATCAAAGTAATGATTGGTTTTTAGTATCCATATTTTCCCCCTTCTTCCAATGATTCCCATATTCCAAGAATAATATCCATGATAATTCCCATCAATCATAACTATTCGAAGTGTCAATAATTGAATATATAAATCAACAATCAACAAGGACCTTCCAAATAAGATAATGAATTGATAAGACAATCATTATCTTGAACCTTTATATTAAAAGGGATCAACATTAAAGATGGGAGGAAGTGTTGATTAGTGAAGGTCCATTTGAAAAGAAAAATGACTGGTCATCATTATCTATTGGAATACAATTGATGGTATATCATCAATCATATTGTAGAGGACTGAGTAACTGGGGGTGGCTGCTGACCAGGCCAGGCCTCGTTTTTAATATACGTACTCAGTTCATACTCCTCTCTCACCCTGGTGAATCAGGGGAGAAGTGAAGAGCGCATGTGGTCGCTCAAGCAGAGGGCTACGATTGGGAGAAGGGCTGGATCCCATTCCCCAGACAACAAGTTACCGGGAAGGGGAGATACCAAACTACGACCAGTACTTATCAACTATTATTATACATTTAGTTTATTTCTAATTTAATCAAATTTAATCTTTTTGGCGGTTTTAGTCATATCAACATCTTTAAAGAAAGCACCATAAGCACTATGAGCTTTCTTTTTAGTGTGACCACCAAATTTCAATAATTCATCAGGAACAGGTTGATTAGCACCTCTTAAAATATTACATAAAGCACCACTTAAATGTTTTTCATCTTCAGTAAATAAAGTATGAGCAATACCAGTTTTACCAGCTCTACCAGTACGACCAATTCTATGAACATAATCTTCAATAGTTAATGGGAAAGTTAAATTAATAACAACTTTAACATTTGGAATATCTAAACCTCTTGCTGCAACATCAGTAGCTAATAATAAATTACATTGACCAGATTTAAAAGAATTTAAAGCTTGAGTACGTTGTTGTTGTGATAAATCTCCATGAATTGCAGCAACTTGGAAACGATTTCTTTTCAATAAATTTTCAATTCTTGAAGCTTCTTTTTTATATAATGCAAATACTAAAATTTTATTTTCTGAATCATTATTATTACCTTGATATTTATGTAATAAATTAATTAATTTTTTTTCTTTATCAAATTTATTAACAACTTCAACAATTTGAGTAATTCTTTTATTTGCACTTAATTCATCTCTATCACCAACAGTAACTTTAATTGGAGATTTCATAAAATTATTAGCTAATTCTCTAACTTCTTTTGGCCAAGTAGCAGTAAACATTAAAGTTTGTCTATCTTCTGCATTTGTACTTGAAATAATTCTTTTAATATCTTCTTCAAATCCTTTTTCCAACATTCTATCAGCTTCATCCAATACTAAATAATCAATATTTGATAAATTAATTGCTCCATCATTAATTAAATCAACTAATCTACCAGGGGTTGCAACTACAACATTAGCAGTTTTAATCTTTTGAATTTGTTCATCTTTTGAAACACCTCCATAAACAGCAACACATTTAACATTAGTATCATTAGTTAATTCAATTAAATTATCATAAATTTGTAATGCTAATTCTCTAGTTGGTGAAATACATAAAACTGATAAATTTTTATTCTTTGTAGTAATAATTGAATTTATAGCTGGTACACCAAATGCAAAAGTTTTACCTGATCCAGTTTCAGCAACTCCAATAACATCTTTTTTAGATAATAAAAATGGCCAAGAAACGGATTGAATAGGAGTTGGTTTTGGAAATTTATTTAATTTAGAATTTATACTTGATGATAATTTAACTTGATTAAATGATAAAATTGGTCTTAAATTTAAATTATTTGGATCTTCAATAGTAATTTCATTTGTTGTTAAAAATGAATCAATTTCTGATTGTGATAATGAAGTTAATTCAGATGATTGAACATAAGTTGTTGAATCATTATCAATATTATTACTATTCTTAACTTCTTCTTCTTCTTCTGGAGCATGTTTATCCTTCTTTTCCTTTTTATCCTTTTTATCCTTCTTGTCTTTCTTTTCCTTCTTATCCTTCTTGTCCTTCTTGTCTTTCTTTTCCTTCTTTTCTTTCTTTTCTAATTTCTTCTTTTTCTTCTTTTCAGATAATTCAACATCTTCAACGTCATGTTTTCTCTTCTTATCTTTGATTTCTTTTCCCATCTTGTATCAACTTTTGTTTATCTGTTTATCTGGATACAAAGAAAAGAACCCTCTTCTGATGCAGTTTTTTTTTTTTTTTTTTTTACTTTTTTTCATCGGTATAATTTTTTTTCATCAACCTCATCTCATAAATTTTTCTCATCTTTTCCCACTTGACACACAAAATTAAATCACGCTGTTTTACGTAATAAACCCATCAATTCAATTCGATTCAATCAATTCAATAATTACAATGCCAATTACTTCCTCGGCTAAACTTGATTGTTGCAAAACAAAGCAAAACGAAACAGAAAAAGAGCAACTTTTTAAATTGATTTCATTACTGCAAAACTAAAAATTAAAACATATTCATGTATTACATACATCATACAATATATACATTTTGTTTATTACCACATCTCTACATTCATTAATCTAACCATTGAGTAACTTACCAATGGATAATGCTCTTCTTTTCTTAACTGTTTCTTCACTATCACTACCACTATCATTCTTAGTATCAGACGCACTCGTTCCTTCATTATTCTGACCTTTGTCAATTTTATAACTAGCTGTGAAATCAATTGCAATGGGCACTATGCTTTTTGCTGGTCTGCATCCTTCACAACATTTAGATTTACCTATTTGATTTCTTATTGGTGGCAAAGCAGGTGGTCCTGGTACTTGAATTTCTGGTAATTTTATACCAAAACTAGGTGCAGGTCCAGGAAGTGGTCCAGGACCATTGGGAATTCTACCTGTTCCATTATATGGTGGATAAAACGATGGTGAAATGTGTGGAAATGTAGACATCGTTGTTCCAGCATTACCACTAGATGCTGATGAAGGAGCACCTGGTAATGACAAAGGATAATTAATTGGTGGTGGTAATGTGGTGAAAACTGGAGGTGTTGTGTTTCTATTACTTGGTAAACTAGTAGGTACACTGGTTGATGTGACAAAATTAGTTGGAGGAGTTATTATTGTGTTCACCAATGGCTTCATTGTGACTGTACTGGTGGTGGTCGTTGATACTGTGCTGTTATCATTCTTGGCTATTGATGGTGTTGATGCTGGTGGTGGTGGTGGTGGCGGAGTTATCGGAGATGCTTTTGAAGAATTGTGTAATTCTAGTTTTGGCAGCCCTTCTTTAGATTTTTTATCAGATGATGAATGCGATTGTGACGACGAGACATTTCTTTTTCTTCGCTTGATCGTCGGTCGCTTCATTTTAATTGGACGGTGTGATCCATGTAATCGATAAAACAATCCACAAGCATTACAAATCGTATTCCCTGCGTCATCTCTTCTCCACAACGGAGTTATCGTTGTACCACAGTTAAAACAAGCTATAGCAAAAGCATTCTCATCTTCTCGAGTTTCTCCGGTACCATTGTTTTCATTATCATCGGAAGATCTTTTCTTGGATGTTTCACTCGTAGTACTATTTACAAGGTTTTTTGATGAGCGGGCACCTTGAATATCATTCTTTGGTGATTTTTCCAATGCTTTTTTGGCAACAATACGATTGTTGTAAGCAGGACAACCTTTGCAAGCGGCTGACCCACCAGTACCATTACACCTTCCATCCCCTTTACAAGACCCTTCTTCTTCTTTTGCAATCGCGATCGTATTTGGTGGTCGTTTAAGATTAACAGGACGATGGGTATTATTTGCTCTATAATATAATCCGCATGCATTACATATTAGGGTTCCATCAGGTGCTCTTCTCCACAACGGAGTTTTGGTGGTGCCACAGTTGGAACACTGTTGGCCATCTTTAGGATGAAGATCTTGGTTGGAGTGTTGTTGTTTAGGTGACTTTGGAGACGTTGATTGTGAAGATGGTTCTAATTTTGGTTGTAGTATCGTATTGTGTGAGGGTATTGGTGAAGTGCCTTTAGGTGCTATTCGTTGTGGCTGGTGCTCCACTTTGGGTTGTATCTTTGTATGATCTGGAGATTTCGGAGATTCTATAGTTGACATGATGAATAATGGGAATTACAATTCATTAATATTGATAAGATATGACTTCCGATAATTGTACTTATACAATAAAAAAAAATAAGTACTGGAAAAATGAAAAAAAAAAAAAAAATCAAAATTGAAAAATCAAATAATCTTTATAAGGGAAAAAAAATGTGTAAGAAATACCCAAAAACCAAAAAAAAAAAATCAATAGTGATTATATAATGAATAAATAAATGAATGAAGGGAAAATGAAAATAAAATTCAAACAATTATATACCACGATATTTTTGCCAGAATATATTTATTATTAAAAGCCTCCCCAAAATAAAATAATAAAAAAAAAATGATTGTTACTTTTTCTTTTTCTTTTTCCGTGTATGTAGTTGGTTACTTTTGATGAAAATGATTTGTTGAAACAGGAATGCACTATCAATGAAACCAAAAAAAATAGAAGGGAACAAAAAAAATTATGTACGTAGCAAGACGGCAAATCTGGTAGTACGTGTAATATACGTAAATGAGCAAATATATCCGAAGAAGATTGTGTTGAATGATGTAAAACAAACGATAAAGTGATTTCGTGTAAGACTTTATCTAAAAATCAATGATGATTTAATGACTGATATTAATGAAAAGTTTAATATGTATAAATATATATAATTGCAAATAAAACAAAGTGATGTTTCAATCAAACCTAATAGATTATTGTATTAATATGCAGATGATAATTTGACTATGTTGCAAGAATGAAAATGTGGAGTCTTCTCAAATTCAAGATGTGGATGATATTAGTTTTGAAGTTGTTTCAATTGATTGAAAGTAACTGGTTGCCACTTTTTTCTTTCTTTCTTCTAGGGTTTGTCTTGGTTGTAAACGAATCTAATGTTCTAGCAAATAGAGTAAGAATTTTTCTTTTCTTTTCTTTTCTTTTCTTTTTTTTTTTGCTTCCTATTCTAATCACAGCATTAAGTATGAAAAGGGAATCCAGGCGTAGTAATATACAATCACGGTATTGAAGCCATTGTATATAGGGAATTTTGTTTCTTTTTCTTTTTTTTTCGTAATACATGACTATCTAGGAAATATGCCACAACTACACAAAACATCTTATTACAAATACACAGCAAATGATTGGCCAGCTCGGATATTTCGTCGGAACTTTGTCAAGAACACGACCCCGTAAATTTTTTACTTTTCAACTGTAAAATACATTTAAGATGTTGCTAATCAGATTGATCAGTGAAAAAAAAAATACCTTTATGCACATTTTTGAGTCGCCCTACTCTTGGTTACTAAATTTAATGCATACAAATTGTACTGGTTAACTAAAGTGACGTGGCCAAGAAAAATAGACTTGTTTCCATTTCTAATTGTTGTTTCTAAAAAAACAAAAAGAAAACGAACCTAATTCCAATTGGGTAAAGATATGGTAGAAATCAGTACACAAACTCATGCTTAATGTTTGAGTAACTGACCAATCAGATTAAAGATATTATTAACAGAAAATGTTACAAAAGCTAGCACGCGTTTTTTTCGCTTGGTCGCATTTTTGGTGCGTGTAATTTGGATAAAAAATATTCACGTGCGCGCTCCTGTATATAGACGTCACGTGAAATAAGAAAAATTATGAACACTTGTATTTTATATTATTACCCAATATGGTAATTAATGTTGGCACCTTTAATATTTGTCACAAAAACGCGGTTGACTGAAACACGTTTTTCTTTTTTGCTTTTTTACAGATAAATTCAATGGTCACTCCTTTCCCTTAGAAATTAGCAATAAATTTTACGGTAATTGTCTTTGAGTTATTAGACGACCGGGTACAAAGGATGAAACAAGATAAATGAATTAAAAAGAATTTTATGTAATGAGAGAAGACACTGGGAAAGGGGAGAAGAAAGATTTTGTCATTCGTTTTGGAATTTATGTGATTTAAATGTGTATCTATTATTGAAATGGAATATCTTGATGGAAAGAAACAAGAAAATTTAATGAGTGATGTTTCATCAATAAAAGTTAAACTTGAATCTCTTGATTATATAACAAAAACAGTATTTTTTATTGGCAATGGAACAAGGATCGATGATCTTCACTTAGAAATAGTAATTCTGTTGTAAAACAGATTGTTCTCATAGATTAAGATTATATTAAATAATATTAGTGGGGTCGTGTACGAACAGAGCCAAAAAAAAGTTGAATCACGTCCCTTTCTCTCGTGGAAATCTCAAACGTGACCACAAAACTTACTTTTTTTTTTATTTTAACGAACAGCAAAAAAAAAATAACGCGCGTTTGTTTTGATTGTCAATTTCTTGGTGCTGGAATAGATTCATTTTTTGACAACCTAAATGATATCATCTTCATCATCTGTATCATCTCTCCCCCCCTCTCATTTTCCCTTTTCTTTCAATTCAATTGCCTCTACTTTTTTAAAAAAAAAACATTCAGAGCAATCGAATTTCATCTACAATAAACTAATGATGATATGACGTTCCAATATAATTTATACTCAATCTGGTGTTACATCTTATTTGGATTGTTTGGTTTTGTAATTTTGCTGTAAATAGAAAAAAAAATTGGACCACACACTCTCTTGCAGGGAACAGCGAAAAAAAAAAAGAAACATCGAGACAATCAAAACAAACCAAAACAAAAAAAAACTCTTTTTTTCTCTCTCTCTCTCTCTCTCACTTTCAAAGTGTAAACAACCAAAATATTTTTCATTTTACAACCAAATTAAACCACCATCGAAGGGAATAGCTACAACTTACGTACATTAATAAAGCTATGAAGGAGTCTAACCCGTATGAGAATGCATCGGGTGCTGGTACCAATAGCTCAACAACCCCAATGACAAATAACAATCCAAATAATGACTCCATAAATACTCCTTATAGCAACGCCCATGGCAAGAGACAACATTCACAACAATCATTTTCACAACAAACTCCTTATATCAACCAATTGGAATATTTCACAAATAATCAATTCTCAAGATCATTCAATAGTTTAATCTTGGATGATATTGCTGACTCACACTCCCATTCTCAATCGAACAACAATAACAACAACAATAGCAGTAGTTCATCATCCATTAGTAGAAAGACTATAAATAAATCACCACCTTTTAACGTGAAACAAGATTTGGTTAATGATAGTATTGATACGTTTTTGGATAGTACTAATAGGATTGTTGAAGATGAAGGTAACGCCTCCACTGAGGATGATGATGATGGTGATTTCGATGATGAAGACATTGAAGATCCAGACGCTGTTCAATATACACCTACATTGAATATTCTCAAACTGCAAAAGTTTGATAGTTTTATCCATAAGAATAACAACAACAATCATCTACGAAAAGCATCAGAAGAAGATTACACGTCATCGTCGAATACTACCATTAAGATATCTAACAATTCCCAAAGTTCGATTAAAAGGTCAAATAAATTTTTGAACTTGTCAATTGATTCAAAATTGAAAACTTTAGATGGTGACAAGATTCCGGATGAAATCGATGATATCAGCTTACATGAAATTGATGCCAAAGTTAATCCAAGTGATTTTTCTTCTCCATTATCCACTAGAAAAGTAGATTTGTATTCTTCAAGTAATTTTAGTATTGCCACTGGAGGGACAAACAATACCAACAACCAATTTAAACGTCCTCATAAACTTGTTAGTCAATCACCATCACCATCCTCCAAAACAAAACTAAGGATAACTAATACAACAGCCACAGCATCATCGTCATCATTGGCAGCATCACCACAATCTAATTTATATTCACCATCGAAATTGGGATTAAAAGGATTTAAAATGTTTAAAAATGCTAATAAAGATGCAATAATATCTCCAAATAGAATGACACCTGAAAAGCCCACATTTTCAAGTAAGATTTTTGGTAAATCAAGCACAAAAATAAGGCGAACTTATACCCCTACACATACATCAACACCAATAGTTCCAACCAATCTACCGTCTTCAACAAGCACCACTATCAGTAATACCACCGCAAATCCAACCAACAACGCGTCTTCAATACTTAATACTGCTCCCTCAACAATTCCTCAGTTTGATAATGATTCTGATTTGGATAGCCCGTCTAAGAATAGGAAACTGTCAACATTTTCGGGATCTTCAATTATAATATATCAAGACCATGGGAATATGACCCATCACGACCATCCAATAAAATCCCATCATGTAAGAAATTCAAGTAATCCAATACCATATCCACCAACTGAACCAACACTAAATACAAAGATTCTGAATAACTCATTGAATGGTGGAAATAATAACAATGCCAACAAGGGAGCCGGTTATGACGACAAGGAGAACAAAACGTCTTACCAATTTGTGAAACCTTTACAAACAGCATTTAATTCATCTGGTTTAATTAAAAAGAATAGTATAAGTTGTCATCCATCAGAATCTAGAAAATTACCACCAGAAACACCAATTAAAAGAAATCCATTGATGATGCTAAATAGGAATGTTCCATACCATGGATATCTTGAAGATCTGCATGGCAAAGAAGAACATCTGATTTTGCATAATCTCCATCAACAACATGCCTTGGGTAATACTGCCCTTCATCATGAAAGTGATATTTCTATTGAAGTGGGAAGAAACAGTTCTTATGATGCCAATGTCAGTGGGCACTCAACATTGAATAATAGTTATTTTAAAGTTAATAATACAACTAATCCATTATCATGTGAAAAGCCATCAACAACAATTGATGTGAGCCAAACCCACCCATTAGGAAATCATCAACTTGATTTGGATCTTGATTTTCATTCAGATATTGAACTTGATGATAATATTATTCCCGAAACTCCCACCAAAAAGCCAATCATGGCCCTCCATCAACAATTGCAACAACAACAACAGCAGCAGCAACAACAACAATCAGTGATAGCGCCAAAGAGTCCGACATTTTTACGTAGTAACAGAAGAAGAAAGATTAATAATTTAACTTTAAGTATAGACCATGCTACTAAGAAAGATATTGAAAGTGTTAGAGAAGGACCTTCAACTCCTATTAATATGGGATATTGTGGGACTGGATTGGATGGAGTTATTAATGGTAGTAATGATGATTTGATTATTGCTCAACTGATTAGTGCTTCAAATTTAGGCAATGAAATGGAGCTTGGATCACATTCATTATCTAGTAATTATGCAAATAAAATTGATGAACATTTAGGTGAGAAATTTGGAACCAAAAATATTAAATATATTGGAATGGGAGAATTTTCAATTGCATATGAATGTGTGTTTAATAATGAGAAATTTGCCATCAAAAGATCTAAGAAACCTGTTATTGGGAAATTAGAAGTCCAAACTATCAAAAGAGAAATTGAAGCTTTAAGATGTTTGACATCAATTAAGGATAATGATGAAGTCAATATGAAGGAACAAGAAGAAGGTAAAGAGTATTTAGTTTATTTTATTGAAGCATGGGAGTTTAACAATTACTATTATATAATGACTGAATTTTGTGAAGGAGGTACATTATTTGAATTTTTGGAAGAGAATAAACATTACAAATTGGATGAATTTAGAATTTGGAAAATTTTAATAGAATTGCTTAATGGGTTGAAATTTATTCATCTGAAAAATTATCTTCATTTAGATTTGAAACCAGCCAATATTTTCATTACTTTTGAAGGAAGTTTAAAAATTGGGGATTTTGGACTAGCTACTAAATTACCTATATTAGAGAAAGATTTTGATTTAGAAGGGGATCGAAACTATATTGCTCCTGAATTGATCAATGACAAGATCTATACGCCATTTGCTGATATTTTCAGTTTAGGGTTGATTATATTAGAAATTGCAGCCAACATCATATTACCAGATAATGGGACACCATGGAGAAAATTAAGAAGTGGAGATTTAAGTGATGCTGGACAATTATCAAGTGATAATATCTCAATGTTTTTGCAACACAATCCTTCAACTAACAATGGTACATGTACCAGTACTAGTGGAGGAAGTAATGAAGGAGCTGATAGTGGTAGTAGTAGAGGAAGATCATCAAGTTCTACGAATTTTAGTTGTAATAGCAATAGTTTACTGGGACAATCGATATCATTAAATCCACCGGTTAAATCATTCAAAACAGTTGCAACCACTACTACAACAAATACCTCACCTGTGATTGTTTGTGATGGGCTCAATAAACAACAACAGGGAAATCTTGAAGACTTGATACCTAATTGGGCTCCTGACTTCTTGGTCAATGGCAATCTGATGATTTTGGATAAATTAGTAAATAAAATGTTGAGACCTAATCCATTTGATAGACCAAGTGCTGGAAATATTTTAGAAATGGAAGAATGTATAATTATTGAAAGTAGAAGAAAATGTGGTGCAACAATCTTTGAAGGAGAATTTGGTAGTCCACCTGATGAATTATAATAAAAGAAAGAAGATAACACATGCTATGAATAGAAAATATTAATGTATATGTATATGTAAGTAATGAAGAAGAAGAATAACTAGTAGGTATTAATAGATGAGATTTTTTATATTATTATTAAACTAGTGTATATATAATATGAATGATCTTCATTGATTACATCATCGTGATCATCACCTAAATAAAGGAGTATTTTATAAATTTATTGGAAATTTATTCAATGCAATGTAAGAAGCATCAAAACCCAACAAAAATTTTGTCTTAAATAACAAAGAAGGACAAAGTTGATATTAATGAGATACATCTATGATGATTTATTCTTTTTCTAATTGTTCATACTACTATTGTATATGTACCTAATAACAATTAATTAGAAATAGTTGACTCTACAAAAATCTGATATGTATTAAACAAATACACATCAACTATTAATATTAATTTTGTGTATGGTTTGTATTAAATTGACAGAAATCATTATTAACCTTAAAATTCCATCAAATATTTAATTGAATAAATTTACCAAATAGTCTACAAAATAAACATTATTTGATTTTTTTGGTCAATGGATAGATATATAGATATCTATTTAATCTCGGTGATGAATATCATTGGTTCAAAATGTATAATAGGATCGACCATCCTCCATATGAAATAACTATGGGATTTTTATATTCATAAGATAAATCAAGTGTCAAAAGAATTCCTGTCTAATAAAAAAAACTTTCGTCAATAGTTGTTAACAAGAAAAAAAAAAAAAAAAGGACGCGCGTCAAAAATTGTTAAAATAGACACACACACACACACATGACTAAAAAAATGAAAAAAGGATCTACAATACAATAAAGAAAATCAACTGCTGTTTAATCTAAAAACTAAACAACACCATATACAGTAAGCACCCTTTTGGTAGATTAGCATCAACATCAATAACACTAACAGTAATATGCTTGTTTTATTCATGTACGTAAACTTACATATAAGAGCAACGAGGAGTAAATAAAGAAAGAAAGAACATTTTCATTTTCATTTTCATTTTCATCAAATTGAGAGATTATTAATATATAATTCATCTCATCATCAAATTAAATTAAATTAAATTAAATTAAAATGGAATGAAATTCATTGTCATAAAGAGTAGTAAAGTAGCACCAATGTAATATTATGAAATTTGTTTCAGGTACTGCCCTTTTGTCATTGAAATGCAAAAAAAAAAAATAGTTATATTGTACATTTGATTACGAATAAAATTTCTTCTTCCTGCTCTTCTTCTTTCCCTATTTTTATGTGTGTGAAGAATAATAGATGCAAATTATCGCCTATTTATCACTAGAATAATATTACAAACATTTGTAAAAATAAAAAAAAATTTTTAGAGTGTTTTAAATTGAAATTTGATTATCGAATTTTTTGCAATACAATATAGTACAATACAATAAAAGCCTTGTATATATATATATAGATAAAAAGAAATTGTTCATAATCTGTGAGTTACAGAATTAGTGTGGAGTTGTATTTCGCTAAACAGTGATACGGTGATAAAGTTTTATGTTTATCTCTCAACAAAATAAGATCAAACCGTTGGTTGTTAGTTATTGATTCAACTGATTGTTAGTTATAGTTAGCTGCTCAGTGTGAGTGAGTGAGTGTGAGCATGAGAGTGTACCTTGAAAATAGAGAGAATATTTAAAACGGTTACCCCTAACACAAAAATGTTCTCAATATATAATAAGGGGGTCGTGTGTGAGTGGCCAACAACAATAAAGATGAAAATTATCATATGTACAATATAAAATTAATTGTACTATGCAAATGTACTGCACTGTACTGTACTGCACTGCACTATATTATGTAGTATGTAGTATGTTGGATGTACTATGCGCTACTTTCTTTATTATTCTTTGCACAAACTAAATTTGTTTTGAATTAAACAGTAGGACAGCCAATTCCACCACCACCACCGCCGCCGCCCTAATTCAGGGATCGATCGATTTGCCAAAGAAAAAAAAGAAAATAATGGCAGCCTAAATTCAGACAACCAATCAATGTGGTACTTCTTCTTCTTGCTCTTTTAGTAGGATTAACCATTACAACAATAACTCGCTTGTTGAGCTTGCTTCATCCAATAAGGTCATTTGCTGTCTTTGTAATATGTTAATTTTAGCAACCACAATAAAGACAAAAAAAAAAAAAATTCTGAAACAATTTTAAAACATTTCACTTCAAACAATTTTTTGTTTTAAACCATACAACCTAATTTGCAATAATCAGAAAAAATTTAACTCGACAAGACAACCATTTTATTTAAAACATAAGCATTACCAAAACAGTATTAAGTCCCACTGACAATACAACGGAAACCATTGCTACTACTCCTACATTATCATATTACATTCAGACCGCGTTTTAATTTTTCTTGTTGGAAGAATTTGGTATCTGCTGAAGCGGAAGATTTGCATATTATTATTATTATTATTATTATCGTTATTAACCCATGCATTGAAATAGGAATAGAGACTTGTTATTCATTTATTGATTTACTTATTTCCAGCACAAGTTTCTTGTTTGACTGATCTTCGCTTATCATCATCGACAACAAAAACCAGGAGAGCAAGAGCGGATAATAACTGTTCTAACCCACACATCCTCCTATCCACATCCAATTCTGTTGTGGTTGTGGTTGTGATTGCTGCTGCTCGTTTATTCCATTTTGTTTTGGGTGGTTGTTTTAAAAGACAATTTTATGGCACGCTATTATTGTGCAAAAAAAAAAAAAAAAAAAAAAAAAAAAACTTTCACGTTACACGCACAAATTAAATTTTTTAACAAAAGAAATAGACGTACCACCCGTCCCCAAATGTCAGACTTGAGACATCACAAAACCAAAAATAAATACACCACGACCACCAGTAACAACAACATTAACTACTACAACAACAACCGCTTCCTAATACTTTTACAACTTGCAAAGTAATATAAAAGAAACCGAAGATCATCTACAATTAAATTTCATAAACAGACACACACACACTATAGGTTTTTTTTTTTTAAAAAAAGAAATAAATCCGATCTTTAATAGTCCTAAATTAAATTCTAAACAAAGGCTGGTTTTTTCTTTATTATTATCCCCAAACGATCGAAACCAAACAAAACCAAAAAAAAAAAAAATCATATTAATATCTTGCAGGTTCCTTGAAAGTTGGCTTTTGAGAAAAATTTTTTTATTGTTCCTTATTTTTTTTTGTTGTTGTTAGAAAAGAACAAGACTAAAACAATAATAATCTTTGTATTATATTAACATTTTTGGCCCCCTTCCCTGTACCATATATTTTGAGACATCCACGAAGCCTTTTTATTTTTGTATACATTTACTTATTTTTGCATTTGCATTCTGTTTGATTTTGATTTTGATTTTGCCCTTTATTGTACTGCACTATAACTTACAGATACAACACTCGATACTTTAAAGTCAACAAAAATAAAAAAAATACAAAAAGAAAAAAAAAAAGAAAAAAAAACGAAAACCAGGCACCCCTTTTTTTAATTTCTAAAACAACTAACATAAAAAGAAAAGAAGAAACATTTAAGAAACCTATTATCCACAGGAAATTCTATTATTTGATTTTTTTTTTATTCATTTATTTATTATTTAAAGAGATTTAGTTAGTTATTTACTTTGGTCCTTTTTTCTTTTTTTTTTTCATTTTTTTTTTTCACCCAATTCAATTCATCAAGTTTTATTATTTTTTTTCATTAGTTTCCTAAATTTGATTAATAGATCCATTTTTTTTTCGCCATTTATGTCTATTCCATTTTCATCTACAACTACTGCAATAAGACCACCGAATCATATATCGTCATTCAGTTTTGAAAGCATATCAAGTACAAATAACAGTCGATCAAATAGTATAAACAGTTTATTGTATTTAAACTCAAGTAATTCAAGTATGGGATCAAACCCTGCCCAATCCCCAACTTCTATTGCTGCAACCGCAACTCCTTCAAATACAATTCATCATCTGATATCAATGTCCACCACAACAACTACAGCACAACAACAACAACAACAACAACAACATAGTCATAAGCAACATGGGGTAATGGATGAAGATTTAGAAGATCCTAGTCAAGCTGTGGTACCCCAACCAAACCAAACCCCGACCTTGATGTCTACCGCGTCATATACTTTACAAAGACCACCAGGTTTACAACATAATTATCAATCATCAATATCGTCTGTATCATCGACTAGTTCGAATTCAACCAATTCATCACTTTCACCGGGTTTAATAAATTATTCCCCAAAACATTCTCGAAAACCAAGTTCATTAACTATGAATAGAAATATGAAGAATTTATCTTTAAATTTACAAGAATCTACCAATGGATATACCAAGAATTTACCAAAATTGGCTTCATCTAATTCAACTTCTTTCCTAATGAATAATAATAACAATTCGAGACAAAAGATACCCAACATTGAGTCACCAATAAAGAAGAATATGACCAATTATTATAATTTAGATTATACAGCATTACAAACTCCTACAATAACGGAAACCCCAAAAATGCCCCCATTATTACAACAACAACAAGATCCTCTAAGTGCTGGTTCACTGTATAAATTCCCTCCAATCATTAGTAATCATCATAACATTAATAATAGTAATAGCTCGTCAGTGATGGGGTTTTCTAATGGTGGTGATTCTGATAGTGAAGTTGGATCTGTTTCAATGAGAAGAATAACAAAAAATAATATCTTACCTCCTGCTCCTCCTCCATTTGCATTACAATCTAAATCTTCTCCATTGTCAACTCCTCCAAGACTACAAAGTCCTTTGGGAGGATTGGATAATCGAATTGTTGTTGAATCGCCTACACATTCAATAGGTCAAAGATTTAATGGAATTTCCATAAGCTCACCTGCTGAAGCTGCATTTAATTTCAATTCTAATTCAAATACTACAACCACCACAACCATGTTGAGTACACCACAAAATTTGGTTTATAATTCAAAGAAATTTCATGTTCCTGAAGAATTGCAAGAACTGACATCTATTAATGCATATCCAAATGGACCAAGAGGTGTTCTTGATAATTTAATTTATTTATATTCGGATCCTATTGAAGGTAATTTAGATGTTCGACAATTTAATTTGGTTATTAATGTTGCTAAAGAATGTAAAAATTTAACCAGAAAATATGGAGAAGAAATTTCTGGAGAACGGGAATATCATTATATACCATGGTCACATAATTCATCAATATCAAAAGATTTATTTGAAATTACTTCAAAAATTGAAGAATTTTATAATAAAGGATTAAAAATTTTAATTCATTGTCAATGTGGAGTTTCAAGATCAGCATGTGTTGTAGTTGCATTTTTCATGAAGAAATTTCAATTGGGAGTTAATGAAGCTTATGAATTATTGAAGAATGGTAATGAAGAAATGTATATTGAAGCATGTGATAGAATATGTCCAAATATGAGTTTAATATTTGAATTGATGGAATTTGGTGATAAATTGAATAATAATGAAATTAGTACTCAACAATTGTTAATGAATAGTCCACCAACAATAAATTTATAGAGAAAGACAAAGAGAAAGAGATACCAACAAAGATAAGGATGAAATATATCTATATGTATATTTAATGTATAATGAAATTCAACAAAAATTAAAAAACTATAAAAACATCGAACTCCTTCTTGATCATGTTGATAATAATAATGATAAATGATATTAGTTTCTCTTTTTGTTGTAAACTTTGAAATTTTCAGTTTCATCAAAATTAACCCCAATGATTTTACCAGATGAAGTATCAACAATATCATCTTTTCTCAAGAAATCCAAATTGATTAATCTTGGCCAGTCAACAAATTGATAACCATGATTAATTAAATATAACCAATTTCTAGTACTAAACATTAAACATAAAGTAATAACAATTAAATTTTTAGTTTGGAAAATTGAACCACCTTTTGGATAAACTAGAACTGCCAATAAAATCAATAAACTAGTACCTAATAGATAAGGTAATAATTGAATAAAAGGAGGACGTTTATCAATAAATGGAGATTTAATTGAATCTTGAAATGGTTTAAATTTACCTAAAAATAAATCATAAGAATCTTGTCTTGAACCATCAGTTAAATTATTTTTATAATATCTTGAAATTGAATTAATTAAATCATTTAAACCTCCCTTATAAGTACGTTTACCTAATCTTGTAAAATCAGTTTTCAATGCACCAGTACCTGAATAAGCACAACTAACAGCATCAGCATTATCAGCCCAAAAGTTTTGGAAAAATAAATTAAATTTCTTATCGATTCTTTCAAATGGCGTGGTTGCTGGAGATGGTAAATAATTAGTTTCGGATAATTGATTTTGTAAAACCCATCTACCTATAGTTGATTGAACAACATTAGTACGATCTAAACAATCCATACAATTGGTACGGACAATTTTATTTTGTAATTTAACAATAGTTGAATTTTGCAAATCATATTCAAAATAATTATCTGATGTATAACCCAATGAAATTAAATGATCCAATAATAAATTAATTCTATGATATTTCATACCTTTACATTCATGATGAAAATCAAAATAAATATAATTAACATGTTTAGATAATTCATTAGGTAAATTATCAACAGCATTTTCATAAGCTTCTTTAACTGGTTTTTCATAACCTTTTTGATTAACTAAATTAACCAAATAATTATCTCCATATAATTCAACTTGTTGTTTAAAATGTTTAGCAGTTGCATCTAAACTTGATTGAGTACTAATAACTAAATTTGGTTTATATTTTAAATTATTAATTTCTGCCCAATAAACAGGAACCGAACCTCTAGTTTGTAAAATTGAAAAAATATGTTTATCATCACTTGTGAAAAATTGTTCAGTTTCATTAAAATTTGCTACATTACCATCAATATCAATACCTCTTCTAAAATATCTTGTACCAGCTCTTGAAACTGATCTTCTTGTTAATAAAGCAAATTCTAAAATTTTCCCATTAAAATAAGCATTATGACTTTTAAAATATCCATATATTAATGGAGTTATAAATTCATTTTTAACACTTCCTGTAGATTTAATTAAATCTTCAACTAAATATTTATTCCAAAAAAATCTATCATCCAATTGTAAATTTGAAGTAGTAAATTGTCTTTGTAATGAATTGGTTAAATCATATTTATTATCAATTGAATAAAACAATGTAGCATTAGTTAAATGAATATTTAATAATTTTAAATATTGTAATTCTTCATTATTTTTCTTACTCAATTCATTAATTCCAATTGGTAAAATTTCAAAATCTTGAATAGTTGCAATATCATTACCTAAAATAGATCCAGTAATTTGATGACTTCTACCAATAATAACATAATATCCAAATTTTAATCTAATGGTACCAATAATAATTGAAATTTCTTTATTATTAGTTAAATTCTTATAAACAATTGGAATACTATTAGAAATCTCAACTCCTCCTCCAGATGTTAAAATAAGATATCTTTGAGTTTGTTGACTATAGAAAATATGAGTACCATCAGTGGCAACAGAATGAATTAAAGTCATTGTGATCAATCACTCTCTTGTTTCCTTGTTCTATGTAGTGATAATACAACTCAGAAAAGAATAAATGTTTGTTATCAACAGGTTGTTAAATAGTTTTTTTTTTCTGTTGTTGTTGTTCGTCGTTTCTTTGAATCTATGCGATTTGTACGAACGTGAAAAAAACAAAAAAAAAAATTAAAATAAAAGAAGCACGTGATAGCCTAGCCCACAGTTTAGCATTAATAGTGGTAATGTATTTCCAAAATAGGAAATAACAACACCTGGTGCAAAATACTTGTGATCTCTAATGGCTAGTCTATGATCAGGATAGAAGTGTGGATAAACACGGTCGTATCTGTGGGAGTGTGAGTAGAATATGTGTAGCATATGTGTCTATGATAGCAAACACATTTACTCGTAGTAGTAATGTACAACAATTTTTAGTCACATACTGTGGTGGCACTACTACTATTAGCAGCATTAACTAATTGTTACAAACTTTTATTAACAATAGAAAAGTGTAATCCAACAGGAGTGGGGGCGACGAGACGGGGGCATGGTATGTGTATTTTCAAATAAATGCTACCAATTAAAATCCAACTTTATAAGTACAAACGAGTTGTACCTGACTCCTCGATAATAATAATGCTTCGAGGGAAGAGATCGTCGTCTTCTGTCCTCATATTAATGCTTTATGTGGTATTATTGAGAATGTATTGACTAAAATTGGACTACCCCAAGTTAATTTATTATGCGATTACATAAAACAATAGCGAATCCTTATCGGCGTGCGTTAATCCACGTTATCTTTCTTTATGAGATTTAGTCAACATTTCAGTTGCTACCATTACGATCTTACATAACTGTTTGAACGTTATAATTACCTAAAACCTCGACTGCTAAATTATTACTCATTTTGATCTTGATAGTGCTAACGTAATACGGGTTCTATTGTTAGAACAGTAAAAACAAACAATAACCGAGGCAATGTTTCTTGGCAATGAATACACGACCCTCTTTTGTATTGGTAAAAAAAAAATCAGTTATCCCACACTCTATCTCGCCAGTTTTGCCCTCCCAAGCTTACTCCACTTTATCTTGATAGTTTAATCATATTTAAGTATAACCATTGAATCCTAATTGAATTTGAGTTGTAAACATTTTTTTTGTCTTATTTATTTCAACACACCATAATCAACAACATCATTTTAAACAACCATGTCATCCGATATTCCATATACACCAAAAGGTGAGCCAACTATTGAATTCGTTGAACATAATAATGCCAAATTTAAAACAGTTACTTGGAAAGTACCAAATGAAGTAACTTACAAAGGAAAAATCATTTATGTTCATGGGTTTGCTGAACAATCCAATGTTTACACTGAATTTTTTGATAATTTATCACAGAATGGTTATGAAGTTTTCTTTTTTGATCAAAGAGGAGCTGGAGAAACATCACCAGGGAAATTAATTGGACAAACTAATGAATTTTATGTATTTGATGATTTAGAATTTTTTATTAAAAGATTATTAGATTTAAGAGTTAATAAAGATGAAAAATTTTACTTAATGGGTCATTCTATGGGTGGAGGAATTATTTTAAATTATGGTATTAGAGGTAAATATAAAGAAAATATTAGAGGTATTTTAGCTTGTGGTCCATTGATTCAATTACATCCTGATACTAAACCAAATTTTGTTTTACGTGCTGCTATGCCATATGCCAATTATTTATTACCAAATTTTAAAATTGATAGTAAATTGAATTATGACTACATTACTTCAAATGAAAGATGGAAGAATTATATTAAAGGTCATGATAAATTAATTGGTACTATTCGTCAATTTCATGATATGTTTGCTAGAGGTGAAGATTTATTAAGACCTGAATATGCTGCTCATTTTGATAAAGATATCCCAGTGTTGGTTGTTCATGGTGATGATGATCATATTAATGATATTAGAGCAAGTAGAAAATTCGTTGCTTTATTCAAAGATCAACAGGATAATAATAAGAAATTGACTGAAATTAGTAAAGGTCGTCATTCTTTATTCATTGAAAATGATGAAATGTTTAAAGAAATTTTTAAAATTGTTATAGAATTTTTAGATTCCAATTAACTGTGTCTATTGTTTGGTTGTTGTTTTTTTCTTATCAGCTAGTCTCGTGGTTTAATAGTAATCTTGTTTTTATTAGTTAGTTAAATATATGTGATTACCCATCAAATGGGTTGTAACTATTGCTGATCATGATTTGTTATATACTGTTATGGGGATCTGTTGTAAAGAACAATTTTCGTTTAATTTTTGCAACCAGTCTCAGATTTTTAAAAAAAAATATTTCTTCAGTTTTACTTTGAATGATGGGTGCGAGTACCCGAGACAAATCATCATACCACCACCACGGCGAAAGTTGTACAAAATTAAGCAAAGACGTTATAATAGCTCTCAGAAACGAATATTAGCCACGAATCTGACATCATAAAGAATACAAAACTATAGAGGGACTGAAAATTATTACAAAAATGTAATGAAAATACTTGTGACACCAGACATAATTGTTAATGTGAGCAAACCTCGTCTTTGGAACGACGTCTATGAAATCAAAACATAATTTGCTACATTTATTAAAGTAAATAATGCTAAAAAAAATAGACAAATCATTCCAAATGACCCGTTCCTGAGATCAATTAGTTTAATCCTAATTGGTCCGTTCAATTAATGTTGTATTTGTTTGCAATTGGAAAGACTAAATTGAACTGATCACGTGACTTTCTCGTTTTTTATTTTTGCCAACAAAGAAAAAATTTGATATCAATTAAAAGCGTCAAAAGTTCGGAATTGCAACTCAACTTTCGGAGGAACAATTTAAACAAGAACGATTGTGTACGGTTAGTATATACATAATATATTCAGATAATCTGGTGGGCTGCACGTGACATAATAATAATTATAATAATAGAAGTTTTATAGTTTAGTGTAAATTCTCGGATAATTCAGATTAATTAATATTTGTAAAATTTCTGTCTGAAGGAGAACAAAATTAAAAAAAAAAAAAATTTTCTGTTTAACTTTTTAATTGATTTTTTTTTTTTGCTGTGAGCCTTTTATTTAAATTAGCTCTATTTCCTATTAATTTTCAATTATCCTTTTGTATTGAAAGGGGGGAGAAATAGATTTCGAAACCAATAACTTTCTATTTATTCTTTTAATACTTTGGCATATCCATCATGGGTTATACAATTAAACAGAAGATTGGTATTTGTTTGAAATCAGAGTCAAATCCTGAAATGACTCAAGCTGATTTAGCTTTATGGGCAATGAAAGAATATGGATCTGAGAAGCCCCCTTCACAAACAACAATTTCAAGAATATTGCATTCAAAAAATGATATTATTTCAAGAAAAGAATCAGAATTCGAACTAATAAGAAGACGTAAACGAGCCAACCCTTTGTTGCGTCGTATTTTAACCGAATGGATAACTCAAGCAGTTTGGGAAAATTTACCCATGACTACTCCAATTATTCAATCTACGGCTAATGGAATTTGGACGAGCTTACCTAAAGAAGGCAAAGATGGAAATGGGGTTTTCAATCAAAAATGGTGTTCTCATTTCATTAAGAAATTAAATATAAATATCACTGGCACCCCACAAGAAATTCTAAATAATAGAGGTTATCCTTTAAATAAAGTTTGGAAATTGGACGAAATATTAGAATTGAAGAAATATCTACGAGAAATTGTTGCTCAAGATGGATATTCTCCTCAGGATGTATTTGTAGTTGATGATTTTCAACTTTTTTATTCATTACCATTAGATCAAATATTTGATGTATCTTCAATTGATAAAGGTATCAAACAAACACATGCTGGCTCAGAATATTCCTTAACTATTATGCTTGGTTGTAATATTGATGGATCTGAAAAATTATCTCCTATAATTGTTGGAAAATATGATAAATTTGATGTGTCCAAAAGTTCTCATGCCAGTTTAAACAGTCTTCATTATGATAGTGTATCCTATCAAAATTTGATGAATAAAATAACTGAAGTTTACAATATAATGTATAAATCAAATACAAACAAATGGATAACTTCATCAATGTTTCAAAATTATTTAACCATGTTGGATCATAAATTATCCACCGCAAGACCAAACGGTAGAAAAATCCTTATACTACTTGATGATTGTTCTTCTCACCGTATTATCAATTTGAAATTCAACAATATCAGATTAGTTTATTTGAAAAACGAAGCAAATCATAAAAATCCTTATAATATCACATATTCTGGAGTTAAATTTGATTATTTACCGATGAGTTTTGGATTAGTTGAAGAATTTAAAATCCTATATCGAATGCAACAATATTTAGAAATGATCAATCTTCAACGAAATATATCAAATGGGGGTAGAAATAATAATGGAACAACTGAAGATTTAACAACTGAAAATCTTGATTCTGCTGCTGCGCAATCAATACTGGTTCCATCATTAGAAGTATTATCTTCATCTCATTATCATATCCCATTAATTAAAGCAATTGAATGGATAACAAGATCATGGCATTCAATATCTCAAGAACGTATATTTTCATCGTGGAAGAAAACCCATTTATTTGATTTAATGGATTGGCCAACAGGGAATCCAAATCAATTATTACATTTAAATGATCAATTAACAAGGTTTGATGAAACTAAAAGTTACAGAAAACTACAAGAGATTATGAGTTATTTGAATGTGGTTATACCATGGGAAACTGAAGAATTAGTTGGATTGGTTAATGAAAGATCTAAAGTTACATTGAGTTATGCATCACTTGATGAAATCATCGATAGTTGTCTTCTGGAACCTGTGGATCAATATGATGAACATGACGATGACAGTAAATATGATCCAATCAGTGGTAATAATTATACTACTACTACAGCTAATGATTTGGTTAATAATGATCCTTGGTTTTCAGTTACTGCCATGAATCAAATGGGTGATAATCAATTTTTGTTTAATAAAATTATTGACGATACTGAAATGAAAGATATCGACCCATTAACTCAAGGTAATAACAATAGTAATAGCAATGTCACTAATGACAATAACAATCCTGTGATTGCTGCGTTTGACAATGTTACTTTCCCAAATATGAATGTTTTAAATTCAGTAACAACTGGAAGTATTGATAGTTTACCATCTCAAAAGTCATCTCCTAATTTTGACAACACTATGACTGGGTACACCAATAATCCATTAAAACATAAGTTATCAACTATGGAAACTTGGGACAACACTAAAAGAAGTCATATTCAAGACTCACCACAGCAACAACAACAAGGACAATTGGTGCCACCACAGACAGCACATCGACCATCTCAACCACAAGAGTTACCATCTCAAGCACAACAATCAGTTGCCAATCAGAATATTCCTGGATATGGATTTTCTCCTGTTTCAAATAATGATTCTCCAGTTAATGGTACATTAACTCAAACAAGTCCTCAATATTCTAATGGTTCAAGATATGATAGTTATGATAGTGGTCAAACCCCGATATATGTAAACAATATCAATCAACCACAACCTCCTACCACATCCCAACAACAGCAAGGGTCTATGGTTGTTCAACCATCTTCACAAATGCGTGGATCGATCATGTCAAGACAACAAGTTTCGATGAACACAACCACAGATTTAGAAATGGTTGCGACTATATCCAAAATTCTTGAATATTCTGCTTCAAATACTTTAAAACTTTCTCAAAGTACAATTGACGATTTAGAGTATAATTTACGTAGGATTCAAGCAAGAATCAATCAAGTATAAACTATCAATAGATAATTATTTATATATATATATATACGTATATTTACAAGGAGTATAATTTGATAAATTAGTCGTGCCACCTTCATGACCATAATCAGGAGTTATGTATATCATACAAGTTGATTTGATTCACCTTTTTCAACAATAGTTGATTCATTTTCTTCTTCTTCTACATCATCTTCAGTTATACCTAATTCTCTTGCTTTTTCTTCTAATCTCTTTCTCTTTTCAATTCTAGCTCGTCTTATACGAGCAATTTCCGCTTGAATTTCATGAGGTTCTTTTGGAATTTGATTTAATGTGGATGGATCTGGCCAAAACCCAGGTAAATTGAATTTCTTATCAGTATCTAAACCAACATAATACATAACACATATAGGTGATAATAAATAAAATCCAAACTAGTTCAAAAGAAGGAAAGAAATATTGTTAGTATCTCATGATTGTACTTCTGTGTGGAGATAGTTGATGATTATACATACTTTTGCTGTTTCTAGTTGCGTTCTTGTTATTCTTGCTATAAATTTACGTATGAATCCCATGGTTTGTATTACTTATTGATAGTGATGTTGGATCTTTAATGAAAAAATGGAAATTGAAGTTACAAGGAGTTTGAAATTTTTTTGTCTCTGTTTGGTACAAAAGAAGGAAGAGAAAAATTTGGTGATTTTTTTTTTTTCTTTGGTTGTCAGAATAGAGGCAACCAAAAAAAAGTTTACAACACGATCACTATCACCACCACCACCACCACTACCAACGATCATCAATAATACCATGAGTTCAAAATATACTGCAGTTGAACCAGATGAACCATTTGATGATGTGTCATCATTACCATCATATGCAACTACTGATCCAGTAAATTCACAATCTACAAGAACTGCACCAACTCCTCAGAGTTATGCTCAAGGTCCAATGGAGCCTCAACAACCCATTGAATCATCTTCTACAGATCAACAACAACAACCACAAACATTAATGGAAAGATTAAAACAATCATCTCATCCAATTGCTTTATTTTTCTATATATTCTTCAGGGTATCACCAGTTGTTATTTATATATTTGGTAATATTATTATTAATCAAGTCACAACCAAGAATACATTTATATTACATTTCATTGTATTGATTTTATTAATAGCAGCAGACTTTTGGAATTTAAAAAATATATCCGGAAGATTATTAGTTGGATTACGATGGTGGAATGAAACAAATATGATTGATCCATCAACATCTGATGGTTCAAAAGATTTTGAAAATGTTTGGGTGTTTGAAAGTTCTGATCCAAATAGATATATTAATCCAATTGATTCAAAAGTTTTTTGGTTATTATTATATGGTCAACCACTTGCTTGGATATTATTGGCATTTTTAGCATTTTTGAAATTTGAATTTTTATATATGTTATTATTAATTGTTGCTATTACTTTATCAATGACTAATGCTTTGGCTTTTACTAAATGTGATAAATTTGGTAAAGCTAATAATTTTGCTAATGATATTTTTTCAAAAGCTACTGGATCAATATTTTCAAGATTCAATCCATTTAATAGATAAGAAGAACATTGTTTGTGTATATTAACTTTTCTTGTTTAGTTGAAAATTATATTTAGAATCCTTTTTTAAATAAGCTAAATTTTCTACTTACTTTTCTTTGAAAATGAGATGAAGGTAATGGATGATGATAATGATGACGACGACCACGATTTTGATGATGATGATGATGATGATGAAGTTGTTGATTATGATTATGATAATAATTCAACTCAGAACTATTTGGATAAATGATTTCAGCTTGATCTTGAATAGTTACTCTTCTTTTAGGTAATGGTTTTTGATCCCTTTGTTGTTCATTACCATTAAATCCATCACGTAAATTCTTTTCTTCAAATTGTACCATCACTAAATATACTTTTCAATTTCTCATCAACTGATTCTCTTCTTTTATTAATTCTTGTTGAAATATCAATATATCCAGATGTCGTTGAAGCAATATTATCACCATTTGAAGTTGTTGAAATTGATCTATGTCTAAATGTTTTCAATTTATGAACCATAGTTGTTGTTCTCCACCAAAAACCATGATTTTTAGTCTCTAATTCTTCTTCCTCCTCATCTTCATCAATAGTAGTATTTTCATATTCATCAACTATGGTTCCTATTATATCACAACCACTTGATCCACCAACAATTACTTCTTCATTTTCATTATTGTTCATACTATCAATATCAATAGTTACTCTAACTGTAGACTTCTCAGATTTAGCACCCCCATTTGTTGATATTTCTGGTGAGGTTCTATTTGTTAGTGTTGATTTATTTGTTAGTGTTGATTTATTTGTTCGTGTTGTTGAATTAGTTATTTGATCATCATTATCAAAATATTGATGATATCCTTGATGCAAAGAAGCCAATAATACTGATTTTGAATCATAATTTTTATTCTTATTCTTATTGGTAGTTGGATTTTTCGATTTGTTTAATATATCTGAACTTTTATTAATCTTTTTATTTGTTATAGATAACGATTTCTCTTTTTGTTGTTGTTCAGCTGATTCCGGTAACATATATAAATCCAAAATATCATAAATTATAGATCCATGACTTCTATTTCCATTACCATTTGAAATCAAATTATTATTAATATTTTCATTTCTTTTCCCATTTCCAATCCCATTAATAGTCTTATAATTCCCATTCTTTTTCTTTTTTGTCAAATCATCATCATTATATTCATGAATGAATTTTGAATTACTTTTAATGAATTTATTAACTGCCCTTGATTTATTCATTTGGGTTTTACTATTTGATGATGATACCAAGTCAGTATTTTCAATTATTGAATTTGAAAAATTGTTATTATTTAATTGTGATATCTCATCTGCAAAATGTAAAGTTTTTGGAATTCTCAATTCATTTACATTCATCATTTATCAATTCTTCACTAAGGCACATTCATGCAAAAATTGCAAGATCTGAGATATTAATATATAAAAAAAGAATACAAATACTTGATGGTGTTAATTGTGATTGCAAAAAAAAAGTTGATATTTTTAATTTTTTTTTTTTTTTTTTGAAATTTCTTTTGCAGCTATACAATGATGCAAAAACACAGAATCTTGATATTTAACATACCAATAAAAAAGAATTAATAATATGCATTAATTTAAACTATAAACTCAAGATAACTTTTCTTCTAATTGTTTTATATGTGCAAGCTTTTCGGACAACCCTGAATATGGAAGTTTACTATAATCATCAACTAATTTTGATTCAAGTTGAACATCTATAATTTTTGAATTTTCATCGTTACTTCCATTCTTTACAATTGCAACAATGGTTTCAAATTCTTGAATCATCTCTTTGATAGACTCGTCAACCTTGATTTCAAACCCTTTGATTTTCTCTCGTTTATACTCTTGTGAAGTCATGGCAGATTGTTTATAAATGATCTTTAAAATAATTTGATTTAATAACATGTTTAAATCATTATTTTTGGAAAATTCAATGACTGATTCATTTAACCCTTCAATGACAAAGTCAGACGGCATTCTTTGTAATATAGTAATTGGATCGTAAAAAGCATTGGATGTCTCATCGGAATTCTCAATCAACGCCTTAATAAATTTAGGTCTTGTCATTGATTCGTCAAGTAACATTTCCCAGGTTTCTCTCTCATTTTGATGCTTGGCAAATTCTATTGCCATAGTGGCATCTTCTAGTTTATTTATTACCAAAGATAATGCCTGCTTGTTTTGACCTATTTTACCCAATAAGTAGACCAACTCCTTGGTATATTCATTATTCTCACAGATAGTAATTGCAGCTTCAATATCATAATCATCATTTTTAGTTAAGTACGGTAACAATTTGTCCCTCTTGTAATCTGCATATAGCTTGACACGATCATTACCAAATCCTTCTAATAGGAAATTATCAATCTCACCAAGCTTCTCCAAGTAAAAGAAACTAACAAATGACAAGTCAGACTCATTCAACAAGTTGACAATTTCCTTCGGGGCAATTTCTAACCTATGGTCAACAAGAATAGCAACAACTTTTTCTAATCTTGGTTCAATCTCAGTTACTAACATGGTTTCCAAATCTCCAGGTTCAAACATCAAATTGATCATTACCGGTAATTGTGAAGTAAAATTAACTAATATATGATTATCAGATAGATACTCAACAATATTTGAATCTCTCAAATGAACCAAGTGAGGCACTGCTTTTATCGGATTCAATGTTTTGTTATATAAGATAACCAAGGCACGTTCAATTGTTTCATTACTCACAGAAAGTGGTTCTAATTCCTTTGAAATTTCCTTAGAATCATATAAATTAACATCCCATACGTTAATAAGTTGTAAACATTTCTCAGGATCTTCTTTAATCCAGTATCCTAGAATTTTGTTATAAATACCAGTGGATAAACATCCAGATTCAATAGGAATGACACTTGTGAGTTCTGGTATGTGATTGCTCTTGATAAATATTCCTGCCCATGTCTCCCAGTAGCCTAAAATTTCTTTTTCCAATTCCCCCTGGGTCGAGTTTGTACTAATCTGTGTCAAACTTTTTGTATCACTAGTATCCTTATTTACAGGAGCCAATAGCAATAAGTTTTTCAAAAATTCAGCTGCCTTTCCCCACTCATCATCCCTAATTAACAGATCCACATATTGTGTACCATAACTTAATCTTTTAACAGGACTAACTAAATGCTCACTAATTTCCCAAGCTTGCAAATAATTTTCTTTGTCCAAGTACCATGAAAGTCGATCACTCATTTGAAACTCTTCAGCAATAACTCCGTCCTTAGCACTAATAATATAATATTTCGGAGACGTTTCTATATGTGATCCCAACATAAAATCATTCAATCCCAAGTTATTAATTTCTTTTAATCCCAACTCTTCTTCAAATTCAATTTCACCAGTAGTTGAATTGATAAGTTTTAAATCAGGATTGAAAAAATCTTTCTTTCCTGTTTGTTCATCGACTTCTGGTGGTGTATAAGTTAAAACCATCCATAGGTCATCTTTAAAACTCGCAATTCCAGATATTAGACTATCGAGTTTAAAAATATGCTCTACCTCCACTTTTTTTTCTTGAACAGCTCGGAAAGAAATACTAGCAGTTGATGGTAAAATCCTACTCATACCAGACGAAGTAGGTATATTGTCTTTGCCATCTTCTGAAGTCTTGATGGAAACTCTAAGTGACCAAATGTAATTGCTCCAGGCTATTATTAATCTATCAGGATCAGGAAACGTAACACGTGGCCAGTAAAGATCACTACGAGGTGAATCGGCTGGTTTTTCGAGTACTGCTATCACTTGTCTTGCTGGAAGATGGAAAACACTGATTCCTTTATCGTTCATCCAAAGCACTAAATCACCAATTAATTGAATGGAAACAATTGGTCCATTATCTTTGTCTAAAACAAAGTCAGAACGTTTACCTAACCAACCTTTGCTCGAGAAATATAACCTGTCCTCCCATGCCACCACTAATAAAACTTCTGGATTTGTAATAATTACGATCTAGAACAACTGCATGTACTGGTCTTGCAAAATCATAGGCTACTATATCCTTTTCGTCAGAAATAGACCCAATAACAACAGTACCATCCATTGATGCAGTAGCAAAATATATCCCGTCCGTATACACAGATAAAATAGATGCTCTATGTGCCTTAAAAGTTCTTATTGAATCAAAATTAGGTTTGCATATATGAACAATACCTGAGTGGGTTGCAAATATAAATACTGATTCATGGAATGTACAAGTAGATACAGGGTCTTTTGTAAAGAAATTCGGCGGGAGTTTGTTTAGTCTTGTATATTTCAACATTGGAGGATCATCATCCTCTTCTTCATCTTCTTCTTCGTCTTCTGATTCTTCGTCATCTTCCTGATGATCATGATTATCGTTGACATTATCTGTGTCTTTTACCTCTTGATTGTCGCCTTTGTTTACTTTAGGTTCTGCGTTGTTTTCCAGGATTCCATTTTCATCTGACTTCAATTCTAGTAGGTTCGGTAGTTCATCGTGATTAGATTTATGATTTTTGTCTTTATCCTCAATTGATGTATGAGGATCAGTCATAATTGCTATTGATTAGTAAATTAGAAAGGTTTCTCTCGTAAAGAGAAAAATGGTTACACTGGTTGCTCACGATAAATCTAAAGACAAAGACCAAAAAAAAAGTTATCAAAACTACACGACCATAGTATGATGAAAAACATTCAAATGGGTACCAAACTATGATTGATACTTTTTCAATGCAAGAACAACCCCTACAAAAGAGATATCGCATATTGTATTTTACCTTGATAGAACGGTGATATATATCTATCTATATATATATATATATATATATATTAGTACTATATCTAAAATAAGAATAATATGTCCACTCGAACTATAATCTGTGACATAAGAGAATGTTAGGATGACAAATATAAATAACGTCACAATTCCCACAACCATGGACTGATGTTACTTGGTTTTTAATATTAGAGGACCAACAAGCATGTTGAGGATTTTTAGAGTTGATCACAAGAATGAGTTGACTATCCAAGATCCAAGGTTGATGTATATCGATGTGACGAAGGACACAAACATTAAACAAGAATATATCAAGAAGAAGGTTCCAAAAATTAGAGACACGACTTTTCCATTGTATTTAGAAAACTACGTTTTATGGAACGAAAATGAATTAATAATGAAGTCCATAAAGAATGATGATGAAATTACAGTGGCAGAATCTGAATTGTACAAAGCATTTTATGGTTACTATGAAACTAGAGATGTCCCAGTTGTTGCTTTTTATCTCAATGACGAAGAGTTGGAATTCTTGAAATCTAAGAACAAAGCTAGAAATATTAGGTATGAATTTTTTGATGAAAATGAACCTGGAGTAGGAACTAGTAGATGGTTATTGTTTCCTGGACGAATTGACATGGGTTATCACTACGTTCTGACCTATGGACTCATAATGCAAGATATTGAAGAAGAGCCACGAATGTTTTATTTTACTGAAAATGATAGATTGTTTTGTGGTACCAGGAGTATGAGTATTAGCACTATAGAGGTTAAGGATATTTTGGATTGCCCACAGTCACAGTATGATATATCAGAAAAGGTCTACAATTTTGATACTCACAGAGATAGAGCGATGTATGCTTCTAAAATAGATACAGAATTCCTTGCTAAACATCTTGGTGTTCCGTTGAAGTTTTTGGATCAGACATTCATGCCGGAATAAAGATGTAAAATACTTCATTGTTCATGGTAACAATAATAGTCAAACTTGCGAATATATTGAAGATAAAGAAATCCTTTTAATTAATCAATTAAATTTACCATCTACACCTGCTCAACTGTATAGAGTTATTAATATACGCAAATTTTTGTATTAATATATTTTACTATACCTACACGATTCGTTGTAAACAGATGTGTTTTGGTAATAAAGGAATTGCAGTTTTGCACTCTTGACTCAATGTCAACGTCTGCAAATTGTCTGGCCAGTTAAATGCTGGATCGATATCCTCTATTTCATTTTGCGAAAGATTCAACTCAACAACACTACTTGGAATAATGAGGTGACTATTGTCAATCTTGTTGATTTTGTTTCCCTTCAAACATAAATAGACAAGGTTTTTTGAAACGATCTCAATTTCTTCAATGTTCAGATTTATTAAAGCCAAGTATCGCAAACTAGCAGGAAAGTAGTAGGCACGGCCCAAATCGGAATTATTCTCTAAATTAACACCCTCGATCACCTCCAAGTTTGTCAAATAACATAAATCCATCATCTCACTAAGAGGCACACCAATAAGTGATAGCTTCTTAACAGTAAGTGGCAATTTCCCATTTAGCTTCACCCCGCAAAGAGCTAGACAAACTAAATTTGGTAACTTGAACTGACCTAAATCTGTTGTGGTTGACATGAAGTTCCCAACTATAGTTAATGATTTCAAATTTGGAAATTGAACAAAATCTGAATTATCTTGTGGTATCATTGCATCAAGCACAACCACCAGAGTCTCCAACTCTATCAAATTTTGAGGAAACACGATTGGATCAGAGCAGTCATGCAGTGATGGAAATTTGTAGTAAACTAGTTTCTGTAAATCTGGACAGCATACATTAAAGTTCAAGGACTCGAAGGGTCGGCCGTTGTATCTTAATTCTAACAAGGATAAAGGAAAAGTCCATGTACAGTTCGAGGTATCTAAAACTTCTAGTTTCTGGAGTTGACCTAGATTGGATAGATTAACAACACTTCTAATATCTTCAATTGTGACAATATTTACTTTCAACAGTTTTAAACTTGGTGGGAAAGCCAATTCATTGGTATCCCATGTCAAATTTATATTACATGATAATTCTTGTAAGTTTTTTGATAGATTAGTTAGATCGTTAGTCTTCACTGGGGAAATGATTGTGAGTGAATGTAAGTTCCAAAAGTCGCAAGGACTATCCAATGAGCACATATCTGTTACTGTAATATTTACTAGATGCATTTCTCTTATAATTTGCAGGAAATATGACGAACATTTGAAATGGGAGCCCATGCATTTATCTTGAAGTTTGAAGCTACTTCCAACAATGTTATACTTTTTTACTAAGCTGATCAATTGTCTCTGAATTTCGAGATCAAGTTCATCCACCTTAGAAAACGAAACAATAAATCTCACATTTTTGAACTTCTCCGGGAACATTCTATTCAATACAATTAAATCCATACAATTTTCCAATTCAATCTGATACGGCTTATACAATGGGTATGAGTTGCAAACTTTGACAAACTCTTTTATATTAGGCAAGTTGGGAGTAAAATCTGGATCGTTGTATTCAAGTGCAATAACATCATCAAATAAAGTGATTGGTTTGGTCCCGTCATCTAAAACCAGTGGACCAATTTTGACTCTTCTATACAACTGTTGTACAACATACAGTTCAATGGGACCAATACCACGCAATTTCAACAAATGATAGTTGGGAACGTAGTTGAAGACCAACTGAATGATCTCAGGTGGTAATACTTGTAACATTACTTCATAGAATCAACAAAGTGGAAAACTGAACAGTACATTCTGATTAGTATTTATACCATTATTTGTTGTGAATTTTGTTGAGTAACAGTACCCACCAAATTGATGTAGCCATTTGGAATTCAATCAGGTACGATGAACTGACATGAATATTGACAGGGTATCTCTAGCGCACTTCAAACTTGGTTAAATGAGAATAACCACTGAATTACGGAATACGGATAAAAGGGAGGACATGTGGAGAAATCCGAAAATTAAAGGAGAATATCAATGTTACAATAAATTAATTCTGGATTCTCCTATCTCCAAATTATTCATGAACGAACATTGATTATATAAGCTGGCATTGATTTCCTATTTAAGAAAACCTGTAATTCTCATGCAACTTGTAAAACTAACCAAAATGGAATAAAAGAAAAAGCAACTTACACAAACTGGAAAACATGCAACTTCAGTGCCATTCTGCACTTTACACTAAAATAGGAAATAAAGAACGAACGTAAAAAAAATGCCTTGCCTTATGCTCCGCGTAACTTTCATGAAGTCGCTTACATAATCACCCATAGTTATTTCACTTGTCCCAACCATCCCATACATTTCTCCTTTTCCCATAGTGAAAGAATTTTTTCTTTTTTTTTTTTCCCTGCTTTGTCTTCATTTAAAAAAATCACAAACTCTTTTGTTCTTATAAAAAAAAAAAATTCAGCTTTTTTCTCTTCCCTCTCCTTCTTCTCTTTGTAGCATTAGATTTTTCTTTTAGCAGTCTTCCCACCAGGACTTTACCAAAAAAGAAAATTCCCCAATTTCCCCCAATTGTATTTAAAGGATTAGTTTCTTTTATCTATATATTTGTATTCTATGAATAGTTAAGGTTTATTTCATTAACCATCGGCTCAACCCATAACTTAATCTCACACTACAGGAGTACCTACAAAAAAAATTGTTGCACTTTTTTTTACAGCCAAAGGCATTTAGACAACAAAAACAACAAGAGAACTATAATTATCAACTAATTATTCATACACACCAAGAGTACACACATATCTAAATATAGCTGTATTTAGTTACCTTATTAAATACTCAAAATATGTATTCACAAATGCAGAATTTCCATAACCACAATTCCAACTTTAACGACAATTTATACTTCAACCCTCAGACTCCACAAGAAATATGTCCTAGAGTATGGTTGGGTCCGTATGACGCATTATTAAGCAACCCAGAGGAAATTTCAAGAAACTTTTTGGTTGACCATAATATCAAAATTATCATTAACTGCGGTACAACGTTGCCGTTTATTGATTTGATTGAAAACCACAGAAATATCACCATATCGTCAGACGTATTGGTGTTGAGTTTAGACCCGTTGTTTGAGAGTAACCATGAGTTGGTTCGTGATTTCGTAAAGAAATACACTCGTGTGTTGACCAACTACTTGAACTTCTTCTACAAGACCAACCCTGAGGCGGGAAAATTAATCCACCAGTTGCCAGGTTCCAATGAGTGCATACAAATGACATCGCCTATTTTAACAGGAGGTAATTTGATGTTGCAGTATTTCAACCTCATCAGAATGATCAATCTTTTCAAGCTGATCAACCAGGAATTGGAAATTTATATTGTGTCGCATGATGGTAATGAAAATTTGCTGACTGGACTCATGATTGCTTACTTGATGGACACATACCGCTACAATTTGGTAAACTCGTTGAAATTGATAAGAAACAGACGACCATCGATCAAAGAGTTGTCATGTGTTGAATACGAAGACTTGTTGAGTCAGTTCTATATCCAGAATTGTGAAATCAAATGCACCCCGTTGACTATGACTCAGCTTAAAAGGACATCGCAGGAAGACGATACTAGTGAAGTCATGGCTGGTGGTGGTGATCGAAAAAGACGGTTCTTACATTAAAATGAAAAGGCAAAAGTTCTCTTTATATCATGTTGTATATTAGTTTGTATTATAAATAAAAAATTGGTAAATGTTTGGTTATCCGCTAGTTTGGCACTTCTAATCCCACTCTGTTGGCTGTTTTCGACACGTTATCAGATTGACTCATGAGTAAACCAGGGTTGTATCTAGTCAACAAATCGAAGTATTCTCTTTGGTTCTTGAGATACAGGTGGACGTTGTTCAAGTTGTTTTGGCCGTATTCTTCTGGTAATTTCTCATTAGCAACTTTGTCGATTATCCCATTGAAACTTGTTTTATCTTGTAGCTCGACCATGTCCTGGCATGTTTTCTTGGTCAAATCATCCAATTTGGTGTCAATATCTTTGATATCGTTCATTTCTCCCTTGCTTAGTTTAACTCGTTTCAAATAATTGTAGTATGTTTTAGTCTTTTCTAATTCAGCTTTGGCTAGGGACTTGGCAGTGGCATTTTCGTACTGTAACAATTCATGAGCTATGTTTTTCTGTAATTGTTTGATACTTGGAAATGATCTTGTGAAGATGGACATAGTAACTGTGGGTATGTGTGGATGGATAGAATACTGGAGAAAGAAGATCAGAATTGCATGGAGAATTTTTTTTTTTTTTTTGTTTTTTCACTCTCTTTTCTGTTTGCTGGATGAATTTGCACGACGGTTGGGGTTCAGTGTTGCAAAATATCCCCTACAGTAAAACGTTTGTAATTGGCACATATTCACATTTGGTCTTCATTGCATATACACTGCAAAAACTATATAGAGCAACAGCATTGTAATATTGATACCATTCGTAGTCAACTATCCTAGAAACAAATCACCCATAAAGCAAAAACCAGAATAATCAACCAAAACAAGCGAACGGTTCTCATAAATCAACAAACTGCACATCCAAAAGTGCCAAAATACAAAACCAAGAATGAATAGCTCTTGTGTTGTAGAAACCCTAAGTCACCTGTCCCGTGTGAATTTAGAAGGGGCCCAGTCATAAATGAAGGAGAACAAATTTCATTACCAATGAATAGTAATAAATGTAGCTTGACATTGTTGTTCGTGATGGTGTTTGATTGTAACAGCAAAGGAGTCAACGGCGGAACTAAGAACATGAACTGATGGTGTTTGATTGTCATATTCATTGTAAATACCATTTGACTCGACCACACTTCCTGGTAACTGTCCCGAAACTTCTCTTCTTCATTTAAATAAGCATCTATCCAAACAAGGGAATCTAAACCTAAAAGAATACACATCCAAGGAGACTCAAAATCGAGCCTGCCAAAGACAAAAAAGAGAAAAGAAGAAGAAGAGAAGGAAATTTTTCAAAGAGGATTCATCTGCCACTTTTTATATTATTCGCAGAAGGGGTGGATAACTGTTGTTTGCCTTTATCTTGGACACACGCGTTATTGTCAAAATTAATTCGCGACAATTAGTTTAACATTCTTTGTTGATACAACAGTTATTATCTCATTCTAGTGCAATACAACCGTGTCTTGTTTCGTTTTTATTAATTGCAGAGAGTATAGTTGCTTGAATAGGTTAAAATAGTTTGTGTTTGACAGTGTAGAGAATAGACGGTGTTTGCAAAAGTAAACAAGGTTGTTTGAACTGTTGGTTTGTAGGTAATGGAAAGAAGTTAATTGAGTTAAACAATTAATGATAATGGTATAAGTTTCAATCGTTAATAGTAGTCTGGCTTGCGTTGTATTTGTTACTTCAAGATATCGACGACAAAGCATTTGTAGATTTATCTTGGTGGATTTTTTTTGTTGAAATCTTAGATAAAACTTACACCACTAGCCTTGAAAGCCCGTATAAACAATTGTAAATTAACTTAGACCAACATTGCATTGTCATGGACACAATGTAATTTCTGATATCTTATTGAATGTCATATTTATTATAATAAACTACACAACAGTAAGTAACGAGCTGCATAACGAGCAGCTTTATTGACTTTGTGTCCGAGTTGCAATGTAACTCTGGTCATGAAAATTGTTGGTTCTCTCGTCTTTGAAGCTAGGGCGAGAGGTCGAGTGACAGTGTGCCCGAGCGGTTAAGGGGTCTGACTCGAATTCTTTAACCAAGTTCGTGTTATCAGTTGGGCTTTGCCCGCGCAGGTTCGAATCCTGCTGCTGTCGTCAAATTTTTTTTTCCCATGTTTTGCCTTACATCTCATCTATCAATAAGATATATATTTTTTTGGTTGATAATCGATTTTTCTTTTCTATGAATATCAAAATCAATTGACAATAATAAGATGCCAAAGATCAAAAAACCAAAGAAGAATGGTCCACCACCTGAAGGTTACTCCAAAATTGAACCAACATTAACTAAATATAGAGATAAATTGAAAACAGCACAACTGAAACCTGATCCTACAAAATCAAAACAATCTTCATTATGGATAATATATGAATTAAATTATAAAATTTCAAGATATGTATATGATATGTATAAAAACAAGCGAATATCTAAAGATTTATATGATTGGTTATTATTACAAAATTACGTTAATTCCGATTTGATTGCTAAATGGAAGAAATCAGGATATGAAAAATTATGTTGTATTAATTGTATATCAACAAATACAAATGGTGGAGGAACTTGTATTTGTAGAGTTCCAAAAGCTAAATTAATTGAAAAGGACCCCGAGAAAGTAAATACTGAATGTATAACTTGTGGTTGTAGAGGGTGCTCATCTAGTGATTGAATTAATTGAAGTATATATTTGAAAGTTGCAACTAATAAAATATAAAAGAAAATTTTTAAACAAATGGAATATTAATAATACATATAAAACTCTAATTACTTGATAAATAGAAATACAATATAAGAAAATAAAAAAAAAAACAAAAACAAAAACCTAAACTTATAACCCCTTAACTTTCCCAATTATGATGAACATTGTGCAACAAAAGTAACCAATTTGACTAATCAATAATTAAAATAATATTAATAAAACGAAAGAAAAAGAAAAAAAAATTAAAACCAACAATAACATTAAAACAAAATCATCCAAAATAACATTCATACCAACCTAGTTCTTTGATTCACCACGTTTCTCAACATTCTTCAAATCTTCAAGTAAATTCTTACAACTAGTATTGTTTTCACTTTTCTTGTCAACAAATTGTTCCCTAGAACTACCTAATATTGGTGAAGATTGAATATGAGGATGTTCAAAATTTCTTAAAATCATATCATCATCATCATAAGAAGAAAAACTGGCAGTAACTGTGGACAATTTAGATTGAGAAGGTTGTCCAAGGTAGTTGAGTGAATTGTTAACCAATGGACTGTAATAAAAGTCATCCAAGTACGAAGGAGAATTCCATAACTTCTTGATTATAGAATTAGTTTGTGGAGTACGAATGTTTCGTATTGGTGTTTTTATGACAGATGATTTAGGTGTTCGGGATTTTGCAACAAGATGCAGCTGCTGTGATTGGAAGTGTCGAGATATGTTGTTTGCCGGAGTCATTGGTTCTAAAAGAGGACCGGTTTCAACAGGTCTCGCAGGAGATAATTCAAAATTTGAAATACAACTGAATGAAGAAGTATATGTGAGATTTTTACCAGCCAACATTGGTTTATTTGGTGATTCAATAACAAATCTAGGTGGTGATCCTGCCTTAGGAGTGGTTGTAAGAAGGTTAATGACTTCTCTATCATTGTTATTACTCGTGTTAATGTAGTCAGAAATGGAGGATTGCCATGGATCACCTAATTTATTGATCTCCAGCTTGAATTTTTTCATTGGTGGATCAATAATTGTAATATCTTCATCTCCATCATAATCATAATCATTTGATTTGTGGCTATTACTATCGTCGATTTTTCTTTTCAAAGTTGGATAATTAGGCGATGATGGGATGTTCGTGGATGTATGTTTCTTGGATGATTTTTTCTTAGGTTGACTTTCGGTTTCTTGTGATTCAATTTTCGCAACAGCGTCGTTGATATCAGTTGTTTCAGAACCAGTCTTGTTGGTAGCGGCAGCAGCATTCAATTTCGCTGCTTGTGTAATTTGGTCAATTACTTCTTGATAAGAACCCTTCTTGACACTTCTGCTTTTCAAAAATTGTTCTTCTGACCCTTGTTTAATACACCAGAAATGGCCTTTCCCATCTTTGGATTTCTCACCTTTGATAAATGCTTTATTCAATGACAAGTTGTGTCTAATGGAATTTTGCCAACCCACATCACCTTTCTTGTAATATTTAAAAGTATCTGATATCCATTGGTATATATGAGACAATGTCAATTTCCTTTCTGGATGTGACAATATGGAAATCCCAATTAAAGTAGCATATGAATATGGTGGTTTCTCTTCGGAAGAAGGGTCGAAAGCTACTCCCGATGATGAAGATGATGAGGATGAAGATGAAAAAGAAGAGGATGCACTTGATGGTTTGGTAGACTCTTTAGACTTTGAATTTTTCAGTGTTTTCTTAATTGGGGAACTTTGAGTTGGTTTTGTTATAGATAAATCTTCCTTGTTGGAATTTTCAATCTTTTGGGTTGGTGAAGAAAATGCAGGAGACAAGTAAGTTGATTTCACCATGACATCTGAACTAGATTCCATAAGTGAGACATTATCAAAATCGACATATTTTACTGGGGTTGCAAATGATGTTTCTGATTTCTTGACAGTAGACATGCTTTCAGGTGGAGTATTCTGAGTAATTGGAAACGCAGAACCAAGTTGGTTTTTTGATTTTGAAGGAGTGAGTTCTAGCAAATTTCCATAATTGGATGAATCTTTTAATGGGTATCTCGATTGTATGTTATCTGAGGTATGTGACATTAATATATATCCTTTGTTTAAATATGGGTATAGATCTGATTGATAAATGATGAACTGGTAAATCTATAAAAAAAGAAAAAAAAGAATCCACAGACGTGTTACTCTCTTAGTTCAATCAAAGAATTTTTTTTAAAAAAAAAGAATGGGATGTGATAGAAATTAAAATGACAATAATTGAAGGTGATCTCTTTTTCTACTTTATGAATGTGAATTATTGAAATGGTGTATTTTTAGAAGATAATGTGTGTAATCATCAATATTTGATTCTATTTTTTTTTTTGTTAACCGTAAAAAGGTATTTAATATATATTTATAAAGTAACGAGGAAGTGGGTTAGTAGGCAAAAAGAAAAGAAGAAAATGATTACCTGAAACACACAAACACAAAAAAAAGTGTGACGCGTAACTTTTTTTAGTCGCGTACTGCATATAGCGAAAGGGGAGACACGGTTTTTCATTTTTTTTTAACCAAAAAGAAAATTTATTTTTATTTTTATTGATAAATTTTTTTTCGTGTTTTTTTTTTTTTTTTGATTTTAGCAATTTACATTTGACAAGAACGTGAAATACCATAAAACACGTTATTGTAACCACACCACTTAATTTTGCTTAAGATGATAATCAACATTTCAAAAAACGAAGATGGTGATGAGTTAATGAAATTCATAAATTTTATTTTTATTTCTACAAAAAAAAAAACCCCTTGACAAAAAATTTTTTAGTATTTTATAAAATTTAAGTTTCATTTCGTTTCATTTCATTGTCGAAATGGGATTAAATTCATGCACATTTATTGGATATTATTTCTATCACGTCTTATCGTAATATATCCTCATCATCAAATCGTACACTTTAAGGAGATTATGAACTATGTGATGCTTGTTTTATTAAGTAGTACATTTTGGTTTTTTTTTTTTTTTTTGAAAATTACATTGTGTTACAAAACAGCTGAAAATGTTCTATAATTTCAAAAGAACCAATTTATTTTCTTCCATTGCAGCATATATATATACTAATAATTAATTGGAATTATTCGCAAAATGAAATGAATGTTATTAATGTGGGAGTATTTGTATTTTGTGAAATCGATTGAAGTATGTACGTGTTCTCCATTATATTCTATTCTCTTATCATACCATTTGTAGAATAGTATTTGGCTAGTACTCTTAGTACAGAAATACGACACGGCGATAAGAGATACACCATTGAAATGCGATATAAGTCATATACACCAGGTGTTTCCTAAATTCAATTTAGTGGAAATATAGTAGAGCAATTATCCTTAGTAGTAGATTTAGTGTATGATATTACTTCACATCATTACATGCAGTGATATTTCAGACCTAACACACTGTCGGAAACCTGATATCTTCTGTTCTATGACCTCTGTCACAATTGTTCCCCACTGAGATATGGGGCCTAGCACACATAGGTCAATCCCAGATCATATCTGAGGGAGGCAAGTAGGGGACTATAGAGTAATAATATCTTAAATCTTTCTAATCAATATTGCATATGCATAGGTTCTTTCTTGCTCATTAATTCTGTTGGAGACTTTCTCAGTATTAAGTATTATATTTCTGTAGGATTGTTTGTAAGTATAAGAGTAGGGAAATTGCTTGCAAGATACAATAAAATAATTTTTAGTATCTATCTATTATCACACATTCCTTCTCCCGAATTTGGTGTTTCTTCTGTGTTTTATATTCATATTGGTACTTTCTGGTACGTTTCATGCATTTGTTCTGAATTTTATTGTTATACCCATTGTTTATTCACAATATCTTACTCTATAAAATCTCATGAATATATAACTGAAAAAGAATAGAAAGTATGCGAAAATTTAAATAATTTTTTAAACAAATTTCAACAAATAATCAACTTTATATCCGTTTCAAATTTTTCTTTTCCAATATCCAATTCATCTTACAAATCATGATAACCATTCTGCAATACTTACCTGCAATCAACGTTGGAAGTTTTTGGCCTTTCAAAACAAATTCATAGGAGAATCGTGACATCGAAAGGATTTGTTGCAAAAGTACCAATGATTACAAGACATTTGATGGAGGGTCAATTGATTACAACACGACTGCTGAAAAGTCAATTGAACCACAATTAAGATCCATCCACCACTCTTTACATTCTCAATTAGTGAATAATTATAATGTAATAAGAGTTTTTCTAATACTCATATTTCTTATTATGTTTATATTGAATGAATCAATCGAAAATTATTTCATTAGAAATATCAGAAATGTAATTAGGGATTTATGGGCTAGTTTTAATTTACTTGCTTCGTTATATTTGTTATTGACCGAGGTGTTATACCTTATGTAAATAGTTTATTGTTCCATTAATGTCACATATTTATATATATCCTATTCTGTTGCTATTTCATACTGAAAGAAAATGTCAATTTATAAAATATTTTCTTCTTGAGAATGGTATTTCCATGGACAGGTGTAATACGTCTGTTTAGTCTTATCAATTTAGCTGTGTTGGATTTTGACTTTCACGTGACCAATTTGCTTTTTTACTTGCAACAGTTCAGACAACGAAAAAAAAAAAAAAAAATTAATAGAGAAAGAGAGAGAAAAAAAAAGTCAGAAAGGCAATGGAAAACTCAATTTAATGAATTACATTGTTCATCTATCCTAGTCATCTTTCTTCTTCTTCATGGACGATTCAGTCAGATCACTTATTAGATTTGTTAGTAGAGGATTCTATACCACACCATTTGTGTTAATTCTTGATGCAGTCCTTCGTCATTCAGTTCTTTCCGAAGATGATTTGATTCATTTATTGGGGATAAAGAGAAAAGAATTACGTTCTTTATGTAACAAGTTAGTTGAAGATAGATTATTGACCAGTCATGTACAAAGAGAAGATAACGGTCAACAGAAATATGTTACTCGTACATATTTTTTCATTCACACCACTGAAGCTATTGATTCGATTAAATGGAAAGTGCATTCGATTGTCAATCAATTAAAACAAGAAATGTCTAGTTTTGGTAATCCACAAGGTTATGTTTGTCCTAGATGTGGTAATAAAGTTAGTCAGTTGGATGCTATTTCCATGTTGAGTGAAGATAAAACTGAATTCATTTGTGATGTCTGCCAAGGAGTATTAGTTGAAGATGATTCTTCTCAACAAGCAACATTGAAACAAGAAAGATTGGAAAAATTGATGAAACAAGTTGATCCAATCATTAAATTCTTGAAGATTATAGATGAAACTCACATTCAAGATAATGATTTCGAAACAGCATTACTACAAGCCATTCCTGCACAATCGGCCACTACTGCTTCATACACAGTATCCAACCGTGCCAACTATAAATCTAGTGCTCCTCAATCTATGAATGCTACTACCTTAGTTTCTATCACGGCAAATGATGAAAACTACGAACGTGAATTACAAGAGAAATTGGCCAGACAAAAGATGTTGGAAACCAATGCTTTACCTTCATGGTATTCTAATTCAACTATCGGAATGCAAAATTCGGTTAATGATTCGAGTGAGACAAAATCAGGTACGGAAGATGGTGGAGAAGATGCGGGTGACGGAGCAAGTGGTGAGATTAAAAAGGAAGAAGGAGAAGATTCCTCTAGCAAAGAACCTGAAACACCGGTTGTTAATACCACCACCACCACTAATAATAATAGTATCAATAATACTGCTGAGTTGAGGGAGAAAGAAGTACAAGATCGGGAAGCTCAAAATGCATTGGCAGCTTATTATGCTCAATTGGCGCAAGATGAAGCTGAAGAGGAGGACGACGATGACGATGACGATGAAGAATTTGATGATATACTTTAAATAGATTGAAACTAAAAAAGAATAAACAGAAAGTATATACTGCTTGTAGTAATCGGATAGAGAGAGAGAGAGAGAGAGAGAGAGAGAATTTGTTTTAGATTAGATTATAACCGAGCTTACATATATTCTATACTATGGGTTATGCATTTTGTTTATCCCGGGTATGATATGCAGCAATTATTTTGGGTATTCTTAAATGGCACGATTTTCTACCCCTAAAAGTTCCGAGTACATTGAGGAATTTTTTTTCTGTTGTCGTTGTTGATTACGGAATTAATTGGAGAGGACAAAAGAAAATTAGAAACGGGCGAGAGAGGGAGAGAGGGAGGGAGGAAGAGTAAGCAGGCGAAAAATACATTTAAAGACATACAATTTCAGACAGTCTCTCAACCAAGAAAGACAGAGAGAGACAGAGAAACAGAGAGACAGAGAGAAATTAATTAAATAGTCGTCACCATTTTTTTTTGCTCTTTTGTTTTTCTTACCAGACTTGATTTCTTTATAAATTTGTACACCTTTTTTTCTTTAATTACCCCTGATTTTCTCCAGACCAAGAACTCATTAAACAATGGCAAGTAAGACAGATAACATACCAATAGCAGAACCATTATCATCATTGCATATATCTGACGACAAAGAGAACAAACAAATACTCAATTCCGCAAATGGTGGAGGTGGTGAAGCAACAGAAAAAGTAAAGAATCAATCAGAAAAAATGGTTGTTACACAAGAAGACGATTGCAGTTATGATGACAATGAAATTGAAAGTTTTGTTGATGATGATGATGATGACGAGGAAGATAACCAGGATGAACATCAAAGACATCAACTAGAAGTTAGATACAATGAATTGTCAACAATAAAAAAATGTCTATTAGCATTGAAGAATGTTGATGGATATAGAGAATTGTTCCCATTCCAATACAAGTTGAACCAATTTGTAGCTGAAGATAAAATCCAATCCAATCCAAAAACTAAAGTATTACTTAATGAATGTGTTGACATAATGCATGAAATTGTAAAGACACTAGAAGAAAAAGGTGTCAAGAATACTGATCAAATCGATGGAGGCGGGTTTACTAATGTCGATGATGAGGTTGAAATCAAAAGAAATAGATATCATGAATTTCAAGAAGCTGATTATGATTTAGATAGTGAAGCTTATGGCTCTGAATCTGAACCAGAAGGTAATGATTATTATTAAATGAAGAGTCAAATGGAAAATAGGATGTGTGGGAAGTTTGGAAAAAAAATAATTATAAAATTGGCTTTATTGTATATAACACCAGCCGCCGCCGTCGCCGCTATCACCATTACTACCGATACTGCTATTTCTCCCACACACACACACACAAAATGTCTTTATTTGTCTTCTTTTACAACATCTTATATATATATGTATATACATACCTAAAGAGCTATATATATATCTAAATATAAAACAAACAGGATTTTGATACAGTTTTTTATTTAAAGTTTATCATCATTGGTTGCGATTTTTTTTTGGTAGTACAAGTCCAGACACTTTATGTTAACCATGTGCCATTAGATTAAGGTTATGTTAAAAGGGGGGAGGCCAAGTGGGGGAGACATACTACTGCTAATATTTAAATATTACGTAAGATTATTGAATACATACTTTGTTTCAATCACAACATGTGTGATTCCTGTTGTCTCTCTTCTTTATTCACCCCCATATTGATAAGGCAAACTTGTAGAGAAGAAGGCAGTCGTGTACTTGTACCAGTTAATTAGTTATGGCAGTTTCTTTTTTTATTTTTTCTGTTCCATAGTGTAGACGATACCAAAGAGAAGAAACAAAAAAAAAGAAATTAGTTAGGAGCAAGCCTACAAAGAAAGAAAGAAAGAGGAGTTGGTGGTGGATTTTGAATTTTTTTTCTTTCATTCATTATTTCTACCTGTTCTTCTTCTTCTTCATCATCATTTCAGATTAACAGGATTTTTAATTTCAAATAGAAAGATTGCTTTGAATCATCTTTAAGCGAATCAAGAGTTATTTTGTATATTTCAACAGTAGTTAGAATATTCATTTGAGTTTTATTACTACTATTTTTTGTTTCATTTCATTAAAGTGAGAGAATTTTTATTTTTTTTTTTATTTTAGTTTAGTTTTCAACTGCTTTTTTTTTCAGTTTTTTTTTTTTTTAGTTTGCATTCACATTCACATTCTTATACACATAGCTTTATCAATAATACCAGAAATATGATGTCAGCCGGATTTCAATGGGGTGGAGTACCCAATAAAGGATTAACTCAAGAACACTCAACAGATAAATCTACTACAGATTCTCATATTCCTCGTTATGGTTCGTCATCGTCATCATCATCTTCATCATCATCATCATCGTCGTCGTCGTATGCATTAACATCATCCTCTGCATCATCGTCGACAACGCCACATCAAACAATATCACATTCACCTCTTGCCACCACATTGAAAAAGAGAAAACGAGAAGATACTTCTGATGTAAACTTACCTATCAATAATGGAATATCATCAAAAAGATTTGTTCATCCTACAGCTTCAAGTAAATATAAGAGATCAAAAACTCCAAAAATTATTGGACAACCATTGCCACTACATCGATTAATCGAATCCCTAGATAAATCAAACCTACAAAAATTAGTACAAGATTTAATCATCATTCACCCAGAATTACAATCCACCATGTCAAAAATTGCCCCTAAACCAACTATACAAGATTCTTTAGATCTTTTACACGAAAAGTTTAATATGATTATATCTCATTTACCGTATAAATGTGATGTTGAAAGTGATTATTCATATTTAAGAATTAAACCTCATTTACAAGAATTTTTATCATGTGTTTCTGATTTCATTTTGAATTATTTGCCTCCTTTAGAAAGTAATATGATTCATTCTTTACAATTCTTGGAAGAAGTTACAAAAATGATTATTCATAATTTGCCAAATTTTACCAACCAAGAATTTCAATACACAAAATCCACAGCATTGGATCAACTTGCCAATTGTTGGTTAATTGTATTGAGTCAATCTGATAATAATGGTGAAAAAGAAGATGTTGCTGCTGATATTGGTGTTGTTGTTAAAGTTATTCAAGAATTGGAACTTTTAGAAAAATTACAGAAACATAATGAAGTTTCTTTGAATAAATTTCAAAAAGTTATTGATTATTGTAATGATAAATTAGAACAACATGAATTAATAATCAATAATGGTAATGCTGCTTCAGTTAATAATAATGGTGCTGTTCCGGCATCCTTGAGTGATTTAATTTCGGTTGATTATTCAAAGTATTCACTTACAAATACATCATCTATATAAAAAAATTTAAAAATTCTTAATACATGACTACTTTGGCGTAATTAATTTATATATATATATATATATATATATATATATATATATAGGTAAACTAAAAACACATTTCTAATGCCTCCAAAGCTTGTAAATTACCTGGATTCAACAATAAACTACGTTGGATATCTCTAAGTTGACCATTCTTTAACAAGGCATCTGAATATTGTAAACCATTAACTTTAACATCATGTAATGAAATAACTTGTTTAGCCATAGTATTATTAACATTTTTCCAAATATTAAAATCAAATGGGAACAAATAAGCATATCTTAACCAAACTTGATCACTTTCATCACCTAATCTTTTATTGATTTCATTTAACAATCGAGGTACTTCTCTATGAGTATCATTTGAAATTTCATTTAATCCTAATGATGCCAATTCATCTTTAATGGCAGGTAAATAATCATCTAATTCATCAACTAATGAAATAGCACCTAATGTTAAAACAACCAATAATGATGATCCATATTCTTCAATATGTGCAAATAATTGATCAATTGCTGCTTGTTTAGTTTCTTCTGTCCCTTCAGCATACAATACTTGAGAAATTAAACTAACAATTCTTGATGATTGACTATATTCTCCTAAAACAATTTTCAATTCACCTAATGCACTACTGAAATCATCCAAAAAGAAATATGCAAGTCCCATAGTGATTTTACAAGATAATAAAATTTCTGGTGTTTCATGTAATTGTAATGCCATTTGTCCATTATCTAAAGATTGTTCATAATCTCCTAAACCAAGATAAATTCTTGCCAACTGTGATTTAACTTGTGCAAATTTTTGTAATACTAATTCACTTTCAGTTTGTTCATATTGTTTTTCATACAATTCACTCAATTTGAGACCTAATTTAATCGCCAGTTCAAAATCTTTACATCTTTCAGCAATTGATAATGCAATGCTTAAACCAGCTTCATCTTCTGGATAATACTTGAGATATTGTTGCATAGCTTGATTACTTATACTAAACTCTTGAGCAGTTTCAATATTACGAGCATCACTATCTTTACTCTTGTTAATAACAGATAACCCATATAAGAATTGTGCTAATGCTAATCTTCCTTTAGATAAGGTAAATGCATGTGTATAATAATTAGATGCTTTTGCATCATCTCCTAAAATATCTGCGGCAACAGCATTTCCCAACCATGATTGTGCATCTTGTGGTGCCACAGATTGGGCTCTCAAGAATGTTTCTTGGGACAATTCAGTATCACCATAACGTAAGAATAAAGATGCCAAATTGACCCAAATCTCGGCATCTTTGACTTCCAAAGTGGTAGCTTTGATATAACAATGTTGTGCAATTTGTGGATTACTTGAGAAATAAGCATTACCCAAAGCAATCCAATAGTTGGCATTATTCAGTTCAAGTTGAACAGATTTCTTGAATAATAAAATCGACAAATCTCTGAATGATTCAGTATGTTGAATTTGGAAGGCTTCTAATAACGACAAACCCAAATTGTAGTATGCAGTTGCACGTAATAATTTATTTGCCTTTGATGGTAAGTACTTAACACCAGCAACAGCAGCAAGAATGATAAGTATTAACAACGAGCTAATTTTATCACCTTTTGAATACAAATCTTTGGCATTGCTTAAATTAATACATCCATCAAGGGTGATTTCTCCAATATCAAACTCTTCGTTATCTATTCCTGCTTCTTTGAAAATATCAAAAATGTCATCAACTGGCAATTCATCAATGTGCTCTTGGATTTTAGTAAACACTTTCAATGCTTCACCTAAAGATTTCCAGGCTTTTTGGGATGAAGTATTAACAGCAAGAGATTGTTTAATAAAAGAAATGGCTTTCAAATCAGCGTTAATTGCTCTACCAAAGAAACCAGATTGGACAAAACGATGGGTATTTTCAATATTTGCTTCATAGATAGCACTAATGATACATTCTTCATTTGGTTTAGATTCCAATGCTTCATACAAATATGTCAACCCTTCGTTATACTCCTTCATTTCACATGTGACAACACCCAACATATACTTCACGGTCCACTGATCTTGTTTAATAGTCAATGCATGATTGAAAACTTTAGCTGCTGCATCATATCTACCACAATTATAATAAGCTTCACCAAGACCAACCCAACATTCAAAATCATTGGCATCTAAACGAAGGGCATTTTGAAACCATTCAATGGCTTTGGCATCATCTTGGATATTCAAAGCCCCACAACCTAAAACACGATATGGCCAAGATTTATCCCCCTTGACACCTTCACGCATTAATAATCGTCTTGAACTATCATTGGTGACAACACGTTTGGCCAAGACTTGTGCAACTTCCCATTCATTCTTAGCAGTTGCTTGTTCCACCAAATATCTTGCAGCAACAATTTCATTGATATCCAAATCAAACGCTTTGAAGAAACATTTTTGAGCTCTTTCAACATCACCATAGAAATCCTGGAATAATACCCCAAGAAGAGTATATGATGGTGCATAAACATCAGAATCCTTAAGTGATAAAACCAAGTTACTGTAACATTCCTTGATATTATTCTTGTCAGAATCGTCTTCCATAATGAAACTCTTTGCTAATCTCCAATAAGCAACAGCTCTGGTTTCTTTGCTTTGTAAATCACCACCAGTAACTTTACTCAAAAACTTAGTCAAACCTTCACGACCTTCTTTATGTTCACCAAGTCTGATTAAACACCAATAGTATTCAGATTCAGCCTCCATATTATCAGGATATTCTTGAACAACAGTTTCCAAAATATTCCTAGCTTCCTGTAATTCCCCTCTTTCAGCATAAATTAAACCTTTACCAACTTGAGCCTTAACATTCTTTGGATCAGATTCTAAAATTTTCTCATAAAGTTGAACAGCTCGACTGTAATTCTTTGGAGCTTCGTAATATGTATAGACAATAGCAAGTGAACATAATAAATCTTCCTTAGTATTGATCAAATCGATACCAAATGTTCTTTGAACATCAGCCAATGCTCTGATTCCTTCTCGACTTTTCTCGGAAGCTTCATTATATTGCCTTAAGTAAATATAGTAATTCACTATAATTCTACCAGCTAGGATTGAATTCTTGGCTTTACTATAGCCATCTAATATCAATCCCAAAACTTCATTCTGTGGCAAATAATACTGAGACATATTCTCTTCTTCTTGTTGTTCAACATCTTCAAGGTCTTCTAAAACTTTAGCATCTTCTTCATCTTCAACATCAATCGTGTCAGATTTATCCTTTCCTTTAGTCAATTCATTGGCAGACAACCCCTTAATGATTTTTTCTTTGTTATAAGGTGAAATATCACTCATTACAAAGGCAAACAATATCAAACCTAACCCTTCATTTTGGAAAATTTGCAAATATTGAATGATTTTATTTTCATCAAGATCATTAATAGTCTTTGCATCACACCAATCAAAGTACAAATTCCAACAAAACAAACTCTGAGTATTGACTAAAATCATATCTTCCATTTGTTGTTTGATATCTTTATACATTACTTGTTTATCAGGACAAATTTTCAATTGTTCATATTTGAATTTCAAAAGTTTCTCTTCATATTTTCTTCTTAATCCATCATCATCACAGGAATTAAGAAACAATTCAAACAATTTAATAATGGATCCATCTTCATAATATGACCAAGCAATCGAATCTAATTTGGATTTCTGATCAACAGTCATGGCTCTTCCAAACTTGACTCTTTCTTTAGATATTCTATTTGCAACTGTCTTTTCAGTACTTGTAATTTTGAAGTCTAATAATTTTTTAACTGTAACATCTGTTGGTTCAATAGCAGTTCCCACTAAATCACCCAATTCAGTTCCTGGTAAGATCGATTGCAAATAATATTCATATAATTTATCATTACTTTTATATTTTTGAGTATCCAAATAATTCCTCATATCACGTAACGTTTCTGCTATAGATTGTTCTTGATTTATTTGTACTCTGATTACATTAGTGAGTACATTAAAAAATAATTTATAATCATCTGTAGTCCTAACCACTTGAAAATAACCTTTCCATGCTAACAAATAATCTGGTTCAATTTCAGCAGCTTTTTGAAATGCTGCAATAGCTTTAGGGATATCTCTTAATAATTGATAGGATTTACCTTGAAATACATGAGCAAAATAACAATTTGGATCTTCTTCTAATGCGTCACCAGCATGTTCCAATGCCAATAATGGATCATTGGATTCTAGTGCTGCTTTTGCAGACTTAAGATATTTCTTCACTGATGACATTGACTTCTTAAAAGGTATCCGTATAAGAAAAAGAAGTCTCCTAGTTTGTCTATATATTATCTTTTGTCAAGAACAAGTTAAATTGTTGATAATTTTTTTTTTTCTCTCTTCCTCCACGTCCTTCTTCGTGGTGATGTGTGCGATCAATTACCAAAATAAAAGAATGTTCTATGACTGAATCTATCACTACACTACTAAAGGATTTCCCTATAAACCACTCTATTTATTATGACCACCTGGGACGACCTTAAATGAAATGATGTCATTCTTTCCGATGTCAACAGTATCATCTTCACTAATTCTAATACCACCAACACCTTCAACAGCAGCAATGGTCACATCACCCATAATCTTCTTTGCAATTGCTGCTACTGGGGTACCTCTTTTAACTAATAAACAATCTCTGAAAATGAAATCCCCTGAGCCACCAGTAAAATTATGAATGTTTCTTACTGGATAAACAGGAACCAAGTTCAAAAGATCAGCAGCGGCTTGTAATAATTGAACAACACCAGTGGATCCAAATCTATATAATACCAAATCACGGATATTTTCAATTCTATTTCTCAATTTGTCATCTAATTCTTTTAAATCTGGATCATCTGGTAAATCATCTTTAGTATCAATAAATTCTGTTCCCAGATCATATTTAATATAATGTTGTGCAGCAAGTTTCCTGAGAAAAACTTCAGTGATTGAAGAAGTTAGCACAGCTTTCAGTTTTGGATATTTCAATATGATTTTAGAAACATTCTTATCAGCATCAGGATGGTCCATTTTATTTAATGCCAAAACAGTTGGGAATTTGACTTCCATAAAAGTTCTAACAACTTTTCCTAGCATTTCATCGTCCCAATCTTGTAAAGGTGGTAAATCAGGTATTAAATCTAACGCATCCCCAATTAACTTCTTGTTGGCAACATACCCACCCAATTGTTGTCTCAAAGTTTCCAATGTAGAAGATTTGGTAGCAATATGTCTTTTCACAACAGTTTTCCATCTCTCTTGTAAATTACCCAAAATCCATTGAAAGATTTCATCTTGTAACCATTCAATATCTTGTAATGGATCATATCCTCTAGTTGCTTTACCTTCAGCATCAGTAGTACCACTAGCATCGATAATATGAATTAAACAATCAGCTTCAGTTAGATCACTCAAGAATTTATTACCTAATCCTCTACCCAAATGTGCATTAGGAACTAAACCAGCAACATCTAATAACATTATTGGGACACCACGTTTACCGTTTCTACAATACCCATAGTTTGGTTTACATTTATCTTGTTTATTGAATCTTGCACAGGCACAATCAATTTCAAGATACCCAGTAGCTTTATTTGGATCTATAGTTGTGAAAGGGAATGCTCCACATTTGGCATTTGCATCAGTTAATGAGTTTAAAGTGGTCGATTTCCCACTTGATGGTTTCCCAACTAAACCTATGACAATTTCTCTCCCCATTACTTAGTTTTTGTGTGGTTGTAAATAAATTGTTTATGGAGTACTTTGATAAGTAGAACTGATGAATTGAAAAATTTCGTGCGCAAAAAAATTTTCTTTTTTTTTTCTTTCTTTCTCATTCCAGTATGTCATTTCACTTGATGATAGTTCATGATAGTGTAGACCTTAGAGAAAAATACATGAATAAACCAAGTTGATAGTATATGTTTTTTTTTTGGTTGGAAATGATGTGTTTGAATAAAATTATTAAGTTTCAGATGGTGTTTAAATCATAGATATGAACCTTTATCATCTCGGTACGACGCTCCTCGTACCGCAAATTCTTCACGAACGAAGTTGTAATTCACCTACAACACTTGGAATCGATATAACCACTCTATCGTTTAATTTGAAAGTCTATATGGATCATCTTGTGGGGTTTGTTGAAGGGCCACAGCCTTGTTCCAGATAACTTCAGTCAATGTGCCAAGCTGACAAAAGTATGGTGGTCTTAGTGGGGAGAGTGCGTGTCCGATATTTAAGTTCGACTACAGCACCAGGAGAAAAAAAAAATACAACAAAACAAAGAACACATCAACAAAAGATACTTTTAAAAGGAGGGCAAAACAAGGAATAACTAACCAGAAGTGTTACTAATTGATTCTTTCTCAACTATTGAATACAATTCTTTGAATTTTAATTACATTTAACCATGGCTCTTGCTGATTTTGCTTTAAAGAATATTTGGGGTGGACTTTCGAGTGATTTTAGATCCAAGAACTTTTCACTTTATGGACAATGGATTAGTATACTTACAGTTTTTGTATGTTTAGCATTGGGTATTGCTAACTTGTTCCATACTTCCTTGGTTTTTATATTTTCAATTATATGTATTGTTCAAGGTTTGATTGTATTATTTGTTGAAATTCCAGTGTTTTTAAAGATTTGTCCATTAAGTGAGAACTTCATCGCATTTGTTAAGAAATTTGATGGTAATTTACCTCATTGTGGTTTCTATTTGTTGAATGCTGTTATTCAATACTTATCTACTGTTGTTCAAGCCACTAGTTTGTTGGTTGTTGCAATTTTATTCACCTTTTCAAGTGCTTGTTATGCCTTTGCTGAACTTAAACATCAAGAATATGTTACCACTTCCCTTGACCCACTTGGAAACAAACAAACCAATGATTTGGAAGCACAAGGTACTGATAATGCTGTCAGAAATGTCTTGTAGAATTTATCATTATGACTTTACTACCGAGCAAACAGATATGAAAATGCGTGAGTGAAATGTATTCAACTTTACATATATTTTAGTTTTCTTACAATTGATATTACTATTATTTTCTTTTACTAATGAAGTTCATTGAGCCTTCTGCAGGCGATATCTTGTAGTCATTATTATTATAAATGTGCTCTGAGATAATGATACACTTTGACACTTTGTGCGTAATCAATGCCAATTGTAGCACCAACAGTAGAATGAGAAGAAAAAGGAAGGAAAAAAGGAACTGCGATTACCAAAAAAAGAAAAAATGAAAGAGGGAAGCAAAAAAAAAATTTTCTTTTTTGTCTTCACCTAAACAGAGCCATCAAAGTTAAAATATCAACGGTTAACTACAATATTAATATCGCAGGTATTATTAATAAAGAGGAAGAATGTCAACACTACCTTTTATAGAAGACACCAAAGGTCAAAAATGGAAAAGACAAAAGTATAACAGTTCAGAGTTTCTGGATAAAAAGGAGTCACTGATACAGTCATCGCGTGAACATACACCAAATACAACCACAGCATTGTCATATGATGAAGTCACAGATGATTTAGATGAAATTATTGCATTGAGAGGTGAAGGAAGATACTTTGGTGTTACTGACCCTGACGACGAGTCGGGTCTTTCAAGACAAACTTTAGGCCCTTTATGTTCAAATTGTCATAAGAGAGGTCATATTAGAGCCAAATGTAAAGTTGTCATTTGTCACAAATGTGGTGCTATTGATGACCATTATGAAAGTCAATGTCCAACAACTATTATTTGTGCAAGATGTGGTGAGAAAGGTCATATTGTACTGTCATGTAAAAGTAAAGTCAAAAAGAGACAATATTGTCGTCTGTGTGATACTTTCAAACATAGTGATGAAAATTGTCCAAGTATATGGAGAAGTTATATTATCAAACCATCCCAGTCCGGTGACGATGTCAGAGATGCGCTACCAAGAATTTACTGTTATAATTGTGGTTCCGATGAGCATTATGGTGATGAATGTTCAGAACAAAGAAAATCCAGAATACCTAATCTTGGAAGTGCTTTCAGTGGGAACAATTTACCTAAAGAGTTTCGAGAATTGTATTTCCTACGGTTAAGAGGAGAGGGTCGAAAGTCGGATAATCCATATTTGCATAACTATGGTGAAGAAGCTTATGATCCAAACCGTAACATCAAATCTGCATCTGGATTTGGCAAAAAGGATTTTATAAACAGAAATAACAGCCAACCTGTGAAGTCCGGTGTTCTTCCAAAAAGAAATATTGCTTTCCCTAGAGGTCCAAGAACACAGTTTGATAATGGAAATAATGGAAATAATGGTTCTGCTACCAAATCAGGTGGCAGCTTCCTTAAGGCATTAAATGAAAAAACCAAGAACAAGAAGAGAAAAGTGGACCCAAAGCCACTTTATACACAACCAACCAGATCCGGCACAATTAACAGAAATGGAAATTTCAACGGAAGAAACAATGGGTCTACTTATAAGGGTAGTTCGTATGTTTCTGTTGGTAACTCAAAACCAACAAGATCGGGGTTAATTGCTGATAGAAAAAATCAAAACACAAAGAGAATGAAGTATTAGAAAAATATTAGCATATATATAGATAAACCAAAGGAATACACGTGTAATATTTTAATGTCTAAACTATACTGTAGAGTGGTGGGTCCTGAATCGGACCTTATCTATTTCATCTAATATTAATTTGTTTCCAAGGCTCATGATTGCCGCTTAGTGCCATTCGCATCTGTGGATCTTAGACAAAAGGCAAACAGATGAAAAGAAAAGAAAAAAGAAAAAAAAAAAACAAAGGGCTAAGAAATTTACTCTACTTTGTTCTTATTCCCTTAGTTGCGGGTGGTTGGTAGTTGAAATTAAATTAGACTACAATTTTGATCTGGGAATCATTTACAACCACAATTTGTTTTCAAACTATATTTCTTTAGTATTTAATCATAAGGTATTCCCCTTTTACCACCACTCTTGATCATCTACCTATTCAAAGATCAGAATTTTACCCACATTTCTGTTAAGTTGTTATTTTCGTGGTTGATGCAATATTGGTCATTACTCCGCTTCTTTGCAAATCTAAAATCACAATGAATATTACAGAATATTTTCACTATCCCACCAAAAAGACCAAGGAGTCCAGTGAATTACGAAAGAATACCACTGCGAAATATGGTGATATTGCCACGTTGCTACTATTGGTGATAATTATATCTATTCCTATTTATAACTACTTAGTCATTCATAATTTTCACCAACGTTTTAAATCCAATTTTATTAGATCATTCAATCTGAAATTAGATCATTATATACTGCATGAACATCATCCGAATTGTCGAACAGCAAGTTGGAGAGATAGACTACTAACCAACGTGGCACAAGTTCTCAAGAGAATAGTATTTAACATAACTTTGCATTCATCAACTATTATACAGTTATTATTTTGGACAGCATTTTTGGGGACATTATCACTTATAGATATTAATAATGGGGATTTGATATATTTGGCAAAAAGAGTGGGCAGACTTCCTGTGAATTGTTTGCCAGCGGTTTTATTCTTAACATTAAGACCAAGTCCTTTGCCAAACACGTTATACTTGACATTGATCCCGATTCACAAATGGTTATCTAGATTGATTATCATCCAGAGTATTATTCACACCGTGTTGTACATTGGATACTATGATTTTAAAAATACGATGGATAAAGCTTGGAAATTGGAGAATGTGTACGGTTGGATTGCATTAGCTGGTTTTTTGATTATCATAATCACATCACTATCAGGAATGAGAAAACGTTGGTACAGATTATTCTATTCCATGCATTATATTTGGACTTGGATCATTGTTGGTTGTCTTCAGTTCCATGTTCGACCACAACCATATACAATCTATACCATAGTTAATGTCACCATATTATTAGGACAAATTGGATACAGATTATATTTGACAAGAGTCTCTTTTAAAGGAGAAGTGAAAGTGATTGATGTGTCACCTAATTTATCCATGATTGAGATTCCTAATAAATTAATTGCACAAGTTGCTCATGCACCTGGTGCTCATATAAGACTAACAAATTACAGCTCAAATTTTTTTGTTAGAACATTCAAACAACTCATTCCAAACTATCACCCATACACGTTAGTTTCGTTCCCAAATGACAAACTACAACGGTTGATTATTAGAAAGAGTAATTTTAAGTTATACAACAATAGAAGATATTTGATTGTCGGCAGTTATGATCCACACTTGTTGTTCATTCAATCACTCCCTTCTCCAAAATTTTCGTTAAGTAAGTTGAAGATTAACGCAAAACGGTTGTTGATTGTTATTGGTGGATCTGCCATTTCTTTTGCATTACCGATTTTGAGAGTAATGAACTATCATGGGATACCAACAAAGATCATTTGGGTCATTAAAGATTTCCGTGATGTTCTCATTTTGCAATATTTCGATGGATTCATCCATGGTGATGATTTTGAAATTTTCATCACCGGAGAAACGTTAATCAAAGAGCAGTCGAAGACGTTACGTAATGAAATCAGCTACGCTTCCAATATGAGCAAGCACTCCCATTTGTCTAGTCATTTTGATTTGGAGCGAGACGAAACCACACCATTACTTGGAAACAGCAATGAACCACAAATAACATTGAATCTTGAAAATCAAATAGAAAATGTTGATATCAGTATGAACAGTGACGATGAAGACGATAGTGGTTCTGATTGTACACGTAGTGCTACTCCAGGTCCTGCTTGCGAGGATTTAGTTCAAATAGATGATGTTACTGCTGATGATAGTTTTAGTGATGATATGGGTGGTGAATATGAAGAGTCTGTTGATGAATTTGAAGTCACCAACGATAATCTAAACGAGCAATCTAGCAGGTCAAGAAGTGTTTCTCGTAAATCAAGTGTTAATGAACCTTTTATTCCATACTATTTACTGTCTTCATCTCAACAAACAAAATCATGGGTTCAACAATATAAACGGTTGATCAGGAAATTGAATTTGGAGAATAAGATATACAAAGGAAGACCAAAATTGAGTTACCGATATTATAATTGGTGTATCAATGAAGGGTTTACACAATGTTCAGGTCCAGTTGAAGATGAAAATCATAATTTAATCTGTTGTCGTGATTTGCCAAGAAACAAAGTTGTCCAAGAAGATGTTAAAGCTGAAAAGATTTGGGTTATTTCTGCCGGTCCGACTCCGTTAGTGGAAAATGTTAAATTATGGGCCAGTGAATATGGGTTGAAATTTCACGAGGAAGCTTTCTATAGTTAAAGAAATATCTTCGAATTTCTGTTTTTACAAGTATATGTATAAAAGAATGCTAGTGAATATATATATAGTTATATAGGTCATCATTTATATTTTCATCATTTATATTTTCATCACAATTCGAGATCTTCATAGGGAGATCACTATTTGGAATACCTATTTAGTTCCTCTTCAAGATACCTAGCACGTTTGATTTCATCTTCAATTGCTGCTTGTTTACTAATCTTCATTTTTGCTGTGTCTGTGGCAAAAGTTACTCCAACTACAGCCCAACCTACAAACCACCAAACTTTGTAAACATTTCTAAAATATGCTTTGTTCAATCCATGATTATATTTGTACGATAATGCGTATCCTGATACTAGAGCAACTAAAGTTCCCTGAAGTAACCCTTTTGCGCCTGCTTGATATAATTGATTGGTGAATCTTTGGTGTCTTTGTTGTTTAGATTCAGTTAATAAAGCTTCTGCTGATACTGTTGGCATAATCAAATGAATATGTATTTTCAGATAAAGGAGATAAGTGGAAAAAAAAAAATCAAAATATGGAAAAAAGAGCAAATGTAAATTGTCTTGCGATTTTTAATTTTTATTTTTTTTGGTTTTCGGTTCTGAAATATTGTGGAGATATTATTATAAGGGGTTTGAAAAATTTACGTAGTTGATTTCGTAATTCTCTTTCTAAAGGTCTCCTTTTTGTACATTGTATGGTTGAAATCGGAAAAGTATGATTATCCACGGATTCAACCAATCATGTAGAATGGTTACGATTTTGGTTATTATTTTATTGTCAAGTAGCCAAATCAGATGATTATAGTGAGCATATTCTTGATTACGGAGTTTGGTAATAGTAGCCTTGGATATTTCATAATAATATATGATTGGAAATACACGAGAACAAAGCACAACTACCAATTGGCACTCCATTAATCTATCACCAATATATTCTACAAAATACTCTTCTACCAGTCCTCTCCATGTAATGACATTGTTCGTATCTATCGTTAGGTTTGAAAAATCAAAAAAATCAAAAAAAAAAACCAAATAGAGGAGAGAAAACAAATGGGAAGGAAAAAAAAAATACTGACATCATTGTAGAACCCATCTTTTTGAATCAATACCAACGATGTTTACCCATTATGCTAAAGCGTTTGGCTATAGGCCAATAAAGCTACTACAATTTAGACGTTCTGTCAAAACATTAACTATGGATTGGAAACCTATGAAGGCTGTTCCTGGTAATTTGCGTACTATTGAACATCAAGCTAAAATCCCTATTATTCGTCGATTTCTTTTAGGATTAATGTATGCTATGCCAATTATATCATTTGGTTTAGGATGTTGGCAAGTTAAAAGATTAAATTGGAAAACTGATTTAATTGCTAAATGTGAAAACAACCTTGCTGCTCCTATTATCCCTGAATTACCACCAAATTTGGATCCAACGGTTATTGCAGATTTCGAATATCGTCGTTTTAAATGTAAAGGACATTTTGATTATGAAAATGAAATGTTCTTAGGACCAAGATTAAGAAATGGTGAAGTTGGATACCTTGTTGTTACACCATTTATTAGAGAAAATGGTGGGGATCCGATTTTAATTGAACGTGGTTGGATTCAAAAAAGTAAAGTTGTTCCAGAAACTAGATCATCTGGTTATTTATCACATTTAGCCCTACCAAAAGGTCAAATTGAAATTGAAGCATTGTTTAGAATCATGCCTACTAGATCAACTTTACAATTTGAACATGAGGAAGGAAGTAAACTTTTCCATTTCCCTGATGTTCCTGCTATGGCAGAACAAAGCGGATCTTTACCGATTTATTGTCAAATGATCTATGATTTAAGAGACCATGTTGATTGGAGAAAAGATGAAAATTCCAAAGGGGCTAAATCTTCATTATTGGGTAAGTTGTTCTTCTCTAAAGGTAGTGAATCTGATGCTCAATTTATTGCTCACAATACTGAACATGATGATACTTTACAATATCAAGAATTTGAGTTTGCCAACGAAGGTGTGCCTATTGCTGCTAAACCATTCATCAAATTCACCAATAACCACTTGCAATATTTGATCACTTGGTTTGGATTGTCAGTGGGAAGTACAATATTGTTAATCTATTCCATTTGGAAGAGTAAACAGTTTGCTAGTGCCGACAAGATATTGGCAGCAAAAAGAAAAGACATGCAAAGACAAGCGTGAACACATTTATTATTAAGAAATTTTAAAACTATTCTGTATATAGATTGATTTCAATGAAAGGAAATAAACTATCATCACTTTGTAAAACTAAGTAAACCGAATAATACAATAACTAGTGACAAATCACCAAATATTATTCCAAACAATTCATAATATCCTAAAAATCTAGCAACCAATGGTTGATAAGTGTTCAATTGTGGTAACACCATTGATCCCATCGACATTAATTTCATAATCATACTGTTTTGATTAGCAGCATGGAATAAACCAAGTTTATGGAAAACAGTATAATATTGTAAAACTATAATGACTTCAAAAGCAGCAAACCAAGTGAAGAAATTTCTAACTGGGAATTCATCTTGGGCCAAGTCTCTAACATAAGAATAATTTGATGCATGGAAACTTGGAACATTCAAATAATGATAGAAAAAATTAAACAAAGTTACTACTACTCTGATGACTAAAAATCTTGACTTCCATAATTTCTGTTGATAAGTATCATAAGCTTGTAAATCTTGTTGATATTTATTCTCCACAGGATCATTACTAAATTCATTTGCATTTACATCTCCTTCTTGTGGACCATCAGCACCTGATCCATCTTTGAACATATTCATAATTTGAACAATTGGATCATTTGGATCCACTTTTCCATCTTTACCTTGAACTTGTTGTTGAAGCATTTTTTGGAAAATATCATCAATATTTTCAGGAGATCCTTCACCAATTGGTGGAGTTGGTGGTGGTGGACTAGCAATTTCAGAAATATCTTGAATATCTGGATCTTCATCATGGATGGCTGAAGAAGTAGCGGTTGGTTGAGGTTCATCTAGAACTGATTTAACTCCGGTGGTTTTAACTGATGAACCTTGAGAAAGAATATTGTTCAATCTATCAGTTGCTTGACCTTTAGCCATCTTTGCTTGTCTTCTTTCACGAAGTAATCTTCTTTTTTCTTCAGCTGAAAGAACAGCTGGTGAGTCAGTTGAATCAGACATATTGAATAGAGGGCTGGTAGTTAGTGATGATGAATCTTTAATGGGAGAGGAGATGTTGAATAAAAGTGTGTTGCTGGAGAAAAAGAAAAAATTTCGAACTCACAATGTTGTGAGCAAATACAAAAAAATATGAAATCTGCAGGAGTCGGAAAATGATAATAAAGAAATACTTTGTTCATTCTTGATCAGGAATTAAGCATGGATTCAAACAATCATAATGGTTCATCAGGCCATAATTATTTCAATAATTCACCAAACATTTCAGAGCCACTCAATTATCAAGAGCAATTTCGAAGACAACTTATCATGAATTCATTAGAAAACAAAGATTATCTCATGGTGATTGCATCACAGCAAAACAAATCAATTGAGCAAGTCAAATACGAACTTAAACTTCAGCTTATATATGGTGGTTAACTATATACGTATTTACACCTATCTGAATGGTGGACGATTTGCTAAACTATTGGTTGATTTGTTTTTTGTCTGCAGTGATGGTTTGACTACACGTCCATAATTCGATGTGTTTGATGTATTACTCCCATCAAACAAACCACGCATATACCTAGGAGGTTGATTAAGATTTGGACCGCCAACTCCAGAAGCTGCTGTCTGATATTGATGTTGTCTGTTTATTCTACCTGGTTGAGGTATCCTGGATGCTTGTTGACTTTGTCGTATCCTGGTAGCCACAGGGCGTCTATCGTTGGTTATACTAGATATTGTACTTTCATTCAGACTTGGTTTAAAGTTAACCGTTCTTGTTGGTTTCACTACTCTAGTATTCATTGGTCGTGGCTTATTAATTGTTGTCACGGAAGGAGTTGGTTTCTGTTTAGTCTTTTCAGCTAGGCTCTCTTTCAATCTATTATTCAATATCTTGGCATCTTCCACTCGTTTCTTTAGATTCTTTATACGTTCTTTTTGTTCTCTCTTAGCCATTAGATTTTCCCATTCTACTCTATTTGGACATCCAGGGAAATCAACACACCACATAGTCATCGATAACCCATACAAAAAACTAGCAAATGATTCATTGAATTGATTCGACAAATTATCATGAATATGACACAAATCATTCATATTATTGTCCAAAATTTCCATCGACTGTGCTATATCATTGAATTTTTCAACAATTTCTGTAGAATCCATCGGTAGGTTGTCTGCATCAATTGGATAATGATGTACTTTTGGTGATAAACTAGGTAAATGTATTCCTGAAGATCTATGCAGATGACGTCTGTTACCATGTACTTGGCGTCTGTCTGTTCGTGGTGTAGATGGCTTTGATGATGACATTATCAAAAGTTGAAATCTATAGTGGTATCTCTTTGTTATTGACAATTCTAGATTTGTTTTGATTTCAAATTTTAGCTCGCATTTTGCTTTTTGTCTTCTTCGTTCTGCAAATTAAATATTTCATTTTTTTGTGTGTCCGTACACGACTATTTAGTACATACACCCGTTTATAATAGTTAGTTAGTTATTTGTTTATTTATTTATCGTCTTCACCAATGATTTGTTCCCAAGTCTTACCTTCTTGTCTTAATTCTTGGGCCAATTCGTCTCTAATTTTAGCAACCAATCCAGGACCTTTATAAGCAAAAGCAGTGTACAATTCAATAAAAGTAGCACCGGCTTTACCAAATTCTAAGGCATCTTTACCTGTGGAAATACCACCACATCCAATCAATACCAAATTGGAATCCTTGGTGTATTTTCTCAAGGTTCTTAAAGCCTTCAAGGCAAATGGTTTCAATGGTTTACCAGATAATCCACCAGTTTCGTTAATTAATTTTTGATCAGTAGTCAACAATTTGTCTACTGGTCTTTGAATAGTAGTGTTGGAAATGATAATACCATCAACTTTGGCTTCTTTAGCAGAATTAGCAATGGATTCAATTTCAGGTTCGGTTAAATCTGGGGCAACTTTGACCAAAACAGGTGGTTTTTCACCTAACAAGTTCTTACCCAAAATATCTCTTTCCTTGACGACAGTAGATAACAAGTTGGTTAATTTGGCTTCACTTTGTAAATCTCTCAATCCTGGAGTATTTGGAGAAGAAACATTAATAACCAAAACATCAGCATATGGACCTAATCTTTCAACACCTTTAACGAAATCACTAACTTCATCACCAAATTTATTTTTACCCAAGTTAATACCCAACATTTTACCCTTTTGGAAAGCATTTGATTCAGGAAGTTCACCACCAGCATGGTTTCTTTGGAATTTACCGAGTAATTTATTGAATCTTAATTTTAAAGTAGCCAAAACATTGAAATGTCCACTAGAGTTGAAACCGTATCTGTTAATAACAGCTTCGTCTTTTGGTAATCTGAAAAATCTTGGTTGTGGGTTACCTGGTTGAGGTTCTGGAGTAACTGAACCAATTTCAACATAGGAAAAACCAGAATTGAATAAAGCTTCAACAGCTTCAGCATCTTTATCCAAACCAGCAGCTAAACCAATTGGATTCTTCAAGTTGTGACCAAATACTTTAACTCCTAATACATCACTTTGATCGTTTTTACCTTCATCCATTAATCTTGGAGCAATTCCATATTTCATAAAGAAGATACCCAATTTATGACCTTGTTCACCATCAGTGAAGGTTCTAATTAAGGGACACAAGACGTATTCATGGAATGCTGATCTAGAATCTAATAAGTAGTAGCCACCAACAGCTGCTGCAGCAACACCAGCGACTAAAACGATTGGAGTTGGAATGAAACTGGCTTTCAATGGTTGTTTTGCAGAGGTTTTGAATCCTTTGGTAAATGGTGAAAATTTCACCAGTCTGAAGGTTTGACGAAACATTTGATTTGGTTGGTAAATTAAAAACAACGATCAACGACAAGAAAAAAAAAAGTATCAATTGGCAATAACTCCACTTTATATATGATCTGAATCGGAGTCAGATGTTTTTCAATTTTTTTTTTTTTATCAACTGATGCTTGATTATGGAGAATATAACGCAAAGCAGATGAGCATTGAAAAATGAGGGAGAGAAGGAAAAACAGAACAAAAAAAACAGTATGATTTGATGAATCTCGTTCGAAGCCTCGCATAAATTTTACTACCAAATTTTTGTGTGGATTATCGCGCAGTGCGAATTTGTACGTGCGCGACACATTTTGAATTTTTTTTTTTTTTTCCTCTTCTTCTTCTCTTTAAGCTAGACATCCCATCTCATCTTAAAGTTGAAGCAAGGTTACTTCATTTCTTGTGATTTATACACTGACTACACGTCTACAAGCAATGGCACCTACAAATAAATACCCAGCTAAGGAGAGAATAGGAGTCTCCAAATTTGAAAGGGGAGGTTCTTATAAAAAGAACAAGAAACAATCCAAGGATAAAAAATTAAACTCAAAATTACAAAGAATAGATAGACAATATAAAGAAGCCCTTCAATCAGCAGCAGGGACCGACTTGTTGTTACAAGAAGAACAAGGGTTCTTGGAAGCTGAAAATGATATGGAAAAGACATTTAAATTTAAACAAGATGAAATAGTAGAGGCAGTTGATGTCAGTACTGCAAATAAAAAATTTGAATTAAAATTAACTGAATTTGGTCCTTATACTATTGATTATTCCCGTAATGGTCGTGATTTATTATTAGGAGGTAAAAAAGGTCATGTTGCTTCTATGGACTGGAGAAAGGGACAATTAAATTGTGAATTACATCTTAATGAAACAGTTCACGCTGTGAAATATTTGCATAATGATCAATATTTTGCTGTGGCTCAAAAGAAATATACTTTTATTTATGACTATCAAGGAACAGAATTACATAGAATGAATCAACATATTGAAGCTACTATGTTGGACTTTTTACCCTATCATTTTCTTTTGGTTACTGCAGGAAATACTGGGTTTTTGAAATATCAAGATGTATCAACTGGTCAACTAGTCAGTGAATTAAGAACTAAAATGGGCCCAACTCAAGCTATGAAACAAAATCCATGGAATGCAGTCATGTGTCTAGGTCATGGAAATGGTACTGTTAGTATGTGGGCTCCAAATATGCCTGATCCATTAGTTAAATTACAAGTTGCAAGAGGACCTATTCGTGATTTGGCTATTGATAGAGAAGGTAAATATATGGCAGTTGCAGCTGCTGATAAATCCATAAAAATCTGGGATATAAGGAATTTTAAAGAAGTTGATCATTATTATTCACAAACTCCTGCTACATCATTAGATATCTCAGATACAGGTTTGCTTTCTGTTGGATGGGGTCCTCATGTCACAGTATGGAAGGATTTATTTAAAGGAAAACATGTTTCTACACCATATATGAACCATTTAATTCCAGGATCTAAAATCCAAAAGGCCAAATTTGTTCCATTTGAAGATATTTTAGGTGTTGGACATGAAGAAGGTTTTAGCAGTATAATTGTTCCAGGGGCTGGTGAAGCCAATTATGATGCTCTTGAATTGAATCCATATGAATCAACTAAACAAAGACAAGAACAAGAAGTCAGATCATTACTTAATAAATTACCATCTGATTCAATTGCTCTTGATCCAAACGTTATTGGTACTGTTGATAAACGTGCTAGTACAATCAGATTAAAACCTGGTGAAATCAATGAATTGAACAATGGTAAAGACCAAGAGAAGGGTAAAACAGAAATCAAGCCTGATGTTAAAGGTAAAAACTCTGGGTTAAGAAGACACTTGAGAAAACAAAGACAAAATGTGATAGATCAAAGAAAATTGAGAATTGAAAGAAACTTGAAATTAGAAAAAGAAGCAAGACAAAGAAATCATAAATTGGCTAAAGGTATACCAGAAGAGAAAGATTTATTGGGACCAGCATTATCAAGATTTAAATAGGTACAGTACATACATTATAATTTTTAGTTGTTCATTTCTCTAGCTAATTTATAAATCAAATTTTCAAATATAGAATTTTCCCAATTAAGTGCATCCCATTCCTCTTCATCAATATAATAGCAACTCCCACTCCCACTTCCACTCCCACTTCCACCAGCAACTCCAATACCAGTGCCGACTCTATTCTCTGTAGATTCATAATCAGAATTGGTTTCAACTGGCGGCATAGTCTTTTCTCTTAATCCAGGATATTTGTTCTTTTTTCTTTTATCTGTTGGTATTGAGAGTATCTTCTCCTTGAATTGATTTATTGAATTTTTATCAACATCAGTCAAGAATTCAAAATATGCCAAACCATTTGTAGATAATCTTGATGTAAAAGTGCCTATTTTGAACAATATCTGACAAATCTTTTTTAATTCATAATGATCCTGGAATATAATCAACTTGTATAAATTCAAATGGGGTGTCAAATTCAAATCAACTTTTGCCCGTAAATGAGAATCCAACAATTCATCTAAAATTTCAACTTGTTTCATAGTATATTCATGAATATGTAAAATAGAAGTGCCTGTAACTGATTGATTTTCAAGAAACCATTTATCATTCTGTAATGTTTCCATATCTTCTCTTAAAAATAATATTTTGAATATTCTATACAATGTAGATGGTTGTACTAATTCTTCAACTGTGGTTTCTGAACCTATTGGTGAACGGGGAAATTCTGAAAGCCAATGAATTATTGCAGTAGCAAATGCTTCAATCTTCTCACGTTGTTCAATGTCTTTCAATGATGACATCTTTATTTATTACTAGACAATGTTCATATGTAAGTCTAAATTGAAGTGTATAATGTATGTAGTAATATTTCGTGCAGTTTTTTTTTTTTCTCTCTTTTCTCAAATTTGCAACCAACGTTTATATCCAATAGACATATCAGAGAAACTCTATTCATATCACAAATTTACATTTGAAAATTTTTAATATTTTTTTTTTATATTTTTAATCATTTTATAAATATACAAAAATAAAAAATAACACTATAAAATATATAAATAACGTTTCCAGAACATTTCTTCATTCCTCTTTTTAATGGGGGTTGCTTATAATCTTTCACCTGGTAAGGCTCTACCAATGGTGGTGACATCATCGTAAATCAAAGTGGTAACGAAATCAGAGTATTTTTCACCAAGAGCTTCTGGAGCAAAGTATTCAAAGGCTCTCTTGAACTTGTTACCTGGTTTAGCATTCTTGACCAATTTATCGTATTCTTCATCCAACAATTGTTTAACATAGTCTTTGGTGATGACTTTACCGGTGTCAGTCTTGGCACCGTGGGTAACCCATTGCCAGATTTGGGTTCTAGAAACTTCAGCAGTAGCAGCATCTTCCATCAAGTAGTTGATTGGAACACAACCTACATTTCTCAACCAAGCTTCAATATAAGAAATACCAATGACAATGTTAGCTCTGATACCTTGTTCGGTAATCTTAGCACCTGGAACAAATGGACTCAACAAATCTCTTTGTGTGATTGGTTTGAATGGTTCCTTTGGTGGTAAGGAAATTTGATTTGGTCCTTTCATGTGTTCGTTGAAAACCTTCAAAACAACTGGAACCAAAGCTGGGTGAGCAACCCAACAAGAGTCACAACCAAGGGTAACTTCTCTCAATTTATCTTTAGTAACATTTTCCAAAGCAGCTCTGTTTCTGGCTTCATCATCCTTGATTGGAATTTGAGCAGCCATACCACCAAGGGCATGGACTTTTCTCTTGTGAGTGGTGTGAACCAACAATTTAACGTATGAAGACATGAATGGAGCAGCCATGGTAACTTGGGATCTGTCTGGCAAAATGAAATCTGGATGGTTTCTCAAACATTTGATGTAAGAAAAGATGTAATCCCATCTACCACAGTTCAAACCAGCACTGTGTTCTCTCAATTGGTAAATAATTTCATCCATTTGGAAGACAGCTGGGATGGTTTCAATTAAAACAGAAGCTCTGATAGTACCTCTCTTCAAACCAATGTAGTCTTGGGAGTAGTTGAAAATGTCGTTCCACAATTTAGCTTCCAAGTGGTGTTCCATCTTTGGCAAGTAAAAGTATGGACCAAAACCTTGAGCAATAGCTTCTTTAGCACTGTTGTAAAAGTAGACAGCAAAATCGAAAATACCACCAGAAACTGGAGTACCATCAACTAAAACGTGCTTTTCAGTTAAATGCCAACCTCTTGGTCTGACAATCAAAGTTGGAATGTGTCTGCCTTTGTCCAAGTTCAAGGCGTATTGTTTACCGTTAATGTTGGCAGTTAAGTTTCTTCTAACAGCATCGTAAAGATTGACTTGACCTTCAACCAAGTTTTTCCAAGCTGGAGTCAAAGAATCTTCAAAATCAGCCATATAAGTAGCAACATTGGAGTTTAAAGCATTGATAACCATCTTTCTATCAGTTGGACCAGTAATTTCACATCTTCTGTCAATTAAACCTGGAGCCAAAGCTGGACCAGTCCATGTTGGGTCATTTCTGATGTATTCAGTTTCTGGCAAGAAATCTGGTAAGAAACCTTGGTCTCTCAATTTTTGTTGTTCTTTTCTGTTGTTCAACAATTCTTGTCTTCTAGCTTCAAAACCACGGTGTAAAGTGGCAACAAAGGCTAAAGTTTCTTGGTTGAAAATGTGTTTGGCATCATCTGGAATTGGGCCCAAGATTTGGACACCTTTGACCTTATCAGCGGTTTTTGGGAATGGAGTAGACATTATTTATGAATTGGAATTTGATGAATAAATAAATAACTTGAATAAGTTAAAGAAAGAAAGAAAGAAAGAAAAAGAAAGAAGAATATTTTATAAAAAAAAATTAGGGATAGGGAAAAGTGAATTCAATTTATAGGATTCAATTTTTTTTGCTTTTTTCTATAACAATTAGATTTGTTGAACTTATCGAAAAATTCTTCCTTCTGTTCTGATTGGAAAGTTTTTCTTGTGTAGTGTGAAATTTTATTTTTTTTCTACCCCAGATTAATCAACCCAATAGTAATAATAAAAAAATGAATCATGTCGTAATCATCCGAAGTAATGTCGCACAAAGAGTTCGTTCGAACGGAACTTTCCGGTATTGTGACTCTGATGATAACCACATGTAGTCTTTTTCTCTTCGGCACCGCGTCACCGTGACCACTCGTTGCCCAAACACCGATCGCTTGTGTTTCTGGCACTAATATTATCTTGATTACTGCGCTACGTAACCAAGGGTAAGAAGAATCCGAGGTTTAACGGGAGTTTTATGTATCAGAGTCAATAAATCACCACCACAAACTTTAAAACAAAAAGGAAAGAATGTCGGACTATCCTGTATGCTGATGTTTAATGACAAAGAGTAAGTGTTAATTTTCTTTTTCTATCTATCACCGACTCAAACATAATGATTCATGTCAATTGATTACTTTGCCTTCAAATTCAGTGAGTCGTCATCTTATGGAACCCCCTATTGTAAACTCTTAAAAGTCAAAACTTATTCCTAATTTCTATCTCGTGATCATTTTCTGCTCACTCAAAACCAGCCCGGTGATTTTCTTTTTTTTTTTGGATTTTCTCATTCAAGAATAATTTCATGGTACGGTGTTTTAATGGGCAAGCGGACAAAGAGTAATACCGTTATAAATTTCCGTTTTGGGTATGTGCATATTTTTTTTTTAGTCAATGGGAAAAGAAGAAAAAAGAAATGATTCAATTATTTCATCATGCAGATAAAGGGGTCAACGGAGTTTTCACTTTTCGGTGTTACAATTGACTTGGTTGACATTGATCTTAAATCGTTATCAATTGGTTTAAGAATAGGATAAATTGGTTCTTATGTATTTGGCTCGATTTTCTTCTGTATCTTCTCTTCGATAAGAAAGTCCATATACATTTATATGCCTATATTCATTCTATATCAACTCATCACCAAGTCATGCAACTAGCTAAACTTAGTTGTAGAAGTTAGTGTTATCCTTAGCCCATTTAGTACCTTCTTGGACTGGACCTTGCAAACCTTTTTGTCTTGGAATGTAGTCAACTCTTCTGTAGGAGTTGATGTTCTTTCTACAGATGAATTGGTAACAGGTGGCAGTACCGTTTCTACTGGCAACAACAGAACTACCCAAGAAGAATTCCCAAATTCTGTACCATTTAACACCATATTTGTTAACAACTTTGTCTTTGTTTCCAATCCAGTTTCTGTACCATCTCCAAAGAGTAGCAGAGTAGTGGACACCAATGTTATCAACACTGACAATTTCAAAACCAACAGATTCCATACAACTAGAAAAGAAACTCAATGGAGTAGAAGCATCAGCACCTGGGAAAATGTACTTGTTCATGAACAAACCCCATTCCAAATCTTCGTATTGCCAGTTCTTTCTCAAACCAGAGTATTGCAAGAAAAGTAAACCATCATCTTCCAAAGCATCGTAACATTGTTCCAAGTAAGCAGTCAATCTTCTGATACCAACGTGTTCAGCCATTTCAACAGAAGTAATTTTGTCGTATTTACCGCTTGGTTTGTTAGATTTTGGAGCGTCACGGTAATCACAACAAACGATTCTGGATTGGTCAGATGAAATACCATATTCTTTCAATAATTGAGTACCCCATTTGGTTTGGTTTCTACCTAAAGTAATACCGGTAACATTGGCACCATATTTGGAAGAAGCAAAAGTAGTCCAAGTACCCCAACCACAACCAATATCTAAAACGTGGTCACCTTTTTGCAAGTCAATCTTGTCAGCCATAACAGTCAATTTGTTGTCTTGTAATTCTTCCAAAGTTTCTTCTCTAGTAATATCACTAATAACACCAGAAGTGTAGATCATTCTTGGACCCAAGAACCAGGTGTAAAAATCGTCACCACGGTCGTAATGGTCTCTAACTTGTTCTTCATCTTGAGATTGGGAGTGGAAGATAACTTCTGGAATCATACCCAATAAGAAAAATCTAAACAAACCCATAGTGAATCTGAAACTAGCCCAGTCGTGTTTGTATTCTAAAACATCCAAACAATCACCTTTGAAGGAGACTTTACCGTCAAAGTACAATTCTTGGAAAGTTTCAATTGGGATTTTAGAACCTTTACCACCGTTGGAGGTTTCGTATTTAGCTTTCAATTCAGGAGTGTGGAATTCCAAATAGTAAGAAATTGGTCTGTTTGGATATTTGACTTTTTCATTGATACGTGGAGAGAAGGTAGACATGACAGTCCAGTAAGCCATTAAGATTGGGATAGCCAAAAGCAAAAAGAAAAAGACCCAAGTCTTGAAACCCAAACCTAATTTGTAGGTGATGTAACCAGGAACCAATGCCAAGATACTGAACAAGATGGTATTGGAGAAAGAAGTTGAACCTGGACCATCAGCTGGCAATGGAGCATTGTGAATAGATGGTGAATCAGTAGTCCAGACACCACATTCTTTAGAAGCTGGTGGTTGTGGTTTAGCAGCTGGTGTCTTAATAAAAGAAACGCCTTCAATCATTTTGAAACTATCAATTGAATAGAAGAACGAATGAATAGATCTAATGAACTAGAAAGAAAGATGATCTGAAAAGAGGAAAGAAGAAAAAAATCGAAATAGTAAATCAAATTTTCTTTTTATTATATTTTACAAATGCAAACTGAAAATTGGAAAAATTTTCGTTCTAAGTCGACGTGTTTTTTTTTTTCTTTTGTCTAATGGATTCGCTTTGAATGGAGTTACAAAAAAGCTCGACGCAAAATTTCTTAGTTTGCAATTGATTATTAAATTTTTACTTCCACTTTCAGTTTGCTCGCCTTGCCATATTTTGTACACCACACCAATCTTGTGACAATGAGAGAGGGAGAGAAAAAAAATCACAGGGCCAGGGCTGAACGAGCAATCACGACAAGAAATTAATAGGGGCCATCGACAACGTGACCACACAATATCCGGAAGGGTTGCCAAAGTCTATATGATGATTATCCGGAAGACAAAAATACAAGTTACCAAAGAATCCGAGAGTTCGATTGTCGTGATTTCTATCCATAGACTTTGGTGGATAGGCCGATGACAATGACAGGAACATCGTGCTATCATAACTTGCAAGATTTTGGCAACTGTAACGTACCAAATATAAACAAGTGAAACTCAGAACAAGAGCAATAGGCAAAAGACAAAGAAAAACAAAATCTACAACCAGAAATCAAGTGAAGGAAGAAAAGAGCGAGCGTAAAAAAAAAAAATCACCACCAAGACGCGTTTGCTCTTTTATCATCTCTTTTCCATACACATTCCAAGACAATTTTCTATCCCCACATATACAAATCATGGAAGCTACAAATGTCAGAATTGATGCCTCTTTAGTTGGTACAAACTCAGGTAAGATAGTACGTGTTATGGGTAAATGTGAATCATTTGATCAAGCTTCACATCAAGCAATCATCCTGTGTAATGGAACTATCAATTTAGATTTATCCCAAGTTGAAGATGTATTGGAAATTCATAAAAACTACGAATTCATTGGTAAAGTTGGTGTTGATATGAAAATCAGAGTATATTCTATTGTTCCATTAAGTGATAATTTGGATTTTAACATTGCTTCTAAATTGGCACAATACGCTCAAAAAGTGCCTGAGTTGTTCACCGATTAGAAAAAGGAATATATCTTCTGGAAAGAACTATACATAATGATATACCAATAAACGACAATAAAAAAAAAGATGTATCTTATTTTTAATTGTATACTTAATATTTAACTTATAAACTTTTTAAATCCGTGGCGATATCAATAAATCTCTGTTCTCCATTGATCGCATAAAGATTTCCTGCTTCAGCTAACCATTGAGGAGTTTCCTTATTATAAACTTTAGCGTATTTGAAGTTACCATATGCAATGGCTAATCTATATGCAGCTTCACTAGATGATTCAACTATTTGGTCACCCAATGTATCCATGCATTTAATTACTGGATCAGCTGATCCTGCATTATTCTTTAATCCGGAAGTTTTCAAGTGATAAGCAGATAAATTATAAATCAAAGTGGACAATGTAGTAAAAGCAGTAGTGTATAATTTGGCTTCTGTGGTGAACTTACTTGCTGTGGTTTCCAATTTTTTCAACAATTTCTTAAAAAAGGTATTGTATTCGTATAATTTACCATCTGGCCCACTTGGATCAATGTACAATTGGACAAATAATGTGTTGCCAACTAAATTATTCAATACTTTTAAGATCATCATTAACAACGCAGTGCTTTCTCCACTAGCTTCATCTAATCCTAAATTTAATACATCTAAAATGGTCTCTGCTGCATCTGTAGACGAGAGTAAATCCACGGTGGTAACTCTTGGAATACTTATTCTTAACAAATCAAACCCAATCAACTTGGATGAATTGTTCCAATTCTTGATAATACGACTGGAATAATTCGTAATGATTTCCAATGCTTGCTTCGATGTCAATGAACCTAATGAAGCTTCAACGATTGACAATTCTTCTGGTGATAATTTAACATTATCTTCTTGTGATTGGTTTAATTTATTTAACCCATTGACTAATTGTTCCTTCTTGTAATCCTTAAAGGAGATGTAGTCCTTTGCTGGAATAACTTTTAAGGAAGCATCAACGTTGTGCTGTCTGGCATAGGCATCGGAGTATGGATCAATCACCCTTTCATTGGCAGATGTAGATGTGCTTTCTTGTAAACTTACACCTTCAGTGTTTTTTTCTAAGAACCTTACCACTTCTTCAGTATAGGTTGGCGGCAAATCATTATCAGCCAAAAACTTCTCAGCCACCATATATGGATTGTCATTGATATTGTATGGCAACTTCAATGGAGGTTCACCATCTTTAATATCAACATCAAACACATAATCATATTCTTTACCCAAATATTCTTTCTTTTTCCCACTACTTGATGATCCAACAACATCACCAATCTTGTGCCACTCTCCACCAGACCATTGGTGCGCTTCTATGGTCCCTGTAGAATTTTTAACCATTATAGTAGACCCTTCTTGTTTGCCTGGATTTTGAAGTGCTTCATACCCAGGAATGTCTGTTTTCTTGAGATTGTCCAACGATTGTTCAGCAATGGATGATGACTGAACTGCTTCTTTGAAATGAACTAATTCATCTTCACTAGCTACTCTTTCAGGACTTGTAGTGAAAACTCTAATCAAATTGTCAGATCCACCAACGGCAAAATCTCCATTTCCTAATACTGCAATACACCAGACTGAAATACATGGTAATGTAACCACTTGTAACACATCACCTGTTGATAAGTCCCAAATTCTTACGGTTCTATCTTCACCAGTAGATGCAAATCTCCCTCCTGGTAATAAAGCCAAATCGTATACAAAAGATTCGTGACCATAGAAAGTCTTTAAATTGTTTCCTGTTTGCAAATCCCATAACTTGACAGTACCATCATTTGAACAAGATAAGAATTGTTTCCCATCTGGTAAAACCAACAATTTTCTAATAACATCCAGATGCCCAGTAAACTGTTTCACTTCAAATTTGCCATGCCATAATCTAATAGTTTTATCAGCTCCACAAGTCAAATATTGATCAGCTCCTAAAACTTTACAATCCCAAACTGATGATTCATGACCACTTAAAATAATCTTTGGAACAAATTCTTCCAAATTCCATACAATTGCAGTACAATCCCAAGAACTTGAAATCAATTGACCATGAGAATACGATAAGGAACATACATTTCCTTGATGTCCAATTAATTGATATTTATCATCTCCATGTAAATCGCTTAAATAAATCATGGCATCTTGTCCACCACTAGCTACTAATTCATTTAAATAAGTAACTGAATTCATAAAAGATTTCGTTGGTGAATTGAAAATTATAGTCGGATCATTTTGCGTAGTATTCACATTCTCCCAAATTCTAGTAGTACCATCTCTCAGTACTGAAACCAACTCATTGTTATTAGGAATAGTTGCAATTGCTTTAACATCTTGTTCATGACCTGTCAAAGTAGAACTAAGTTTATAAGACATGCTGTTGTTGGTTCGTTGTATTATTATCTGTGTGGCAACTGTAAAAAGATCAACGCAAATGGGTGGATTTAATTTTTCTCGATTTACTAAACTAGCAAAAAAAAAAGCGACCCAAATATTGAACAAGTGCACGACCCAAGGGAACACGACACCTTGGTAGCTCTACAAAAACAATTCCAACTAAAATACCTTTACTTTCCATTAAAATAAAAAAAACAAAATACACCACCTATCCAAGATACACATACTTATCAAATGATCAACTATAAAGAAAAAGAGAAAAATGTAAACACCAATATCAGCAGCAAAATGAAAATAAAAAAATAAAATAAAATGAAAAATAAAAATCTCATAATCATCATCATCATCATCACATTAGAACCATTTTATAATAAAAGTAAAAATAAAAAAATAATCATCATTTGACAAGCATCTTTTGTAAATGAGCATCGTCAATAAATTGGCCCTTGTTATCTGCTGTATCTGGGGACGATGATATAGGAGATACATCGTTACATTCTTGCATACCTGCAAAAATGTGTACTGATTTGTCCTCGACCCCATTCTCGTCCTTCTTCTTTGCTGTCCTAGTTTGAGCACAAGGTGAACTTGATATTGGAATTGCCAAGTTCGGAGTGACTTTTCTCTTTTTATAGATATTTGGATCAGTGTTGTGGTCCAATTCCCCAAATACTGTTCTAAATTGATAATACTCCGAAACTGAATTCAACAAACAAATTGAAGGAATTAACCCATCAAAAAGTTTAACGTCTAATAACAATTCATGAGAACCATTATCCAATAATTTATAAACCATAACTCTCTTGTCCACCGTAGTAGCCATGATGTAAATTTCCTCAAAGGATAACTTGGATCCACTAATTTTTCGCTTTGGTATATTGGGCAAAATATACTGGAAATCAAGAAATGGACCAAATTCCAAGCCTTGGTATTCAAGAACAATTTCCTTGGTACGAATCTGGAATATACCTATCTTACTAACAGAATCACTAAAGATAATATGATCCTCATCCATTTGCTTCAATGTCTTGATTGGAAACTGTGATACTCTTGAAGTAAATATTGGCAACGTATCCTCCAAGGGATCATAAAGAATCAATTCACCCATTTGACTCCCACAAATTATGTTATCCCCTCCATCAATAAATTGAACCGCTGACATCCATTGTGAGATGCACTCAAAATCATTTACATTGTATATGTACAGCTCTAAATTTGTAGTTGACTTCCAAAAGTGACCCAAGGACAGAACACTACTTCTTCTTTCATGATTTCTATACGAAACAGACAAACGTTGCGGGTTCAAATTCAAAGTAGTAAACGATCTTTGCAAAATACGATTTCTTGTGATACCAACATATGATAAATCAGATCCGTGCCCTTCTGAATAATCATCTTTAACGTCCAAACTCAAATCAATCTCATAAACTTTTAATTCACAATTCTTACCACAGATGGCAACAGAAATTGTGTTCTTAAACCTGTCAAGTTTCAAGTCGACTTTCCCAATGTTATTCCCCACCATATAAACTCTGTAGCCTTCATCAGCATCATCATTGATCACATCACGAATGATCAATTTCCCTTCTCGTGAACAACTGTAAAGGTACTGATTGTCCAAAATATCAAGAGCAATGATGCCGTCGCCGGTAATGTCAGTCAAATTATTCTTCCAATCTTTGAATAAATTATAATAACTCAAGCTTGGATTCTTTGTATACAATTGAATCGAACCACTCTTTCTCAAAATAGCCAAATGAGAAACATTGTGATACTGAAATGTAAGAATCTTGGAAATATAATTATTCCGTGAAGAGCCATGACACAATTCTCCTTTGATATCGACATGTAACATGTCATTTGATTTCTTTGCTATCTTGATAACTCTAATGCTACCTATATCTTGATTCGAAGCAAGGAGATTCATTTCTAATTGGTCTTACTTTAATATGTTTGACTAACAAAACAAATTTAATCAATTCCTTCAATACAGAAAACTTGGTACCAAGTATATTTTTACAATCTGGATGTCTATATCTAAAACCCAATTCACACAATCTGGATACTTTATAAAAACTAAATTCCATAAACAAGCTATTAGTGCTACTCTAAGCCACACTAACTTCAAATACACCAGGATTGATCACTTTTTTTCTCTCAGTTCCGTTTTATTTCCAATTGATCTAACCACTAACCACACTTGATTATATTCAGATCTAATTCCTATATTACTGTCAATAGTGGCAAATCAAAGAAAAATAAATAATGGTTTCAAAAAGACACACAGTATGATTTCAATGGCTTTATACCGGGGGATTTTGGGAATTACTTCTTGGTATCGTCTTCTTCACAGGGAGGGCGGGAGGAAAATTCTATATGGACGGTGAAGGATTTATATACAAAAAGAAAGGGGGGAAGACGCTCTTGGTATATGTGTGTTGTCTTTGTCTGAAAGTAGAAAGGTTTATAAGTTGGTTTGTTTTTTCTTTTATATAGTTGTTACGATATTTGTTACTGATAACGATTTATAGACAAAATTAAAAAAAAAAATCAGATTAAGTGTTGTACTCGGCAGGATATTTTTTTTGGGAGACAGAATGGTGTCGGTGAGGTGATTTTTATATGATTTTGGAGATTGCGGAGAATATCAAACAAGGGCACCACAAAAGAAAAATGTATAATAGAACAAAAAAAAAAGTTTACATATACCCTTCCCGATAGTAGTAGTTAAGCGGTCACGTGTTACAACATTTTCTACTTAGTGAATCAAAGTAAAACAATCGTCTAACATTTCTTTAATTCTAATTTTTGTTTTTATTACATTTCGATTTCTAATTTAAAGTTGTTTATAAGTATATAAGTCTAAAGTTAGAAATATCATACACCTCTGTCACTTGACTTAGATTTTCTTTTCCAACATGGATTCTCTAGCTGGACCAGTACCAACCCATTGGATTGGAACACCCAAGTATTCTTCAATGAACTTAAGATAGTTCTTAGCATTTTCTGGTAAATCTTCATACTTTGAAATACCAGTGATGTCTTGTTCCCAACCAGGGAATTTTTTGTAGACAACTTCAACTTTGGCCAAATCAATCAAATCTTCTGGGAAACTTGGCAATTCCTTACCGTTCAATTTGTAAGCAACACCAACTTCAATTTCCTTGAATTTGTCCAAAACATCCAATTTGGTGATGTTCAAAGAAGTGTAACCGTTGATAGCATTGGAGTATTTCAAGACAACCAAATCTAACCAACCACATCTTCTCTTTCTACCAGTGGTGACACCATATTCGGCACCAACATCTTGTAAAGTTTCACCAACTTCGTTCAATTGTTCAGTTGGGAATGGACCTTCACCAACTCTGGTAGTATAAGCCTTGACAACACCATAAACGTTCTTGATAGTTCTTGGAGGAATACCCAAACCAGTAAGAACACCACCAATACCAGTTGATGATGAAGTAACGTATGGGTAAGTACCGAAATCAATATCCAACATCAAAGCGTTAGCACCTTCAACTAAGATCTTCTTGTTGGCAGCGATAGCATCGTGCATGAAAACAACGGAGTCAACAACAAATGGTCTCAAAGTTTCACGGTATTTTTCATATCTAGCTAATTCTTCTTCGTAATCGTAGTCGAATTGACCATATCTCTTTTGTCTACTTTCGACTAATCTCATGTATCTAGTCTTGAAATCTTCCCAAGCAGCTGGGTCTGGGTTGACCAAATGATGGACTCTAATACCTGATCTACTGGCTTTAGTAGAATAAGTTGGACCAATACCTTTACCAGTAGTTCCGATAGCCTTTTTGTTGGTAGACAATTCAGCTTCTTTCAATTTATCAGTACGTTGATGAAAATCAAAAACTAAATGAGCTCTGGAAGAAACAAATAATCTGTCACGACAGTCCAAACCTTTTGCTTCCAAATTTTCCAATTCTTGGAAAAATGATGGGACATGAATAACAACCCCAGATCCGACCAAGTTCTTACAGTTTGGGTTAACTAAACCTGAAGGTAACATATGGAAATCATATTTGGTCTTGTCAACAACAATGGTATGACCAGCATTGTTACCACCAGCACATCTGGCACAGACATCGATATCATCACATAACAAATCGACTAATTTACCTTTACCTTCATCACCCCATTGGGAACCTAAAACGACGTCACACATGTTTGATAAGTGTTTTGTTTTAAATTAAAATTAAAAACGTAAAATGAAAAAGTGTAATATTACAGTAGTTTGGTTGAACGATTGAAACCGTTAGAAAAGAAACCCAAAAAAAAAAAAAAGAGAAAAGAGAAAAGAAAAAGAAAAGAAAGAAATAAATAAATGAAAATAAGTTGATTATTATATTTCCAAAAAAAAAAAGAAAAAGAAAAATTTTGGTGTTGAGAATAGAGAGTGTTCAGATGGAACAAGGATGGGTGAAAAATTTTTGAATGGGTCATAGTGCGCCAGAATCGCACGCAAGCTCACGCGGGATGGCCCGCAGTCAAATCTAAACTTCTGGGCCTAGTGATTTCCCCTGGAGTTTTATTTGTTTCTTTTTGTCTTTTATTGTTCACATACTGCAGTGTTCATTGGACAAAGAAGTTAACTTATTAATGGGCTGCATGCAGTACAAGCAATTTAATTTTCTGTCACCTCTTTAATGACTCTGATGTTTGAATAACTACACGACAAGCTTATGTAAAATCACGTGAATTTATTGTTTAAATGATAATATAAATATTTAAATTAAAGAAACTCCTATTTAGGATTCTCCTCTAATAGATTGTTTTGAATTTTTTTTTTTTTTGGTTCTTGTTCTTTGTAGATTCAGAAAAATTTGTGGGTAGGGAATAACATTGTTGTTGGTTGGTTGTACAAGAATTACATTTAGTCTAATTTGTTGATGATAGCTTCAGTGAATTCAGTAGTAGAAGAAGTACCACCAATATCGTTAGTTCTAACTTTACCTTCAGCAATGACATCATAAGTAGCCTTGGAGATCTTGTCGGCGTAATCGTTCAAGCCCAAGTGTCTCAACATCATGGTACTGGACAAGATCATAGCAGTTGGGTTAGCAGTGTTCTTACCTTTGATGTCCAAACCAACGTGACGACAACCTGGTTCGAAAACAGCATATTCTCTACCAAAGTTAGCACCTGGAACTAAACCTGGACCACCAATCAAAGCAGCACCAATGTTAGACAAGATGGTACCGTACAAGTTTGGAGTAACCAAAACATCAAATTGTTGTGGTTTGGCAACGGCTTGCATAGAAGCGTTATCGACAATCAAGTCACTGACTTCAATACCTGGGTAATCTTGACCAACATCTTTAACAGTTTGTCTGAACAAACCATCACCCAATTTCATAATGTTAGCTTTGTGGATAGCGGTGACCAATTTTCTGTTGTTTTTGTTGGCAAAGTCGAAAGCGAATTTAGCAATTCTTTCAGACTTGAATCTGGTCATGATCTTCAAAGATTCAACGACACCTGGGTATGATTGATGTTCCAAACCAGAGTATTCACCTTCGGTGTTTTCTCTGACCAAGGCAAAGTCAATACCATCGTAGATACCTTTAACACCTGGAATGTTTTTGATCAAAACCAAAGAAGCGTAAATATCCAATTCTTTTCTCAAGGCAACGTTCAAGGATTTGGCAGATTTACCAGTAGAAGTATACAAGATACCTTTCAAACCAACCTTGTTTCTCTTCAAGGATTCAACGGCTTCGTCAACACCGTGGTTCTTACCAGTTTCACTTTCAACACCACTGACTTCAACAACTTCCCAATCAATTGGAACTTTTTGGGATTCAAAGATTTGTTTGACAGAATCGGTAATTTCTTGACCAGCACCATCCCCTGGAATCAAGGTAACAGTGTATCTACCACCGTATTTCTTTGGTAAAACGGCTTCTGGGGAAGCAAAGGTGGCCAATGAACGGACAGCAGTCTAGATTGTAAATAATGTTAGTATCTTAAATAATCGCTACTATGATATTAATGGAGTAGTCCAAGTTCTCTTCATTGATGTACTAGAATCACCAATTAGAACACGAATAAAAGGGTAGAAAAATAAAATATTATAGAATCTAAGGACTTTTACTCTCCGAAGAGTAGATTTCCCCTCCTCCAATTAACACCCACAATTAAATATAGTTTCAACATACTTTTTGGGCAACAACGGTTCTTAACATTATGGAATAGATATATGGAATTGTTCTTCTTTAAGATAGACCAATAAAGTTGAAAAGAAAGGGGAAAAAGAAAAAGAAAAAGTATAAACTAAGAAGAGAGGAAAAAAAAATTGTTGTGATGTTCTCTTGATCGTTCAAAAATGGTACAGTACATTTTTTTTTAACTAGAAACGAAAAATAATATTGTCAGGACACAAAGCAAAAGAATACTTCTTTGAAAAGGCATTAAAAATTTCTCTTTAAACAATTTACAGAACTCCGTTGCAGTCAATATCATTTCCCGATTGCTCAAATCGGAGTATGAATCCTAAATCAAATGTGTATTTTATGGAAAAGATCAAAGTTCAGTGTTTCTCATTCATCGTTATGTTTTGAATAGTATCAACAATAAACATAAACTAGATCAGTTGTGCTTTCTAAGTGTAGTTACCTGCCAAAATGGAGCAAACTCTCTTACATAGGGTCGGTAACAAAATAAAGTGTTCTAAAAAAAAAACAACCATAAAATTTTTAATTCAGAATGCTGCATTCGGTACCGAATGATTTCCGCGTATTTGATTGGTCCAAAACTCCGATTTCCTTTTTTTCCTCCGGATAAATAGCTTTGTGTCACATCCTGCGGAATATGAGGGGAGCGAGGAGGAGAATTAATTGTGCGACAATTGTCTTTTGCACCTAATGATGATGTTGATCTGAAGAAGACAAGAGCAAGAGATATGTCTAAGTATAAACTGTGTGATGTAATGATAACAGCAGTCATTAGTAAGCGTTAAAATGCAAGCTTAAAAATGAAATTTATTTTGTTTGATTTTGGTACGAAAAGTAGATGAAAATTTCTAATGTCCATGGAATGGTGGAGAAGTAAACAATTAAACATGAACGTTGATCATTAAGACACATATCATATATTCAAATATCTAGATAAAGGTATACAACTACAATTACTAATAGTCTACGAAATCAAATTGAATCTCTATGGTTTGAAAGTTTCATCCTTTTATTATCGGTTAATAAAGTTTCTTTCAACATTTGCACAAATTCTTTCCTCTTTTCTGAGGTCTTGGTTTCTTCCTCTAAATTGTTATCAACTTCCAATCCAATATCATCCAGAATAGGGGACAGCAGTGTGCTCTCCATATCAATAGCCTCAGGGTCCTCAGCAATAAGCTCAACAGTTTCCTCTATTTTATTTTCTAATTGTTTCTCCAACTCTGCTCTCTCAGATCTCAACCCATCGATGTATTTCATAAATCTATAAAACTGAACGATAGGACGTGGCTCCACAATACCCATTGACTTTCGAATTGTTTCCACGTCGCTTGATTCAGCTGAAAAAGAAAGTTTATCCATCATCATCGTACCTACATTATTAGTACCAAACTCCTCGAATGGAGAATTCACTGATGAATTGGGATTATTAATCACAGTAACATTGTTGAACAATATGTCGTAATTATTACCGAAAAGACCAACTTGCTCCCATGCCTTCTTAATCATTGACTCTGTGAGAGTGCTTTCTCTAGCTTCATTATAGATTTTGATAAATTCGTTTTTGGTAATTCCTCGAGTTTCAACATTTCTAACTTTCTTAGAAACTTTTACACTGTATTTGTTCTCAATAATTGCAAAAGGACATTCATCTAAAGGCTGAGTTAAGTGAGATGTATTAGATGGAAGAAACAACAATTTGATATTATTTTGCTCACATATCGTCATGAACTCAGGAGTTTTATGGGCTGAGTAATCTTCTAAAATCAAAACAACGGGATCTTTTACATTACCAGCTCCACTTTCAGGGATAAAAATTCTCTTTAACCAGTCACAAGCCAAATCCTTCGTGATCCATCCTGAATTCAGGATATCAAAATTAAAATGAGGAATATTATCTGCATCATACCAACTCAACAATTCATTCTTACTTGCGAAAATAGCTTTGGGTGTTAATTTTGCTCCTGACATGCTAATAGTTTCAACAACTGTAACATAACTTGTGCCTGCTAATCTTTCTGTTTTCCTCGGACCCTTTTCTTTTAATTTGAAGAGTTTACGTCCCCTTTTTTTAGCAATACGGACATTGATTTCATCCATATTGTAAATATTACATGGCTTTACATTACCTTCAACAACAACCTTGTGGTATCTCTCGGTCCAGTCCTTAATAACGTCATAGCTAGTTTCTTTAACTCCAATGAGTTCAAAATATCCTTCTTCATTATATTCGATAATGTTTTGACGTTTCATGAACATTGTATACCATTTCTCACCAACAGAAAAATCAGGTGAATCATGTTTTCCAATTCTATTGACCATTTCCATAAATTGGGATTTTGTTGTTTCACGTCCCAGATATATTCGATCAACCACGTACTGTATTAACTGATCCTCTTGGGCTGGAGTCAATTTTTGCCTGTTTTCGTTCCTATTTGGGACGTTTCCATTTTCATCTGCCCTAGCAAGTCGCTGAAGAAACGTTGTGTATGGAATATGATGTTGTTCCGCAATTGGTTTGAGAATAGGATGTTTCTGGTGAGCAAGAAATACTTTACCCTCTAAGATTGCTTCATGCATCTCCTCATCTGGATATTGTTTGTTCTTTTCAGGTCTAGTCATGGTTCTTTGGTTTGTTTATAGTTTGTGGAGACTTGTGTTTTATTTTTTATGAGCACAAAAATTTCTCCCGCTATTGTATTCAAGGGAGTATTGTTTCGACCAACCAAAAAAAACGCGTGCTTTCTATATTTGGTAGCGATCATGACGATCTCTTTGGCCAATCTTTCATGTGGACTAAAAACTGCAGTTAAAATAAAATAATGTACTCAATTAGACAGTATTTCGATGATCAATCCCAATTGCGGGATTTTAATACTAAAGAGGAATCAAAGATACTGTAACTATTTTGTTTATTGTTTAATTTCCATTACCTACAAACCAACAGTTCAAACAACCTTGTTTACTTTTGCAAACACCGTCTATTCTCTACACTGTCAAACACAAACTATTTTAACCTATTCAAGCAACTATACTCTCTGCAATTAATAAAAACGAAACAAGACACGGTTGTATTGCACTAGAATGAGATAATAACTGTTGTATCAACAAAGAATGTTAAACTGTTTGTTGCGAATTAATTTTGACAATAACGCGTGTGTTCAAGATAAAGGCAAACAACAGTTATCCACCCCTTCTGCGAATAATATAAAAAGTGGCAGATGAATCCTCTTTGAAAAATTTCCTTCTCTTCTTCTTCTTTTCTCTTTTTTGTCTTTGGCAGGCTCGATTTTGAGTCTCCTTGGATGTGTATTCTTTTAGGTTTAGATTCCCTTGTTTGGATAGATGCTTATTTAAATGAAGAAGAGAAGTTTCGGGACAGTTACCAGGAAGTGTGGTCGAGTCAAATGGTATTTACAATGAATATGACAATCAAACACCATCAGTTCATGTTCTTAGTTCCGCCGTTGACTCCTTTGCTGTTACAATCAAACACCATCACGAACAACAATGTCAAGCTACATTTATCATTATTCCATGGTAATGAAATTTGTTCTCCTTCATTTATGGTTAAGCCCCTTCTAAATTCACACGGGACAGGTGACTTAGGGTTTCTACAACACAAGAGCTATTCATTCTTGGTTTTGTATTTTGGCACTTTTGGATGTGCAGTTTGTTGATTTATGAGAACCGTTCGCTTGTTTTGGTTGATTATTCTGGTTTTTGCTTTATGGGTGATTTGTTTCTAGGATAGTTGACTACGAATGGTATCAATATTACAATGCTGTTGCTCTATATAGTTTTTGCAGTGTATATGCAATGAAGACCAAATGTGAATATGTGCCAATTACAAACGTTTTACTGTAGGGGATATTTTGCAACACTGAACCCCAACCGTCGTGCAAATTCATCCAGCAAACAGAAAAGAGAGTGAAAAAACAACAAAAAAAAAAAATTCTCCAAGCAATTCTGATCTTCCTTCTCCAGTATTCTATCCATCCACACATACCCACAGTTACTATGTCTATCTTCACCAGATCATTTCCAAGTATCAAACAATTACAGAAAAACATAGCTCATGAATTGTTACAGTACGAAAATGCCACTGCCAAGTCCCTAGCCAAAGCTGAATTAGAAAAGACTAAAACATACTACAATTATTTGAAACGAGTTAAACTAAGCAAGGGAGAAATGAACGATATCAAAGATATTGACACCAAATTGGATGATTTGACCAAGAAAACATGCCAGGACAAGGTCGAGCTACAAGATAAAACAAGTTTCAATGGGATAATCGACAAAGTTGCTAATGAGAAATTACCAGAAGAATACGGCCAAAACAACTTGAACAACGTCCACCTGTATCTCAAGAACCAAAGAGAATACTTCGATTTGTTGACTAGATACAACCCTGGTTTACTCATGAGTCAATCTGATAACGTGTCGAAAACAGCCAACAGAGTGGGATTAGAAGTGCCAAACTAGCGGATAACCAAACATTTACCAATTTTTTATTTATAATACAAACTAATATACAACATGATATAAAGAGAACTTTTGCCTTTTCATTTTAATGTAAGAACCGTCTTTTTCGATCACCACCACCAGCCATGACTTCACTAGTATCGTCTTCCTGCGATGTCCTTTTAAGCTGAGTCATAGTCAACGGGGTGCATTTGATTTCACAATTCTGGATATAGAACTGACTCAACAAGTCTTCGTATTCAACACATGACAACTCTTTGATCGATGGTCGTCTGTTTCTTATCAATTTCAACGAGTTTACCAAATTGTAGCGGTATGCGTCCATCAAGTAAGCAATCATGAGTCCAGTCAGCAAATTTTCATTACCATCATGCGACACAATATAAATTTCCAATTCCTGGTTGATCAGCTTGAAAAGATTGATCATTCTGATGAGGTTGAAATACTGCAACATCAAATTACCTCCTGTTAAAATAGGCGATGTCATTTGTATGCACTCATTGGAACCTGGCAACTGGTGGATTAATTTTCCCGCCTCAGGGTTGGTCTTGTAGAAGAAGTTCAAGTAGTTGGTCAACACACGAGTGTATTTCTTTACGAAATCACGAACCAACTCATGGTTACTCTCAAACAACGGGTCTAAACTCAACACCAATACGTCTGACGATATGGTGATATTTCTGTGGTTTTCAATCAAATCAATAAACGGCAACGTTGTACCGCAGTTAATGATAATTTTGATATTATGGTCAACCAAAAAGTTTCTTGAAATTTCCTCTGGGTTGCTTAATAATGCGTCATACGGACCCAACCATACTCTAGGACATATTTCTTGTGGAGTCTGAGGGTTGAAGTATAAATTGTCGTTAAAGTTGGAATTGTGGTTATGGAAATTCTGCATTTGTGAATACATATTTTGAGTATTTAATAAGGTAACTAAATACAGCTATATTTAGATATGTGTGTACTCTTGGTGTGTATGAATAATTAGTTGATAATTATAGTTCTCTTGTTGTTTTTGTTGTCTAAATGCCTTTGGCTGTAAAAAAAAGTGCAACAATTTTTTTTGTAGGTACTCCTGTAGTGTGAGATTAAGTTATGGGTTGAGCCGATGGTTAATGAAATAAACCTTAACTATTCATAGAATACAAATATATAGATAAAAGAAACTAATCCTTTAAATACAATTGGGGGAAATTGGGGAATTTTCTTTTTTGGTAAAGTCCTGGTGGGAAGACTGCTAAAAGAAAAATCTAATGCTACAAAGAGAAGAAGGAGAGGGAAGAAAAAAAAGCTGAATTTTTTTTTTTATAAGAACAAAAGAATTTGTGATTTTTTTAAATGAAGACAAAGCAGTGAAAAAAAAAAAGAAAAAATTCTTTCACTATGGGAAAAGGAGAAATGTATGGGATAGTTGGGACAAGTGAAATAACTATGGGTGATTATGTAAGCGACTTCATGAAAGTTACGCGGAGCATAAGGCAAGGCATTTTTTTACGTTCGTTCTTTATTTCCTATTTTAGTGTAAAGTGCAGAATGGCACTGAAGTTGCATGTTTTCCAGTTTGTGTAAGTTGCTTTTTCTTTTATTCCATTTTGGTTAGTTTTACAAGTTGCATGAGAATTACAGGTTTTCTTAAATGGGAAATCAATGCCAGCTTATATAATCAATGTTCGTTCACTTGACAAAAATTTTTGATCTTTTGTTCCGTTGTAAAAGGTCGTGCCTCAAACGACAAAAATTTGAACAAATACAAAGTTCGTGTACTGGAGAAAAATGGTTTGCAAAATTAAAATCACTTGATATCATTTTAAAAAGTACGTGAGCATGGTTTTTACAAATGGAAAGCATTATTTCGGAAAGTTGAATGATACCAATTCCTTATCACTCCATGAAATGGAGTTATTGTTTTATTGGTTTTCCTATTCTTTGCAATCTTACAAGGAAAAGGAGAAAAGGACAATAACATTTTGTTGTTAACTGTATAATTTTGCCTAGTAACCTGTTTCCCATGAGAACCTCATCCGTATTTGTAACTGTTACAATGAAGTAGCCTACCCTACTCTTCAACTGATCATTTTATGTTATTAAAAATGTATTGCTATTTGCTTGAATAGATTTGAAGAGTCCATATTCCGTAACCCTGTAAACAAAATTTTTCCTCAACAGAGAGCCGCACACCATCTGATTTGATAAAGAATATTCGTAATTCCGAGAAAAGCAAAAGTAAGATAAAAACTTAAACACAAAAGGACTAAAAAAAATATTTGATCTCCTCAATTATCATGTCTTCTCCTTTGCTATCACAGTGGCTCCCCCTTTTTTTGTTCTTTAGTTAATTTGCCTGTACATCATAAGGACCATGCTTCTGAGACGTATAATCAGAAAAACAACCAGATTTATCAAGTATAGACCGCAACTACCTTTGGCCTGCTATGCAGCCGTAATTGCGGAATCGTCAAATAAAAATGATATGTTCTTGACTAGATCAATGGCTACTTCAAACCCTGAAAAATATGATATTGATTTTGTTACCATGAAGAAAACTCCTGTTCAGAGAAGTACCACCAACAACTCACCCTACACACAAATTCCCGATTGGCTCGAATTGGAGAACCACATTTATGAAATCAGATTCTTGAAGGAGGAGTTGGGTGATTTTAGTGATAAGAGCTACGTGTTGAGTTCTCTTGATAACTTACTGAAGAGTATGCTTGAATATGAAGAGTACTTCCCGGATGTCGACATTGAGAGTTTCTTGAAGTTGAGAAGCAAATTAAAAGAATTTGCACAGAACAACAGCAATGAATGTTTCAAAATATTGGAGACGGTTTTACTCAACCATAGTGCATTCAGTAGATTTGAACAAGAACTTGCAAGAAAATCTGCCGCCACTGACACTGCCACGGCTCCCAGTGATACAGTTTCAGAACAAGAGAATCTTGTCGTCCAACCAGATACGGTCGACACAGAAGCACAACCATATGTCCAGATTCCAGACGATCTCAAGATACACGAGTTTTCCGCAGAGTTGGCTATTCTCAAGGGCATTTTGGGAAGACCTTTCAAGCAAGTCAGTGCTGAAGAGATTCTTAATGTTTTGGACACCGAAATTGAAAATTCGTTTACTGCCAGTGGCACACGTTCCAGCTTGCTTGCATCAAACACATCAGACGTATTCAACTTCCTAAGATTGAAAAGAAAATTGAACCGGTTGTTTGGCATAAATGGCAACAACACGGAAGTGTTGGATGTTGTTCTCAATAGCCAGCTGGTGTTTGATTCATTTGAATCGTTAAAGAAGAATGGACGAGTTGTTGCTGAACAGAAACCAGAGAGTGCTATTGCGAAACAGGAACCATTATTGACAGGAAATGAATTTGAAGTTTTGGGGGACTTCTTGAGGTTCTCTGAATTGTTGTTTAGAAAGGATGTCCATAATGTTTCGGCAGAAGAGTTCAACGAGATGGTTGATCGGTATGGGCGGTCCTTGGATGAATCTGCGTCTACCTATTTGTTTGTCAAGAGTGTATTGGACCAGTTGAAGACGTACAACTCCAAGATCGAATTCTACCCAGCATTCTTGGTGTGTGTGTATGGCACCAACAGTTTTGGTGATTTGCCAATGACGTCGTACGAGTTGGAGACGTTCTATGAAGACTTGGTGAGAAGCTTGCGTGAGATTGCTACCAACGAGGAGAAGGTTGTGCAAGACACAACATCTGTCGAAAGCAAGTTTGACATTGGTGATTTTGGTGGAGCCAAGATCCAGTACAATGACTCTGAGAGGTTAATATCTGACTTGGATAATCAGAGCAGCAGTGCCGATTTTGAGGCTGTCAGACTGGCAGTGCATTCTGCATTTGAAACTCTGCCCAAGCCTGTTGTTGCTTCTCGTAGTGCCGACGCCAAAGATGAAGCAAAACCAAAGATTATGAAACCAGTGAAGCATTTGAGTGACACGTCACACGAGGTGGACAAGTCTAAGTTGGAGAAGTATTTGCAAGAGGCCAAGAAACAAGAGGAAAGTAAACTCCGCGAGAGAGAGGCATTTGAGTGGAGCAAGAGGGCAGAGGCCAATTCCAAGCGTGCTAAGAGAATCGAGTCAAAGTACTGCATTTTGACACTTGACGGTGAAGTCATGCCTATTAGTGAACAAGCGTTGGGTGAGTTGCCCAAGGAGGATATTTTCAAGGCATTGAACAAGTTTACTAAGGAGGAGCTTGCACAAGCCAGTGAGGCCGTCAAAGACATGCAATCGCGTAACTGGAAGGTTATTGGTAGCAGAGTCGAAGGGGATAAGAAGTACTTGGTGTTGGTCAACAACGATGATGGTGCTGGAAAAGCATTCCGTGTAGTGAGATCACTTTTGGCTACCAGTGGTTTGGTATTGTTGACAGTGATTGGTGTTAACCTCTGGGTTGATGAGACAGACCAGTTCAGTAAAGCTATTGCAGAATACGAAAAGAAGGCGGAGGAAGAGAGAAAGGGACAAGCGGCTGTGGGTCCGTTCTCAGTAGCCCAACCTACCACAGTGAAAACACCAACGGTATTTGGTAAAGAGAATGTTGCTGGAGTTGTTATTCCTGATGATTCTGGTAAGACAGAGAAAGACGGTCAACAAGAGACGTTGTCCTGGTGGCAGCGTTTGATGTGGAGTAAGTAGTTGTGTCTTTGCAGGTTTTCATTTTATTTAGTTATTTGTTTTTGTTGTTTTGTATTTAATGAAAAATGCATTGATTATTTATTCTGGTCTACTAATTTACATGCTCGCTAGGGCACATCCTTACACAACTATTCAGACTACTCATAACCTGTTGCAACCTCGATTGGATTGAACTCTCCAATACTGCTGAACTCAGGTTCAAAGTCAGTCTGCAGGGCTAAAAAGTATAATTTATCATCGAGTAGGTATTCAAATTTGTTTCTGTTAGTGAACTGCCATTCTTTGTACCATGCCACGTAGTCATAGTAAATATTATCGAACCTTCGTGTACAGAATTTAGACATGGCACACAAAACCGCACAAACGAATAGTATTCTTAATGCAAACTCGTTAGCTTGATACAAGTAGGATCTAAACTCGTTGTTGCTGAGTTGAACGATCATGGCAATAAGTGGGTACAGTAATCCATGTTGCATCGTTCGATATATCGCTCTTTCAATAACAACGATGGCTCCTTCTAGAACTGCTTTAACTTCGGGATTGGATTCGCCGTAAACATCATTTAGATCTCTGCGCAATGAATCAGAGAGATAATATCTCTCGTCAAAATCACTAGGCAAGACTGAATCAGAAGGAAATAGTAACGGAATTTTGGAATTGGCCACTTTTGGCAAGTATTTCTCTATTATGAATCTATGAGCACCCAGGAGAGTTATGAGATCAATTTGGCTACGGTCTAGTGATAGGAGTGGCATCACTCTGCCGACATTGACCACAAAGTATCCCATCTGAAGCAAGCATGAGGATAGCAATTCTTTAATGGCACCATCCTGAACATTGTTCGGGTTTTCGACCAGCGAAACAAGGTTTTGTTGGAATGTCAATGCTTTCTGGAAGTAATCCATTCCAGTTTGTAGTAGCTGATTACTTTTCACTATTGCACCATCGTTGCTCCCCACCAGGAGAACATTCAGTTGAATGATTGCCGACACAGCTAACAACGTATACCGCACGGCTGAGTTGTGTCGGAATAAGGGATTGACTTCAGTTTTGAAGGCGTCATCAAAGACATGGTTGTTGTAGAACACCGTGGATTTAGCCTTCTGTTCAAAGAAGTTCAAGAGCTCGACGTCCTGCTGGCTCATTGACAATTGTGAACTGGTTTGTGTCAATACAAGGTCCGTGGTTGGATGATACCCCGATAATGCAGTTTCCTGTGACTCTGGTGACTCACTGGACAGAGCACTTGTTGGAACTTCTGGCTCATATACACATTCTTTTCTCCGGTCTTTGCAATATTCACATGGTTGTCGTTGATCACACTGTGGTGTACAGGTTAGTAATTTCGGCTGGACAAGAAAAATAAAAAATTGAGTTATCAGCCTGGGGAAATAACATACTTTAATTTTTAGCCGTTTGCAACTGGAACATCTTTTGACTGGTCTTCGACCTCTTTTGGATTTTGGCATCTAGGTTGTGGCGAATGGATTAGGTAAGACGGCACAAGAGGTACCTAAGAAAAAAAATATATTCAACAACAAGGGATCTATCTATTGATCGTACAATGAATAAGGAAAACAATGGGCCAAAAAAAAAATAAGTAAGATGAATATCCGGTCAGGCTGCATAATTTTTTGGGGGATCAGTTGACCGGAAAAGCTCAACAATATCCGAACAATTACGAGCTAGAGAACATTCCACTATCGAACATTTACGAGCCAATCAAAAATTTCTCTTTATACTACTTAACTACTTAGCTACTAGTATTCTAGCTCTGTTGGAGTGGAGTCTGTGAATTCAACGAGTCCATGCTATCTCTCACCTCCTCCAAAACACCGATCTCTGGAGCATCTAATGGCTGGTACAAGTTCTTTCTCTTTTCTATTCTCTTCAACTGCCATGATATTGGGATGACCGGTAAGAAGCCGTGTTTCTCCTCGTGTATCAACGCCCAGAACACAGCTATTACCACCACCCAGTATACATTGTAACTGACAACACTTCCAATGGTGGCAGAATTGGTCCATCCAAGAATGGCCGTGAACAACATCCAGAACACTCCGTCGTCTTGCAACTCACCATTACAACAGTTGACGTGCCACACGGAAACGGCTATATCATACGAACCAGGTCCATGGCCAGTTTCACTCACATCCATGCCTCCACATTGGTCGATGAACCTCTGTAACTCAAAGTTCCACACACCCTTGGAAAACAACCCAGCAGCCACGAGGTACAAGAAACAAGTGGATGTGATTAAGAACACCTTTAACGACATGGTGTTCCCATACTTGTACAATGCGACCCCGATCAACGAACCAATCACCACAGCCAACACAGCTGAGTTCACCAACGCAATCGCCGTGGTGTTCTCATTGATACCGATCCCACCAATCAACGCAATTGCCTCCAACCCTTCTCTCAAGGTGGTGACAAACGGCAAAATAAACATATTGTACTTCTCAGACCAGAGCTCCACCTTGTTCGCCCATGTTGTACCGGCACGGTCAAAGGATTTCTTGTTGTGTGGGTTATTCAAATACCCAGACGACTGCAAGATCTTTCCAAGCTTGGATTTCCATTTGGCTTGCATTTTGTTCACACGGAGAATCTTGACCCCCATGACTGAGATGATTATGCTGGCCAAGATGGAGAACGTACCTTCCCAGTAATGCTCCGCCTTGGACCACAAGTCGCTGCCAATGATGTAGAAAATCCCAAGAATGATGGACCCTATGATGAGACAGACAACCAATCCGAGTAATCCACCGAGCCAGATCTGGAATTGCAAGTATCGACAAAGCTTGCTTTCGTCTTTCTCGAA